TCATTTATTATTTTGTCATCAAAGTACCATTATTTTAAAAATTAACTTATGAATTTAAATTCAACATTTCGCTTGCATGATTCGTCGATCTTTTAATAATTTTTTTTTAAAGGTGTCATACAACAACGATTAACTTTAATAGGAATAAGAGTGGAAACGGAAAGACAAGTTAAGTTTAATTTATTTTATTGATTTCTGTATTTGAAAGAGTTGAGTCTGAGAAATACCGGGTAATAATTCTACTGATAATTTAAAAAATTGATAGCCACTTGTTTAATCAACAATTTCAATTTCAATTAAGTATTACTGTAGAAACATCGCGCTGATTTAGTAACTATCTCGTATATGAAATAGAAAGAAATGTAACGAAAATAGAATAAATCGTACGAGTTAAAATTTCTTTCAGAAAACATGATACGTTTGAATTTCAATACAAAATTTCTTGTATGAAAACCAAATTGCAAAAATGTAAAATAATTAAATTATTATGGAAAACCATTTAATATCCTTTTAATACAGCAATTCAATCCAAAATGTCGATGGGATGGTTTTTATTGGTTTGTTTTTATTATATACAGGATGACTTTTTTTTATCATGAACCAGCAATTATCTCGGAGTTTTTTAATTTTTTTTCTGTTTTTTCTAATCATTATAGAAACGTTTATACTTTATTTTAAACCATTTTTAATTTTTTTTCTCCTTCTCCATATACCTTAAATTAGTACATACTTTTGATTTTCAAACAGGAACTCCCTCTTTTGAACAAAGACTTGAATAGAGAATATTTCTCTAGACATTTTGGTATGCATAACATTGTTAATATCAGATTTACCATTTATGAATTATGGCAATGTAAAGTTTAGACCGGAGGAGTAGGAAAAGGTTATAGATAGGTGATTTATTATCCTTCTCTACTTCTCCGTAATATTGCTCCGGTTATCAAGTGTAGCACTTCTTCCGAAAGATAATTTCAACTGGATGGTACTTTACCAGGTCAGTTTTGTATTTTCCAATTGATTTTTATAATATTTATTATATTTAATTTATTTTTTTCAATTTTATTTTTGTTTTCATTCAGTTTTCATGAAGACTTGAAAACACAACTTGAAACAAACTTCAAAATATTTTAGCCATTTTTGAGCTATTTATAAATATTTAAATTTTGTGTGTTTTTTACGTCATTTTTATTTTGTAGATAAAATTGTAAGACCAAACATAAATGCTTGAAAATTTAACAGGAGGTTCATTATAAGTTGAACTTTATAGTCAAAACAAAAAAATTGAGTATGCCTAATGTAAATTTTTTATAAGAATTTTAGTATCAAATTTTGACGAAAATCATAAATATTATAAGCTTTCAAAACATATATAACCAAACTACTCAGAATAGTTTTTCGTCAGCAATGATTAATCATTACGTACAAATATACACTAAATTTCTCTTTATATCCTATCTTCCCAACTTCTCACCTACAACAGTAGCTCACCTATCTTGCGAAGTATGTTTTTCTTGTGGTTTCTGAGTAAACCAAAGAATGTATTCTATTCGTTATACATTTAAGTTTATTTTTGTTTTTCTGTGAACAGCTTTTCTATCAGAAATGTTGCTATAAAATTTAGGTGTTATAGCATTTTTTGTGAAGTAAAATTTTCGTGGGATGGTAATGAAAAAAGGTCATTGATTTTTCTAGGGATTTTCATAATAAATGGGAAAAATTGAAAAGAAACGTGCCTAGGAAAAATGGGAAAATTTACGAAATGTATTATTTTCAAATCGTAAATATTATGACCTCAAAACATGTATAATAGAACTCCACTCAGAATCTTTTTTCGTTGACAGTGATCAATTTGTCGAACAATTTGTTTGTTTTTGTTTTTTTATGTGTATTTTTATTTATTTTTTTCTGTCTGTAAACAACTTTTTTACCAGAAAACTTGCTCTGAAGTAAGGACTATAGCAGATTTTCGGAAAGGTTATTTTATCTTTTAGATGTATTAATCTGCATATTTTTTTTATTTTTTGAGGGGTTTTCAAAAAATTGGAAAAACCCGTAAAGAAAATTATAGGTAAAATGGAAAATATTTATGGCACACTACGGCGTTACCGATTTCATTGGTTTCAATTTTTGCAAACTGTATTTTCTAACAGAAATATTGTTTTAATCAAAAAATAGCAAGTGATTTTTATTGTTGAATTTTGGATCGAGATGCTCATGAAAAAAAAAATCGTTTTTTTATTTTCCAAGTAGTTTTTTTAATAATTTGAAAAATCGATAAAAGACATAATGAAAACTGATATATTTTTTAGCATTAGTATTCCTTTATTTTAAATTTGTATGACTTATGTTTCCAATCAGAAATATTGCTCTTTCTCGGTGTATTTTTGATGTTATTAATGAATAAGAAAGTGGTTTGAAATTATTGTCCTCGTAATTTTTCTGAAAATTAGGAAAATCTAAAAAAACGTGAAAAGAACTAGAAAATTTAGGAAAATAATTCTTTTATTTTTTGTTACGATTCAGTTAAAAATATTCATAGACTTGACATTTTAGCAGAAACTTATATTTTCTTTTTCTGGACGTGATAAAAATATTTTTTTTAGCTGGTTTTTAAGTAATTTTTATTTAATAGGTACCCTGTGAAAAAATTGTTAAACTAAACAGAATTGCTGGAAAATGTGATAGAAATTCATAATAAGTCGTTCTTATGAGACGTGTATAAAGTATTTATTTTAATAGTTTTAATATCATATGTTGACGAATATCGTAAATATTCCGACCTTTCAAAACATTTACATATAACGAAATTCGCTTCAAATAGTTTTTTGTTTGCAATGGTTTATCGTTGTTTACAGTTATAAATTAAATAATTCCATGTATCTTACCTTCCCAACTTCCTACCTACAACAGTGGCACATCCGTCCCCAGTAACAGCTCTTTTGTATTATTATAATTATTGAATATGTCTTTGGCTAATTACAATGTGCAATGTCATATTCCATACATATGCAAGCGATGTTACATTGGAACATGGAATATCACATTTTAAATTGAAGTAACGTAATTATAGTTTGCATTCGATTGTTAATGTTCATCACTGCAGACATTCATAAAATAGTGTTTAACTGGCTTATTGGAATATAGTATATATAGTATTATAGTAGCATAATGAAAAAACATTTACTATATATTCAATGGAATGTTTATGTAACATGAAAATTTAACATTAACGTACATTAACCTAATTCACCTAATTTCCTATCCACTAGACAACCTATCTAACTGATGAATTTAACGTTTCATTTATATAATATTATACAAGTTATCAAATATATTTTAAAATATATATATTTATACAGTGATACCTCGAAATTAGGGATTTTTTATGAACAGGAAAATTAAAGCTATTGGCTTTACTAAGCTATTTATTTTTTTGTTTCTTTATTCTTTGTTCTAGTCTGTGGACACGTTTTTCCTAGTAGATTTACTCCGATTTTTACGAAACATCTGAAAGCTCAAATTTGAGCTACAAATAGACAATTGTCTATATTGTACTTTAAAGAAGTCATTTTTTTTATTTTTAACATCTTTTTTCAAATAAAAGCACTTAAGTGGGAAAAACGTACAATTTCACGATTTCATTATTTTATAAAAACACGGACGACGTTTTCTATCAGAAAAAATGATTTAATCGAAAATTCACAAGATACCTTTTTTGTTGTCTTTTTGATTTACTTTCTTACGGCATCATTGCCAAACTTTTAAGCCACTTTTGAACTTTTAAGGAATTTTAATTTTAGAGTGTTTTTGCTTTAATTTGGTTATAAATACACGTAGAGACTAGAAACTTAGTAATAATACTTATATTGGACTTACCTAGTGTTAAATTTCCAAAATCATCGGTACTTATTTTTTTTTTTTTATACTGTGACCACTTTAATCCTAGAAAACTTACCCCGGTATATAAATGTAGCAACTTTTCTGTTAGTCTATTTTATTTACTTGGTATATTCATAGGTAATTTTTTGATTTTTGAAACGGTATTTAAAAGAAATACGATTAACCGGAGAAAAAATATGATTTGTTCACGATTTCGTTCTTTTAAATAAGTACCTACCACGTTTTCTAACACAAATACGGCTCCAATTAAAAAACGACAAACAAGAAACCTATTTTATTGAATTTTTTTTAATAAGCGTTTTGAAATCAAATTTAAATGAAAATCGCAAAAAAAAATGTCGGCACTTTAAATTATGTAATTAGGTAAACGATATTATTTGGTGACAAATTATAAAATAAATATAAATAGGTCATCGCAGTAATATTTATTTTAAATATCACATCTATGTTGAATAATAAACATCAACATAATGTTACTCGTAAACAATTAAGGATTTATTTTTAAGGAAAAACTATATGTCATCGCGGTAATGTGAATTAGTAATGTTTTTGTTGGAACACAAATTTAACATAGCGAAAATGATTTGTAACATTCATTGCACACTGGGTTGTATATGGATAAAAGGAGTTTAATTTATTTTTATGTAAAAAGTGTTCAATAATAATAAAAGGGAAATTATGTATATTGTAATGAACGTAATAATTGTATATGTTTAATAAATCATATGTATATTGATGTAAATTATTTAATAATAAAATTAGTTAGGTTTGATAAATAGTAAATTTGGTTTAAAATCAAACACGGGCGAAGTCGGGTAATTCAGCTTGTTATAAATACAAGCGTTAATTTAATATGTTGTAAGACAATAAAGATAAACTATGACTATTATTATTTTAGAAATATCATCTACCCATAAAGGTATAATTTGTATCTAATTTGAAACAGTTGTAAAATAATTGTAGAATATAGAAACACAATCAAGTTTTATCATTTATTAATATCTATAAGTTGGCCGAGACCCTTTAATGCTGCCTGTGAAGCTGTTCATTTCGACGCTATTCGACGGAGAAGTCGGACTGCACGACGGAGAAGTCGGACTTTACGACGGAGAAGTCGGACTGTACGACGGAGAAGTCGGACTGTACGACGGAGAAGTCGGACTGTACGACGGAGAAGTCGGACTGTACGACGGAGAAGTCAGATAATTATATGACGGAGAAAACGAACTGTACTCGTTCGGTGAAGATGGCATACTAAACCATTGTGGCATAGAACTATTAATTCCATCATGATCATCATTGTCATCATTGCTATACATACATGAATAATCATATAATTATTTGATTTTACACTTATAATGCATACAAATACTGTACAATTAGTATTACGATAATATCAAATATACTTACAACGGAGATAACGGATTGTTCAATAGAGATGGTGGGTCACCTCGTGACATGGGAGGTAGGGTTGAATCAAAATGGGGGTAGTTTCCAAAAGCATCATTATCAGGAAAGTCAAAACAATTACCTATAATACGACAACAGTTTAATACTTGTATATTTACACTAGTTACAGTATTAATTATTATATTAACCCAACCGGCTACTGATATTTTTTATAGCAGTTTTAATTGGTGATACTATTATGTATCTACCTAAATTAGACATACTAATCCTGCACATTTCGGAAAACACATTACACAGGTGCCGAATGCATTTTAAAGTAGTCAATTTCACAACCAGATTTCGATACTATTGTTTATAGTAGTACCATAAAATGTATTCTTTAAATTGAATTGAAAAACGAATAAATTACTTCAGGCTACCCGTATAATTATTTGGTATTGAGAACCTGAACACATTTAAAATCAGCTGATGTTTTTAGTTTTGAAATAAACATTAATTCAAAAACTTCAATAATGCAATACATTTAAAATTAATATAATTCTGAGTCATGACAATAATAACACTGCAGTCGCTGTAATCAACAGCTAACGAAAATAGCATTGTAATAAAAAAAAAAATATAAAACTCACGTGGTAGTTTTTCAGCACATGGATTATTACTTTTAAATTTTTGTAAATTGGCAGAATCCGGCGATGACAGCGATAATCTTCTTTTTTTTCGAATGGAATCGTTCGTGCCCGAACATTCTGAAAGCTCACCGAACCGACTTGCTACCAACGGTTCACCACCAACGGTATTCCTGTTCCCAAATTCGGTTGAAGACCCTTCTTCGTTTGTTCGTTTGTTAAGACGTATTGTTTCCATATTATATTCAGCACAAAAACGCGCACATTAAAAATCGAACAGTACTTGTGCGCTAAAAAAATAATTTGTTCGTTATGTAGAAAAAAGTAACATTAACAAACGAGTGTTTTCATAAAATAGTAACTATATTTTTGTCAGCATGTCACATGGATAATAAAATTATATACAACATTATATTTTTATTTATTTTGAATTTTACAATTTTTTTATCATAGTGTTTGAAGTCTAAAATATTAAAATATTTCATTATAATGAAACCATATGGTGACATATTCCATAAAAACGAAAAACAATGAACTTTTTTTTTTGTACAAATATTGATGATAATTATTTATCAATTAATAGTTCATGAGTTGTAAGTATAATCATTGATGTTAATACATTGAGTGCCATGGTCAGGGCCCGGACACTTCGTCAATATCTCCTTTTTGAAAGAAAAATATTATTAATCTTACCATTACTATATTTATTTACTTTTTTGTTCTATAATATTAGTGAGTATTGTTTTTTGATAATTTCAAACGTTTATGTTGGTCTATTCATTGTTTTAATAATCTAAGTTTTTGTTAACAGAATTAAAAATATTTTTGTATAAAATGGTTCTTGTTTATATTGTTAAACAGTCTTGTAAGAACCAACGAATTCCAGACATTTTGTTATTACATCAAACAAATTGAAAATATTAGCGTGCGGATTTATATATGTATTTAAAATTCAAAAATATGTTTATATAAATGTATTTATTTTTATTTTTAACCAAGTATGCAATTATAAATACGAGATACGTAAAAAAATAAAATAATATTTTAATTCTTAATGTTAATTTAAAAATAATAATATATATATTAGTGTAATAACACTAAAAATGAAATACAGTAGGAGTGGAAATAACTCAAACAAGTGTTTTCTATTTAATAAAGGTTACCTGTTTTTAAAATTTACCTACGAGAAATACAGTTGTTCTTCTGACATTATTCCTAATTGATTACATATGTCTGGGTGATGTATACTGTATTTTTCAATTGTATTATTACTTATCTGTCGTCGAAGATTCACCGAACCAGGAATCTATATGAAATATAATTAATTGACACTAATAAAGAAAATAACACACTTTTGTTTTATATACGTACAGGAATAAGGTGTAGAAACAACTAAATTACAGAATGCCACGGACTCATAATTATGAAAATAATACATATGCCGAGACACTGGAACATTGGGCTTTGGAGACTGTAGCTGTCCATGGTGCATTTCATATCGCGTTCCTAATGGCTGTTGTTATCTCTAGCCTAATATTGTCTTTATTGTTTACAACTTGTGATTATATTTTAATGGTTTCAGTATTATAAGTAGTTTGTTACTTACAATTTTATAAAATATATTAAATTAGTATTATTGTGTTATAAATTATGATACAAAGGTATATACATCAGATTATTATAATTAAATTATACATTTGAATTATATATTTGCTCATTTGAGTATAGGACCTTGGCGTCGTCAACAAAACAATGTACTTTTTTAGGTTGTCAAAGGTAAATTGACGTCGAGTGAACATTATTCAATATTTCCATTATCGTCACTGATAATATTTACAAAAAAATATTTATTAAATCTTAGTCTAATAATTTTCGTAATATTTTCATTTTTATCATGAAAAAAATGCGTGCTTTAATTTAACTTAATTTCTCTTTATTTAAACAATTAATAACTTATTAACAAATGCTTATATTAAAAAAGCTGATAAACTTTGCACGTAGGTGGGCTACTGTTGTAGGGAAGAATTTTGGAAGGTAAAGGGGAAATTCGATGTATATCTGTACGCAACGATTAACTATTGCTAACAAAAAGACGATTCTGAGCGGAGTTTAGTTAATAGTGTTATATTGTCAACAATATATGTCATATTGTGGTAAAATAATTACATATGAATTATATATTTTTTTCTTTCATAATATTTGTATAATATTGTACCTATTTTCTCGGCTTTTTCCATTTATTATAAAAATTCCTGGAAAAATTAATAAATGACCTCCTTAAATGGCTTAAAGTACCACCCCAGGCAGATTTAATTACAGAAAAAATGCTATAGTTAAAAATCGGAACAAGATTGCTCGTAGAAAATTTATCCACAAAAAAAAGAAAGATGAGATAATGGAGACGGGTTCCGCTACTGATGTAGGTGGGAAGTTGGGAACGTAGGTAAGATATAGACAGGAATTTAATTTATATCTGTAAGCAACGATAAACCAGTTTACGAAAAAACGATTCTGAGCGGAGTTCGGTTGATAGTGATGCTTTTTCAACAATATATTTTTTAAATATATTTATAGTATTTATTATATATTTATTTATATATATATATATATATATTTTATATATTTTTATAATAAAAAAAAATAATTAAATAGGCTTTATATATTTTCTTTAGTAAAATTTGTCTAATGTTGTACTGATTTTCCAAATTTTGATATGTTTTCCCACGATTCATCCCGGCTTTTTAAATTTGCTGGGAAAACTTTTAAAAATATCAAAAAATGACTTAAAGTACTTTGCTAGTAAAATTTATTTTTAGAAACATTGCCATCATTAAAAATTGGAGCAAAATTGCTGGTGGAAAAGTTGTGCACAGAAAAAAAGGAAGCCGTATTATATTTCAACTAATACCTAAATTTCTTATATTTTCTCATTTTCTTTTCAGTTTTTCAATTTTGATGAGAAAACTCTTGAGAAAATCGAAAAATAACCTGTTTAAAAAACCTTCCCACGACGATTTCTTTCCAGAAAAGGTGCTTTACATAGAAATCCGAGCAAGGCTTCTGGTATAAAAGTTACGCGCAGATAAAAAAAAATAAACATCATTGTATAACCAATACATTTCTTGCTCAGAATCTAAAAACTATTCGGCCGAAGCATATGAAATACTATTTTTTATAAAATATATAATAGATCCTTTTGCCCTAAACTCAACCAAAGAGTCACAATTAATGAATTGCAAAATATATTTGTTGTTATTTTATGCGTGAGACAGACAGGGTAAACAAATAATGTATAGTAGGCTAAACATAATTTTTTAACAGTTATTATTTCAAAAAACGAGTTTTGATTTGCAAAAATCACGGAAATAATTTTGAAATCTGGAAATAATAAACTTAGATAATCAATTAATTCAAAAAAATAAATATTAACCTGCTTTACAAATGGCATTAATTTAATGCTATTATTATTTAAATCATAATATAGTTTAATTAAATGTTTTAATACATTTACAACAAAGATGTTTATTCTTTTTTTTTTTTGAGGACAATTTTTTTACCAGAGATCGTGTTTCGATGTTTAAGTGAAGCACCTTTTCTAAAAGGAAATCGGTTTTTCGATTTTCTCAGAAGTTTTCTCAAAAAATGTGAAAAATTAAAAAAAAATTAAGGAAAAACGGGAAAATGTATGAAATGTTGGTATTAGTTGAAACTAATTGTACAGTCTTTTTCTTCTTATGAACAACTTTACTACTAGCAATTTTGCTCCAATAAACAATAATAGCACTTTTTCATAAAGAAAATCTGACAGGAAAGGTACTTTAGAGAGGTAATTTTTCGATTTTCCCAGGAGTTTTCTCAAAAATTATGAAAATCCGAAGAAAACGGGAAAAACTTAGGAAATACAGGAATAATGGTACATTTAACAAATATTATTAAAGAAAATATATAATGCCTATTTAATTATTTTGTCATAATATGACATATATATTGTTAACAAAATATCACTATTAACTAAACTCCGCTTAGAATAGATTTTTAGTTAGTAATGATTATCGTAGCTTACAGGAATATATTAAATTATCTACAACAGTGGTTGCACTCGTCCTCATTATCCTAGGACGTCTTTTTATATTCAATATTAAAAAACTTGAGTATACTTACCTGAATTCATGCACACTGTGACCCACACCGATTAAAGGACAAATTAATTAAAAATTTCAAAAGTTGCATTAGCTAGATACTAAACTGAAACTTAAAGTTTGCGTGCGGCTAATAACTTTAAAAAAAAAACATGAACCTTATAAGAAATTCCATGTTATTAATTGTAACTTAAAAGCGTACACGGAGAAGTATAAAAATAGTTAAGTATTGCATAATACTAAATATTATTACATGTTATTACGTCAGTATATTAAACGTTATTCAATATTTACTCTTTATCTCAGATTTGAATAGATATGCTTATGAAATATAATTCGATTTTTGTCAAATTGCAAGACGGAGCCAAGAAAAATTTTTAATTTACAAAAACGCACCTTTAAAACAAAATGTACCGTTGATTTTTAAATTGTATTTTTGTTATTCTGAAGTCTTATAAATACTTAAACTACGGACATTATATGAATAAAATATATTTTAATTGAAAGCAGTTATAATGACCAGTTGTAAACTTGTAAAAGTAATACGAATAATAACGTGAACCGCATTTTTAGATATAAAACCGATGAAATTCAAATGCTTTATTTATATTTTATGAATAAATATTATATTGCTGAACTTGCGGGACAAAACAAGGAAACCGGACCAGACAGTGCTACAGTACGATTTGGTACAATCCCTGGAGTTCTTAGTTATCAGATTTACTTAAAAAAAACATCAAGTATTAATTTTGTTTTAAATAAATAAGCCGTTTTTTATTATAAAAATATAAGGATTTATTTTCATTGTGTGAGGTAAGTTTAAGTACATTATAACGCACTTTGACTGCGATTTCATTTGGAAGAGGTAAGTGATGATTTGGGCATTTATTCAAACTTTATCCCAGTCTAACTTTTACCCTTGTCTTAAGTCGGCATCATGGTTAATCTCAGGCTTTTGGATCTGAGATAAAAGTCAAAATGTTTAAAAATTTAGGTATCAAATTCCTTTTGTTCGTAGATAATAATGAAGGGCAATATTCGAATGCAGCAAAACAATTTTTTGTTTGTCTCAACCTACCAAATACTGAAATAATGTCACTTCGCGTAGAATTAACATTTAAGAACTGAAACGTTATTATATCTAGTTATAAATAGTCATCTACCTATAATATTTGGAATGATTACTTATCTACTATTTGTTTATGCAGGTGAAGATTTGTATACAACAATTAACAAATACCACGTAGGTACCTTACATTTAATATGGTTGGCATGAACGAAAATGAATACGTTTTCAGTTTAAAGTTGGCAAAACTCGTCGGTTTATATCAAATATTGGATCCGGACACTTATAAAATATACGGTCATAATTCGTACCACATAGTAATTTTTATCTTCAGTTTATACTTGCTCATTATGGCGATTTTAAACCTGATTGGTATGTACAATATGACGAATGACTCAGCTGCGTTTGTTTTATATTTGGGATACGTGGAAAATTATATATTCGCCATTTACAAAGTGATAAAAATCGTATATTATTCCGAAAAATTGTGGAAACTACTCAGAGTGACGAGTTTCGATTTATTGTCGCACGAACGGTACAATAAAAATATATTCGGAAAATGGCGCAAGTTTTGTACACAAGTGACGTACTTATACGTGATTATTTCGATTTTCTGTATGCTAATTTGGACGTTCATCCCGAACGCATTCAACACCATGATCATGATAAAAAATCTCGATGGTTCGTTTAGCATGTACCGGATGGATATTATTAATCAATTTCTAATGGTATCGGACGAAACGTACAACAAACATTACAATTTTTTTTTTGTCGTAGAGTTTATTATTCTGATTTCTTTTTTACATTTCACAATGATATATGAAATCTTTGTGGTCATGATGTTTTTCGCATTGTCTTATCAGTTGGAAACAATTTGCGATGTGGCTCAAAACCTAGGCTACAGACATTCAAATTATAATTTGAGTACGTATATTTTATATGGTTAATACATTCATTGTTCGATACTAATTTATATTATAAAAGAACTAAATTCAGCAGCATATGAATAATTATGCTGATGGGCTATGATCTGCGTAAGATTGTTACATAACTATTAATCTTGTTCAAAGAATTATGTTCAAAAAAAAATGTTGCGGTAATGAATAGATGAATTGCGCCTCCGATTTTTTGGCAGCTAAATTAATTGAGTCCTCGGCATTTTTAGTGATCTATAGGTGAATAAAATTGCACCCCCAATATTTGTATAAAGTAAATTGATTGTATCTATATAGTTGCTACTTAAGATTTGGTTTATCGATATAATATGGGATTATCATTGTTACCATTAGACAAATTGCACAAAGAATTAGTTTTTATTTTTAATTCTAGTCAAATATTTGTTTTATTCATTCAATCTCGATATATATTATGTATCTTTAATATTTATATGGTAACTCAGTTACAAAAGTAATTCAATTTTCATACCAAAAACCCATTTTTAGAGGAAGTGGTGTAGATATCGGAGAATAAAAGTAGCTGTACAGTATTAAACTACTTACACTACTTCCGAAAAATGGCGAAATTTGTTAACAAAATTAGTTGAGATAGGGGTTAAAATGTGAAAACCTTAAAAGACACATCCTCGGTATTAAATGTATAGATATACAATATTTCATTTCTCTGAACTTATTTGGGGCGTATAAAGGGCCGGTATATAAGGCTAAAAATACTATTTACCCACCAAAACATGATTAAATTCATATTGAAATTCAACTCAATTTTTATCACTTAATGCGCCTATAAAACAACTTCAATTTCCAAGTTTAAGCGCATTTGGTTTAGAGGAAATCACTAAAAACATAGGCGTTATTGAAGTAAAATCATGAGGTGGCAATCATCTTGAATAATATTTCTAAAACAATTGTGGTTGAATGAAGTATCTCTTATTTCATTAGTCGGTGGATCATCAATACGTCTTATCCAATCATTTATTAGAATAGACAAAAAAAATATCAAAATAATAATATAGAAATATACAAGGTGTATTCAATAAATACCCAAACAAAATGTATTAAAAATTATATTTGAAACTTACAAACTATTTAAATGGATCACCTTCAAAATAGTGTCCTTTAGCTTCAATACAATGCTCCAAACGGTCTTGCCACTCTTTGAAACATCTTTGAATTTCTTCCATAGTTATAGCCTTTAGCTCTTGTGTCGCGTTATGGATAGTTTCGTTAACGTCTTCGAATCTGTAGCCTTTAAGGGTACTTTTTAGTCTCGGAAACAAAAAAAAAAAAATCACAGGGTGCTTAGCCATGTGAATATAGTGGGTGAGGTATCACTGGTATATTTTTAGATGCCAAAAATTCACGTATGGAAAGTGTTGAATTTGCTGGTGCATTGTCATGGTACAAAAATCATTTCTTTGAATTCCACGCTTCTGGTCTTTTACGGCATACTTTCTCTCTTAATTGTTCAAGTACTTGTTTATAAAAAATTTAATTTACTATCTGACCCGAAGGTACAAATTCATAATGAACTAAACCAAAAAAATCAAAAAAAAACAATGAGCATTGCTTTGATGTTTGACCGGACCTGACGACATTTTTTTGAACGAGGTAAATTTGCGGTCTTCCATTGCGATGATTGAACTTTGGTTTCGGGATCATGTCCATATACCCATATTTCATCACCCGTAATAATTGATTTTATAAGACTTGGGTCATTAGAAACCCGATTTTTTAGTTCCAAACACACTTCAATGCGATGTTCCATTTCCTCTTCGGTTAACAATTTTGCGGACATTCTTTTCATACCCAATTCACCTGATAAAATTGAATGACAAGTACCAATTGATATGCTAGCATCATTGGCTACTTCTCTAACAGTTAATCTTCGGTCATTTCTAATTCTGTTTCGAACAAAAGTAATGGTATCATTTGTTTTTGATATTGATGGACGCCCAGGACGATGGTCATCTTCAATAGGTATCCGACCTTCTTTAAAACGTTTGAACCAAAAGTTACACAACGACTTAGTGAAACATCTTTAAAAACCAATTTAATCAATTCAAAAGTTTCCGTAGCATTTTTACCAATTTTGAAACAAAATTTAATACACGCGCGTTGCTCCGTAATATCCATCGTAAAATAGCGATTTAATTCAAAACGACTAACTTTGAATACGTATTGTCGATGACTGATTTTAGATAATGATTATAATGGTTTTATCTCTAGTTTATTTTGGCATAACAATATTGCCGATAACTTAAAATGTTTATCTGTAATAATTTTAGTCTGGCTATTTATTGAACACACCTCGTTTGTAATCAGTTAAATGATCTATACGTTTAATACGTTTAATTATTTACGTTGAAATACAATACAGCCGTTAGCATAATTATATTAACATGATCACTAATCATATGACGCTTATGATGACTAGAAATGTCCAAAAGTAGTGGGTAAAAAATATCAGTATATATAATATATATACATATCTTAGGTCCTAGGGAAGGACTTAAGTCAACTGGGTATATTTTTCAATACAAGTAAATTTAATTATGAACAGTGTTGGATCCAGACAATTTTTTTAGGGGGAGGGGGAAATACCCTTTTACTAAGACGAGTGAAATTTGTTTAGTTATTTAATTAATTATTAATTTACTTACATTTAACAGGGTGAGCTATCGCCCTCCCTTACATATACCTGGATTCAACACTGGTTATGAACATAATACATAAAATAGATTTAAAAATGCATATTCGTATACTATTCAGAGCATAGAAGAAAACAAAAAAATTCAAAAAATGATTAGAGTCCTTCTTCGCTGTATTCAGATATGTATATATACATACATAAAAATATATATATACAATACAGTGCAATGGTCTCTGTTTTCGGGGGCAATTCGATAAAAAAACAAATATACATTCTCATGCCGAGAATATTATGAGTATATTATTAGAAGTATCTTATAAACGTATTAGAGTATACAATAAAACTACTTCTTAGAAAAATAAACATAGACAATTTATAATTATAATACTTCAATAATGAAAATAGATATTCTCTTCTATAGAAATGAATGATTTAAATAATGCGGTATTGTCAAAAAAGCAAGTTGACATATTTGATGAATTACAGGAAATAATTACAGACCATCAAAACGTAATAAAGTGAGTACCTGTATTACTATATTAAACGGTAAAAATATAATATTTTAAAATAACAGTTTAATTTAAGTTGTTAACTATAATTATCTTTGGTAAGTAATGAGACTGATAAACATTCGATATTAACAAATCGAACCATTTTTTGTTTAACATCTCATAATTGCTTACAATTGTGTTAAGTTTTAAAATTAAAAATCATATAATATTTTATGAGACTTATAATTTGTGATTGGTGATTAAATAAAAGTAAAGTTAAATCGAGAACTATAACTTATAAAAACGAATACGTAAATTAAGATTCCAATTCAAGTGGTCAATTGATTTAAATAATTAATATTTTGAGCTAAAAAAATAGTAAAAAAAAATAGAATGATAGAAAAGTTGAATGACCAAAAGGTGAGTATGCGTTAATCACTTCTTCGAGAAAACATTCCTAAGCAGTAGCTACTGAAATTTGTATTGGTAAATTAATTAACTAATAAAACTTAAAAGTACTTATAAAATCATAAATAATAAATTATAAAAATACAAAAATGGTTGGTGCTCATCAAGATTTTTTTCAATGATTAAAAAATGACCCAAAGTTTGACTTGGATTTTTTATCATGCCAATGCACCAAACCGTATTCTGCTACAACTTGGATTCTAATTTGGATAGAATTATAAAAACAATATTGGTTGTAAATTTCACACGTGCTAAATTTGTATTTGTTTAAAACACAGATAATTCAAGTCTCTTCTTCAAGAAATCGATGTGGAGTTCCACGATTTACTACTCTACAATAATGTTAGGTGGTTGAACAGAGGAATTGTTCTACAGAGGTTTATTGATCTCTTGAATAAAATTAATCTATTCCTTCTAATTAACTATAATATAAATGTATTAGAACTAAATACGTAGGAAAATAGGATATAGGAACGATATAGGATAAGGAACGAGTATATAAGAGGTAGCATAGACGCAGCTTCGATAATAAAAAAATGAGAAAAATTGGACCAAGGTGGTTTGGGTATCATGCAGAGAAAATAATCAGAAACAGTGAGAGTTGTAATGAAAATAAATGTAGGAAGAAAAAAAGGAAAAGAAAGACCAAAATAGAGATGATTGGATGCGATTGATAATGATATAATAATTAGCGTATACAAGTAGAAGAATATTGTTATATATATATATATATTATATCTGTAAGTCTATTTAAATGTATAATAATAATTTTTTTTTTTTTTACAGGCATGTAAATGATTGTTATTCACTTTTTCGGTCTCTAATGTTGAGTCAGATTTTTGTAGCATCAAATTCACATGTGCTAGTTTGGTTCTTTGTTTCATTGGTATAATTAATAAATTATAAACACGTTTTTTTTTTTTTTTGTTATATAGACACAACATACACAATATACTTTACAAACTTGTAGTGAAGTATAACATTTTTTTTTTTCATATTATTTTTTGAATGAAATAACGGCATATCACCATAAAATAATAGGTACACAAATATAGTTAATATCACAGTAGGAAAATATAAAATAGGTGTTTTATAAAAAAGATGTTACTATGACGTCCACACTAGGATTTATTTGCCGCCTTTATATATTTAACAGACAATAATATAAAATAGTACTCATACTTTAACCATTAATTAAATTGTATATTTAATCAATACTTTAATATGCTTAAAACAAAAATTAATTCACCAAATTAATACATATGCGATATGTATTCAAAGAGGGATATTTTGACATCTATTATGAAAACTTTTATCGACCACATCTAGACCGAATGGAGGAAACTCAGAGTTTTAGACTTGTTTTGTTGGCGGATTGAGTGATAACATTTTGGTTAAATTTGATTATATTATTGTTGTGGACGGTGTTCATTTGTTAACACGGTTCTATTGACCTCTAAATAAAGTCAGTCAGACAATATCTTATAAATTATGAACGGTGTACGTATTAGTGATGTGCCTTTTAGATGTTTCGCCTTTCAAATCCATTTCTAACCATTTGTATGTTCCAATTTCATGTTTTTACAGAAATTATTTTAAACATCCTTACAAACTAAAATGTAATAAAACTTTGGCAATCATAATTATTTTAGATTCATTTAATAAAAAAATGAAAAATTGTAATGGCAACAAGTCGACTAGGGAAAAATTTGACTATACGGACGGATTTCTGTTGCTCATATATTTTTCTTTTTAATTTGAATAGGATATTGTATACAATGAAAATATAACGATTTAAGTTAGTGAAATCATTTTTGTTTCAAGTCCATTAGATTCTGAGCAGCGGAGTATCCAGGAATGAAAGGGGGCTATGTCTCCCTAACCGTTAGCCATATTCTATTATAATTTTATTATAAATGTATCCATGTTTCATGCTATTATATGGGATCTAGGATATATCGGCGCTGGCGATTCAGCAAAATGTCAATTCGACGATGTCCTTTTCGGCGCTTGATCAATTCGACGATACGGCAATGATACAATTTTTATTTATTTTGTATTATTACTATAAATGGTTTTTATATCTATTAATAGTAAACAAAACTTTAATATTAAATAGTATATCATATCATATAACTAGCTATCACCCGCCCGGCATTGCCCATGCCAATTTTTTAATTATTTTGACTATTATTCCCATCTTACCAAGTATATTGGACGAGGAAAAACCCCATTCACGGAAATTACAATTTTATTTCTTTTTAATTTTACTATTGGCATGATTACTGATAATTAGGTAAAAATAATTAAAAATTTGGCACGGGCAACGCCGGGTGGGTGACAGCTGGTTATATTATATAATAAGCTCTTACATTAGACATAAAAAAACATTTATAGGTGATGATAAACGTACCAAAATAATAAAAAAAAATTAACAATTGTATCGCCGAATTGATATTTCACTGAATCGCTGGCGCTGAAACGTCCCATTCCCTACTTTATAGTGTATTAGGTTACGGACAGGAATTTCCGCTATTTAAGCAACACAAATACGTCTACGAAATGTTCAGACAATCTGATATAAATATGTATTTATACATAACTTAAACTATTATTATAATCACTTTATGCATAGATTCAATACATACCCAAAACTCACGATTTGAAATAACAACAAAATTCTAAAATGTATTTGCTTGGTTTTTTTTTTTTTAGATTATTTCTGGAGCTGAAACTGGTGATTCTATGATGATACTGAAAGTGTTTAGCATACTACCTCTGTTAACTTTTCAATTACTTATGTCATGCTATTTATGCGAAACTATAAACGAAAAAGTAATTATACAATATGTTACATTTGTGTTTATTTTGTTCATTTTAAAAAGCAAAAATAGAAAAAAAATTCTCAACAAAATAATAGAAAATTTAAAGTACAACATTATCATCATCTCTACATTAATTGCATTTTACAATCATGTACAATGATATCACAATATGTGATATAATGTTATATCGCATACATTATTAAACCATTACATAAGTACCTATTATATTATATAATAAACACTTTGTAAAACAATCAATTTAACTTTTATTAATAATAGACTTAAAACCAAACATTGTTTTAATTGACTATAATAGGTACATTTTTATTTTACTAGAAAGATGCCATCATTTTCTCGTTGTACAGCAGTAATTGGATCGATATGAACATAAAAAGCAAACAATTAATCTTATTAACGATGAAAATAAATAATGTTAACACGCTGAAAATTATGTTTACAAACACCAAAATTGTTAATTTGGAAATGTTTACAAAAGTATGTATACAAATTGAGTATGACATTTTCTTGTACAGGAACATTTATCATAGCCTTGTCGAGGCTTCCATTTGCTTCTTAAGTGAAAATCGATCGTAAGCCCAATTATTTTTCACTGTTTACTTCTTCAACTAATCCTATAATAAAAGTGCAACCTTTACTGCAGTATACTTTATATTCTATACTATTATAAATCCTTTTTTTCTCAAAATTTCAAACTCTAGTTTAAATAATTTATAGTACGACAACAGCAATTTAACTAAAACGAAACAGAAATTAATTTAGGTAACATTAAGTTAAAATGTTAGTTTAATTTTCTAATCAACTTCCTTAATTAATAAAACAATTATTATCTTTTAGCTTATTAAATCTTTCACGGTTTTCAATTATCTTATCCAGACTTGCTATGTTAATAGACGATTGTTTTCAATAATAACACAGATGCTAATTTTTGTATTCTTGTTTCAGACAATTCGTGTATGTTACTCGATATTTTCGATGTTATTAAATTATAATAAAAACCGAATTAACTAGAATACTTGTATTTTTCTTGGAAGTAAGTACCTATTTAAAAATATTAGTTCAGTACACGTAATAAATTAGTAACTATTATGTACATCATAAATGTATTTAAAATTATTTATTATAAATATTTGTAATTTGTTTTTATTTTAGATTCGGAATGGAGGACCGGGGCCTGTAACTTATCAATAGTATTATAATGACACGTGTATATTTGTAGTAATTTTTACTAATTTTAGATTAGAAAATATACACAAACCTATACCAATTACAAGTATAAACTGAAAATGTGCGCAATTCTACTCTTATTATAATATTGTATAGATAATGTTTTATAGCATAGTATTTTGTATTAATTGTAATACCTAGTAATACTAATATTTATTGGTGAAATGTATAATTATTATTAGATAAAATATGATGTTTCGTCAATTGACACATTATTATACGAAAGAATATATTTTAAACTTAATTCTAAATATTTAAATATAAATCTAAAGTACGTAATGGTACTCGTGTATCGTCATTAACATAATATTAATATTAATACAACTAATTACCTTATTTTTGTTTTATTTTTATTTTTATTTATCTGTTATACATTAATTAGATTTACCGTACTTTAGCATATTATAATTAGTCTTATGCATGAACCATAAACCATACGCTAAATAAATAAACATAATATTAAGATAATCTAATACACATTTAAAATTAATCATAAAATCGTAAATCAATATATTATAACACCCGTCATTACAAAATTATATTACTATTTCATATATCTGTAAAAAACAAAATAATTATACTGTATAACTATGTACCATATTTTATATCATTTAAATCAATAAACAATAACGACAATCTCACTTCAAAATACTATTAAACCCCACGCTTACAATCTAATAATCATCCAGTCTTAACATAGACTTAGGCTCCGACTAACCATGTCCAACTGTTAAACTTATATAGTGCGATTGTCGTGTTTTATTTTATTCAGTTTTGTTTTGTTCTTTTAAATAGTTTTCCTTACTTTAAATTATTGTAAACTGTATACATAATTGAAAATTCACGTTGCGTATATTTTTTCATATTCAGAACTTTGCTACTCAAAGACGTATTCCCGTTCGCGGCAGGTAAGCCGGTAATTATATCATACACTCATGACCCCGGTTGTACTTCCTCTAATAGAAAAAGGTATTGCCATAAAAAGGGGAAATTCGCCATTCACATCCGAATAGGCACCTACCTATTGACTCCCCCTTTTTAGGTCTTTACAAGTTTATATAGACTAACTTTAAATATCTATGTTTTTCGTTGGAAAGAAAGATATTTTCATTCTGAGCGAAGTTCAATTATACGTGTTGCGAAAGGTCCCATGATTTTTAAGGTTTTCGTCAAAATTGTATTTTAAAACTCTTATCAACAATTAAAAATACTACTAAAGTAATAGTGCAATAGTTAATTTTTTTTTGTTTCTACTGCTAAGTACGACGTATAATGAACCTCCTGTCAAATGTTCAAGCATTTCAAAACTCACATTATTAGTAAAACCAATAGATCCCTCGTTACGCTCAGAATCTAAAAAAAAAATCAAAACAATCATTCGTATTCAATGAAAAACAATTAAATATGAGGTTACAATCACCTGTTCCAATCGGCAGTCAGATGATTTTCACCCACCAAGGTAATAAATAATATATGTGAGGTAATTAATCGTCTATTAAAAAAGTTTCTTCGCGTATTCGCTCTTTATACCCAATCCGCGAAAATCGACTTCACGAAATCGTGGTTAAATTAAGTATAATATTTACAGTAAATGATATTCCGACGCAAAGAGCGACGTATAACGCTAAAAACGACGGAGCTTTTTAGCTGAAACAACAACAACCGTGAAAGAGTGGAGACTGCTTTCGCATTACTTCCCCTGATGTGAGATCGTTTAATGATACGACATAAAATTACAAAATACAAGTGCCAAACTAATGGACTTAGCTCTATAACAGTTATAATAATATTCGGTACAGCAATTTACACAACAATCCATCCGGTTCCAAGCATATTGTAGCATATTATTACGGAACATGTTATGTTGTCTACGTCCGATAATATTAATAAATACGTGTTATTTTAAATTCCATCGCATAGCTCTAGTGGCTATAATATGACGGTAATTGATATTAAATAGTGCACGATTAGCAAATTTTGCAACATTACGGTTGACCTCGAACAAAAAAAAAAAAAAAAAACCAAAAACAACAACAACGATTACCATCGGTTATTTGTGAATAAATACGTACGCAGTGATCACGTCGGAAACACAGTATCGTGTTTACGTCCGAAACGCGGTACTACGATGATGTTCGTCGCATTCGTCGTGCTGTTCGAAGCGGTGTCATTGGCGTCTGCGTCAACCACGACGCCGTACACGCTGATCGGCAGGAACTCGGTCACGGTTACAGAATCCCAGGCGACGTGCAAGAACGGCGTGTCCACTACGGTGACGACGGCGGTGAAGGGCGAACTGTACGTGCTCAATCCGCCCGGGACCAGGACGGATTTCACGGGAAACCAATGGAAAAACCGGATGACATTGCTGGACAGAGAACCGGACGACGAACAAGGGCACGTGGTAGCATCCGTGTTCGGAGGTCCCATCGCACAGTGGAACCTAGTACCCCAGCACCGGAGCGTCAACCGGAAGATCAAAGTGCAGAGTGACTTGCTCAACCGCTGGGACGAGTTTGAGAAGTGGGGCCGCGTAGAACTGGCTAAAATAGGCGGCGCTCCGGTCAAATTCAACATGATCATCAAGTACGCGCCTGCCAACGGCTGCCGACCAATCGGGTTCGTTATCCATGGCACCAGCCCGAAGAGTTCCGGTTTCGACGCGGAATTCGTCAATGGGCCGAATGGAACGTTCGCCGCCTCTAGCGTGCCGTCAAAACGTCAAAAGAAAACTTAACTCAACCTCCGGGCTACATTACACATGACTTATAGTAAGTACTATATACAGAATAGACAAAATAGACAATAAAACATCTAACGAGAAAATAAAAACAAAGTAACTGAGGATAGAGAGAGATATAAAATTTAGAAAAAAAAAAAATATTTTGTTTTTCTACACGCCACAATGGCCTGTTATCTGATTAATTTAACTTGTCGATTCGAAAACCATATCAACGACTGTTATATGGTTCGTACAGACTTTTAATCGCAAAATGTTCACCCCCCCTCCCCCCAGATACGTCACAAAAACCATTTGAAAATCTGCGTGACGCCGCATCAACACCCGCAATTGTAAAACGAATTTCACAGGATCCAAACCCAAGAGCGTGACCAAATGAAAAGTTTGCGATTACAAATCTGTAAAACAGTATAGCAATCGTTGGGAATGGTTTTGCCGACTCAAAATACGTAATATCATATTCGCTTAAACAAGCGACAAAAAACAGAGATTTGATTTTCAAACCACGCGGCCGAAGCGAGCGAATTTATTTGTTCGCTCGAGCCGCTCTTATCGCGTAGTACGATAGACAACCAATTTATTTTCACACCGAAAGTCAAGTATTAAAGGAACGATCAACCAATTCCTAAATTAAAACATTAAATCGACATAAAATATAATCCGCTTGTTTAATATTACTACGTTTAGATTCTGAGTATAAAAAAGAATATATTGGTTTTATAAAAGATATTTATTTATTTTTTATACTGTGTACAAAAATTCTACCAGAAATGATCTTGCTCCGACGAATACGATGTAGACCCTTTTCTAAAAGAAAATTTTCTTGGAGTCGTCTTTTTTTTTATTTTCTCGGAAATTTTCCCAATAAAAAGGAAAAGTGAGAAAAAAACGTAAGCAAAACGGGAAATGTCCGTCTTTTTGTTATTGTTGATACGTTTAATGTATTAAAAACTGCTTTAAAAGTTGAATATTATAATAATTGCTAATAATGAAAATATAATTTTTAATTGTTACGTTCCTTTAATATACTAGACCCTCGACACGTTTGAATAATAATCACTCGCACCGCACCCATCGATATGGATAGGCTATTCATACCTTATCAGTGTCTCAAGAGGGACGGGTACAGTGACTCCAAGTTTCGTTGCATAATACCACTGACTAAATAATTCAATATGTTCCTTTTTTGAAGTAGTCAATATATTTAGTTAAAGGATATTATTTTGTGCTGATGTATTTACTTATTTTATGTTACTAGTGAATCAGTACAAAGTTTTAGATTCTGAATGGCGTGAAGAAACTTATGGTTTTACAAAGACGAATGTATATAGTGTATATTGTATACATTTCTAATTTGCAAATATTAAATTAGCGATAGTAGCATAATATGTAGGTTGTTGGCTCAATTTTCTGTGAACCAAAATTGTATGTAACAAAATAGTTAAATCTTCCATTTTATGAAATATCTTTTTTCGGGAAGGGTGGGGTTAGGGGTGGCTGAAATATGTTGTCTCGGCACGCAAGATTTCCAAATACGACCTTGGGTCTATCCATTCCTTTATTATCTATGGCTGCACCGCGTTATCTTTTCTACGCACGATGCGTAGTAGTCATTATAGTAGGTACTTGTATTATACTAAGTACTTGTCACTCGCACCAACGCTTCCCGTGTGAACAGTAAAAATAGTGCGAGTGGAAGTGGCAAGTGCGAGCGAATAGAACCGAGTTATATTAACTAGGTTATTATTTATTATATTTCATATTAACAACCTTTAAACCACATTCGAAATATTGTACTGTATTTAGAAAAGAAAAAAAACACACACAAATTAATACAAATCAATCTGGGTGACAAAATTGAACGAAAACGTAAATCCTCGTTCACCGTAACAGTATTGCAAATAATTGTATTAATTACATCGTACGGCTTTTGCGACGCGCATATTATTATTATCAATTGTACTCAAAAACAAACTCGCGCCAGTTTTTAACGGTCTTGTCGTTCCACACGTACTGGCCTTTGACTCGTTGTTCGCCTTCCGGTAACAAAGCCAGGTAAACCAAAGCTTCGGCCCCTTGGTCAATGCTCAACGGGATCCCCATCCCCACCATATGACTGGTCATGTCCGTGTCCACGTAACCCGGATGAACGCTATTCACTACGATGTCTTTTCTGCGCGGATCAACGTCGAATTCCTTTTGTTGGATTATGGTCAGAGCGCTCACAGCTACTTTGGATACCACGTACGCCGACGACGGCCATCCGGATTGTTCGTGATTTACCGCGGCAGCCGAGTTCACGAACCGCTCGACCAAACCGTCCAGCTGTTCGACCGTCAAGTCCGGCGATGAGAACTCTGCTCTTAAACCGTCACCGGGTATTCTGGACAACAAACCGGCACAACTGGATACGTTCACGACGCGGGCGCCCGGCAGCAGTAACGGAAACAGCGCGTCGCACACTCTTCTCAGCGCGAAGTAATTGACTCTGGAAGTCTCTGCGGCCTGCTCGGCAAACGATACCGCGGAATCTTCCCTGTACCTAATTGCCGCGTTGTTTACCAGAACGTTGATGCCCGCGTAGTTCTTCTCGACGAAACGTTTGAACTCGGCCACGCTACCGTCGTCCGTCACGTCCAGTTGATGGAACTTGGGCTTCAGGCCGAGCACGTTCAGAGTTTGCACTGCCTTCTCGCCCCTGCTCACGTCGCGGGCCGTCAGGTACACGTCGCCGTCGAACTGGTCGCAAAGGGCTTTCACCACGGCGTACCCAATGCCTTTGTTGCTGCCGGTAACTATCGCCAATTTCGCACTACACATCGCGGAAAAAAACGTTTACGAAATGTATTTCGTTCCGACGCTGATAAAACGATAACTATTTTATGATAACGCAAAGGCCGAAAATATGGATTCGTATTTGTATGATGCCACGGTCGGACAACGAACGATATTAGATAATGCGATTTTATGCAGCAACAGCTGCGTCTGCCACTGTGGTATACCAAAATATTCGTGGCGGTGTCGAGAGCTAAGCAGGAAGTAAGCGGTGGGGATGGCGATTACCGATTCCGTCTCCCTCCACTCGCAATCAGATCTACACGACCTGCTACAACGTTACTAGTTTGCAATAAGTTCGTCGGCCAGGTAAAAAACGTATTTACGCAATCAATGTTGGATAACATGCAGTCATTGGATTTACAGTCGTGGGATTGAAGGAACAAAAAAAATGTATAACCCATGGTATTACATTAAAATAAATATATATATATATGGGTGGTAATACGGGTGTCTCACTGTATTCTACGAAATTTTACATACTGCAGTATGCATTTTTATATGACATTAAATAAAGATAAAATTAAAAAAGGCGGACATATTTCACACGATGGGTGAGCCACTGTTGTAGGTGAAAAGTTGAGAAGATAGATGGATATAGAGGGGAATTTAATTTTATATCTGTACGCAACGATTAATATTTACTAACGAAAAACGATTCTGAGTGGAGTTCGGTTATACATGTTTAAAAAGTCGTAATATTAAAGATTTTCGTCAAAATTTAATATTAAAATTTTGTATAAAAAAAATTTACATTACTTAATTATTTTTTTTTAACCGCAGAGTCAGACTTATAATAAATCTCCTGTTAAATTTTCAAACATTTCTATTATTGTGTCTAACATTTTTATCCACGGAGTACCTACCAAAAAAAAAATTACGTTAAATCTCGCAAAATTAAAATATCTATAAACAGCTCGAAAATAGCTCATATATTTTGAAAATTTTACCACATCTATAAAAGAATAATATAAATTTGTCAAAATTTCAGGTGTCAATGAATATTTTTATCTGAATTATATAAAATAAAAAAATTGAAAATGATAAAAGCATTATTTTATTTCTGGTAGAAAATATCGTGTTGACAAAATTAAATACAATGAAAATGGTAACACCATGCCTTAAATATTTCCCGTTTTATGTATAATTTTCTTTCCTGTTTTTTTCCAATCCAAAATCCAAAATCAAAAAACAACCTTTTTAATATACCAACTAGACAAAATTTCCTTTCGGAAAAGATACTGTACTCTATACATCGGAATAGGATTTCTTTTCGGAAAGTTTTTTTACAGACAAAAAAAATAAAAAAATAAAAGAAGCACGCATTATAGTAAAACCAATTGATCCATCTCTATGCTCAGAGTCTAAAACGTATTGATTAAGTACCTGCAGACTACTATTAGGTAAACGTGCGCAAACAAGCCGTAAAAAAAATTATTGTATACGGAAAAGAGTTGTATCCACAATTTAATGTTTTATTACCAATATAATAGTCAAATTATTATTTAATGTAGGTATTCACTAATCACTATCTTATGGTGATGATTTTATAAACTTTTTCGAAAATCAACAAATCTCTATTGATTAAAGGCCAATAAACAATATTGTACTTAATTTAATTGCCAAAAATTACAATGTCAGCTCCAAATTTGAATCATTCCAAAAAGAAATTTACTAAAAAGATTTACTTTGTGCAGGTATATTAAAGTGATTTCCACCGGATAATGCAATCTACTTAAGATACAAGATAAATTGGGTACCAGTGGTTTATATCATTCTATGCAAGTAACATTTCCGATTTATCCAATCGTCAGGTTTTGAACATTGAGTTCACTTATGTAATAAAAATTATGATATACAAGAAAAAATTTATGTACCTACCTAATATTTGCTAAAAGAAAATTAAAATTTACACAAGTTATAAATCTAGTATTAGTTGACAATAATCAATAATTATTATAAATTTGATTTCACTTTATTTACAGTTGTATCAGCCACAAATAATTATTCAAAAGCGGATATAATCTAAGAGGAAACTATGAGCAATCACAACGTTTTTGTATTGTATGCTATAATTTGGTATTGCACAAATAATGAAACTACAAGAAATCGGTGTAATATTACTAGAATCCACAATATATTTTCAGAGATCAAAACAGTATTTCTTTTTGCATACTCACAGTTTTATTGAACTTTTACTAAATGTCGATACAGTTTGCTTAATAAAATCAGTTAGGTATTAGCCAAAAAAATATAACACATAGTTAGATATTGACAAGTAGATCTTTACCATGTTAGCTCTATAAAGATTAATATTAGTAATGAATATAAATATTATGTTACCTACTCTAATACAATTGTTAAAAATTCTCATTTTTTTTTTGTTTTTTTTTTAATGTACATAAATACCAAACAAAATAAATAAAAACATACAGTAAGACTAATAGTCAATAATATAGACAATAAAATACACATTGATTAATACTGGACAAATATTTTATTTTTCAACATTTAAAACACGGCAAGAAACAATTTTATTAAATATTAAAAAATTATGGATAAAATATACAACACGAACATAAATTTTGTTTTAACATTTTGTATACAGTTGCAATACCATAGACGTAACAACTTTAGTGAGTACATTTATTATTATGTAAAGAAACCAATATGATGTTAACAACATTGCAACAGGTGTTTGTTAATTTCTTCTAGTGGAAAACTAATGATCTAACGTATTCCTCTACACTTGTAACCAAAAACTGGTTTCCTATTTAAATGTAAACTAAAAATGTATACTAAACTACTGAATAATACGTAAAGACTGTATGCAGTTGTATATTGGAAATAAGGCACTACAGTAAAGTGTTTGAAATACAAATCAACTGTGCATAAAGTAAATATAAACATAAAAAATTACTCGAAAATATTGTACTTAATAAGAGAAATGTTAAATACTGATAAAAATCAGCTTATTAATTTCTGTATCAATTATTGATTATTATGTTTTTCCCTTGTAGGAATAAATAATAATACCTGCATAACAAGTGAGTACACTTGAGCATGTTTTGTTTTTTTATAACTTGTAAAAGTCTTTAACGGTCTTATCATTCCAGACATACTGGCCTTTGACATTTTGTTCACCTTCCGGTAATAATGCTAGGTAAACCGGAGCTTCGGCACCTTCTTCAATAGTTAATGGACCTTTATGGCTGCTCATGTCCGTGGCCACGTAACCCGGATGAACGCTGTTCACTATGATGTCTTTTCTGTAGGGGTCAACGTCGAATTTTTTTTGCTGGATTATGGTCAGCACGTTCACAGCTACTTTCGATAGCGCGTACGCCGATGACGGCCATCCCAGACTTCTGTGAATACCGTGGGAAGCCGATTCAACGAACAGATTGACCAAACCGTCCAGCTCTCTAATTTTCAAATTCGAAGATGAAAATTTGGCTCTTATTCGATCGCCGGGAATACTGGACAAGAGTCCGGCGGAGCTCGATACGTTCACAACGCGGGCGCCCGGCAACAGTAATGGAAATAACGCATGGCAAACTCTTCTCACCCCGAAGTAATTGACTTTGCAAGTTTTAGTTGCCTGCAAGGCAAACGGTTCCTCGGAATTTACTTTGAACGCTATAGCCGCGTTGTTCACCAAGACGTTGATGCCCGCGTAGTTCTTCTCGACGAAACGTTTGAACTCGGCCACGCTATCGTCCTTCGTCACGTCCAGTTGATGGAACTTGGGCTTCAGGCCGAGCGCGTTCAGCGTTTGCACTGCCTTCTCGCCCCTGCTCACGTCGCGGGCCGTCAGGTACACGTCGCCGTCGAATTTTTCACAAAGGGCTTTCACTATAGCGTACCCTATGCCTTTGTTACTGCCGGTGACTATCGCAAGTTTGGTTGACATTTCGTAAAACTATAAAATATTATAGCGAAATTGTCACAAATTTCTTCAAACAATTTCGTTACGGTCCGATTTATAATGCGGTGTTGAGAACGCTCTTGAAAAGTCACGTTAATATTCGAAACGGGCTACAAAAGTACAAACACAAACAGATAGTTACGATTATTTTGATTCGCGAGCGATATGGTCTTACGTGATTCTAGATAATAATAGATAAGCCAGTTTAACAAGCGGATGTTTTTATCTATTTATGGTTCAACCGCAGAATAGATTAAACTAAGGTTAATAACAATAACACGGTCTTAGAAGAGTGGACGAATTCCTACATTCCCGTCTATTTAATTCTTTTTAACGGGAAAAATAACGTTCCTATCCAATATTCATAATGCGGCAAAAGCACTGCCATTCTGAGGTTCTAAATGTTCGAATAGTAAACACCGAACAGCCCGCTTAAAACAAGAATTCATTTAAACTAACGAAATTAGTTTATTATATTATAAAATGATTGTTTTATTTATATTAATAAAATCCATAATTCTAACATAAGTTGATACAAACATTACAAACTGCGTAATGTTATTTGTCTAGTGTACTTGTCTATGCTATCTAGTGGCAAATAGAGTTGTCAACTGTCCTACGTTTGTTTCATTTATCCTACATCCAACAACGCTTTCAAGCTTTATGTAGAACAATTTTACATTTCAAATGTCAATATACAGACGATAACTTATATACCTACTATAGTATATAATTTAAGACAATAAATAATTATACATATACTACTATATCTAAACTTGTTACAGATTTGTTAAATTGTCTAATTCTGTTGACTATTCTATTATTTGTATTTATGATTTAATTATGGTACGAAAAATCAAATTTTAAAAATTTAAAGTTATTATACACTTTAATTTATGAATATTTGAAATATACCAACCTGTTTTCTAACAATTTGCAATTCTAATAAATTGTAAGCATGTTAGCTGAATTGTTAAGTCAAAAGAGTACCTATATAATAAAGATTAGAAAAAAAATAAAAGATTTAAATAAAATTTAGATTATTTTTTTTAAAAGTTATACCTAGTAATATATATTATATACCTATTCTATTTTCATTACAATTTTTAATCAACTAGATACTTATGATATAAAATAAGATACGAAAAAAATTTCCTACGTCATACAATTTGAATATTGGAAACCCTAGTGGCAAATATAAATCTATTCTATAGATATTTGAATGTACACATTTGTTGGTACACACTTCTTGGATGAATCTTTTGATAATTAATTTGAAAAAATATCTAAAACTATTGAATTTGTGAATTGTGAATATCATAAATTTTTTTTGTTACTTCTTCCAAAGACAGGTCTGTTTTAGCAATGGTTATAATGTTGTAAGGTGAAATACAATTTACGCAAATTACAATTTACAAATGTGATTATTACGATTTCAGTATTTTATTTAAATAACAACTTTTAACTTTTAAGTAGGTACATTATAATATTTATGTGTCTACAGAATATAAATGCCTGTTTATTAGTCTATTTTCATGAACTCTAGATGATCATAAACTTGTACATGAGTTTATATGTATAGTTGTTGAACCTTATCTTTTTTAGTGATTAATACTGCAGAATAAAATATAATACAGTATATTAAATATTCTATTAACCTTGAGATCACGCCCACAAATAAGAGAGATAATATGAGGTTGCGTATTCATTACTATCAATTGGTTTGCGCTATTTTTTACATTCTAGTATTGAACTAAACAAATAGCACATCACATAATATGTGATCTTATTTAACTAATGCATTGTTTAATTTAGTGACCTCTACACAAATACGGTTAAGATGTGTGTTTACTGGTTTGTAGTTCCCTAAACATAAATGTATAACACTTAAACACTTTAAGTTTCCAATTCTTAGTAGAAATCTTGTGAGTAAGAGTGCAGTAGTTGGCTATAGATATATAGATTACTCGGATGGAAGGTCAGAAGACTTAGAAAACTAAAAGATGTAAATTAAATAATATAAATTATTATATATTAAATTTATCCAACAAATTCAATAAACAAAAGCAACAAAATGAAAAAAAAAAAACTATATAACATAATAAGTATAGAGATCATAGAAGTTAAAGAAAAAAAAACAAACTAATAAATTATTTAAAATTTATCAAATTTACATAATATTCTAAACATACAGTAATAAATGCTTAAATGCTTACATTTTAAGACAACAATTTTAAAATAAAGTATGCAAAGATTATATAAAAATAAATTATTGTATAAAAATTATTTCTTAGAGAAATTAAATAGGTAATAATTGTTTATCAAAAATTTTTTTGTGATTTCTTTAATTCTTTTCTAAAGTAGGCTATTGTCATCTGCAAGCCATCTTGTAGGCCTACCTGTAGAAAAAAAAAACATAGTTATAAGGTACACAATTTAAAGTAATAATACAGCTAATCGTATTATATGATTTTAACGTAAATCAAAAATCTAATAATCATCATGACTCAATTATTATTGTAAATTGTATAATATCTTTTCTTCTTTTTATACTTATAATAAAGTATAAAATAATACCTAGTGAATATTATAAAAAAAAAAAAACAACAAATAAAAACTTGCTTTATAAGATAGTACCTAATTATAAATATAGCAATAAAATAAATGTAAAATACATACATACTAAGTTGTGTCTTAAATGGACCATAGTTTAATTTTAATAAGTACAGCCCCCTTGAATAGTTCCAAATTAAAAAATTAAAATTCACTCCAATTTTGAAAACTTTATCTCAATATTAACCCTTACCTAAAGCCGTCTACTTTTTTCCATTCATTTAACATGGGGTTTTTATTGACTTTTAATTATTATTATGGAGTGTCAGAATTAAACACAAGAAAAATATAAATGAATTAAAAATTGTGTATCCTATTTTTATGGTAATTTTTAATTGTTTGAGCCGTTATATTGGATCCACCATTTTGAATTTTAAAAACAGGAAAATTTGCTGAAATTGTATATAGGTTTATCAAAATAAACTCTCATCATTTATATTTTTCACCTTATACAAATTTAAATTGGAGGTCATCTCAACAAGGCAAGAAAGTTAATCATGTAAATAATAGTTTCCAACCTGTAGTATGCGAAGAAATTTTCCTTCATATCAAAATTAAAAAATTGTAATTTAAATATTAACAAATTTACCTGAAATTCTTTACTTTTATGAATATCAAACAATAATACAAAATATTAATAAATAAATTTAGAATAAAATATATATTTTAAAAAAAAATTGAGTGAAGGTGAATAAATAAAATTATTTTTTATTTTTGTGTTAAGGGCATGAAAATAAAAATTTAATTTTTCTCCAAATTGATGTCCCCCTCGAAGACAAATCTATTGAAAAAAAAAATTAATATTAACAGCGCTGGAAAAATTTGTGGAACACGATGAGGCACACTGTATGTGCAAAATAGTTAGCTATAGCACACTTTTTAAACTGGACTATTTTTATACATTTATCTTTAACCTTTCAAAAAAATTGTACATTATATAATGTGACACGTTTTCATTATACTTACTATATCTATGGTTTTAAAACAACAACAAAAATTAATGAAACTCCTAAATTTTAATGTTAAAATTAAAATGATATAGTTCACTACCTATAATTTAAATATTTCTAAAGAATATTTTTACTTTAGGTTTCCAATGTAAGTAGGTCATTGCTCTTGTAATGTCTGGTTTTCTTCTTTGTGGGTCATCTTCTACAGCAGGAGTAGTGATTACTTTACTTTTTCCACCAACTAAATTGTTAATTATCACAGCAAATTCTGTAACATATTGAAAATATAATGCTTTATAGACATTCAATTGAAAAATGTAAAGTTGTATTATTAAAATTTATGTCACAATTTTTTTAAAAACGGTTCATTTAGCATTTCATCTACATAAATTACTTAATAACAATAAAAACTCACCATTAATGGTATGTTCAGTTGGATTACCAAGGTTTACTGGTTGGGTATAATTTGAATCCATTAAAGAAATCAATCCATCTACTAGATCGGACACATATTGAAATGAACGTGTTTGATTGCCACTACCGTACACCTAAAAGAATTTAGCAGAATTATACTGTTAATATAATCAGAAATATATTAAAATTGCTAAGATTATAAGTTTATTAACTGATCAGTGGTTTTAAAAGTAAATATTATTACACAATCAATAAGAACATATTTCTATATATATCTTACAGTAATAGGTTCATTTCGAAGAGCTTGCAATATAAAATTGGAAACTACACGTCCATCATTCATATGCATTCTTGGTCCATGAGTATTAAATATTCTGGCAACACGAACAGATACTTTTTCATGTTTAGCATAAGCATAACTCAAAGTTTCTGAAACTCTTTTACCTTCATCATAACATGCTCGTGGACCTACATTATACAGACATGTATGCAAGTTGAAAATAATATACCTATTATGGTGTAATTTATAATAAATAATAAATACCAATTGGATTAACATGTCCCCAGTATGTTTCAGGTTGAGGATGTACTTCAGGATCACCATAGACTTCAGAAGTGCTGGCAATCAAGACTTTGGCCCCGACTCGTTTTGCTAATCCTAAAATAACAGTACATATTATTATTATGAAAATATAATTTTAGTTTAGGATCTAATTAATCACAAATTTATAATTTACAAACCTAACATATTTATTGTTCCTATTGTATTCGTTTTAATAGTTTTAACTGGATTGAACATATAATGTTGAGGCGATGCAGGTGAGGCTAAATGATAAATCTCATCGACTTCTACAAACAGAGGATTAACTATATCTTGATGTATTAGTTCAAAGTTTGCATGGCCTATCCATTGTTCAACATTTGCTTTAACCCCGGTAAAAAAATTATCGACTACAGTTATGTCATGACCAGCTTTCATTAATTTGTCGACCAAGTGAGACCCAACAAAACCAGCTCCACCGGTCACCTAAAAAGTAGAAAAACAAAATAAACACACTTCTTGTATTTATGCAGTGAAATTTTTTTTTTGAAAATTGAAACCTGTTATATTTAGGTACTATTTTTGCAAGTTTACAATGTGTATACTTAACAATTATTATTATAATATAATGTAAGATATTTTAATAATAATAAAAAAAAAAAGAACCATAATAATAGTATTTATAATATTAAGTTTTAATGTAAGTCAAGATTTTGTTTGTGTTTTAGCTTGTTGTTTTCATTTTCAATTTGTTCATCTATTTAATACATATTAATATACAACTTGTAATTTTTAGGAACCCACTTCCTCCAGTCGGCTTATAATTTTTGTAGGGGTGTCATATACATTTGGTGGTTTTATCTTTTGTAATCTTGTATGATGGAAATAAACTAGTATTATAATTATAAAATTTTATTGGTCTGAAACAATTAGTTTTAAATCAAATCTGGGATTTTTCAGTAGTATTTCATGTCTTAAATCGTATTAAATAATTTTTGGTTTATAAAATCATTATATTACCAATGCTCATACTTTCTAGATATATTTTATAATCATCAAGTGTAGATATATCCGCCTATTCTTTAATTAATCTGATAGCCAATCAAATGAAAATCTTTTTGTATCAATTAACTATTGGATTGATAGATTATCCATTTATTAACAAGTCACTTCAGGAGATGGATAGTTATGAAATTTCATTTCCAATCACTCATCAAAAATGGTATCAAATTAATTAAAGAGCTGGTATTATTATTTCTTGATTCTCCTAAAAATTAACTTATTAATATTATTGTTATCATACCAAAATGCGTTTTTTTGTACGGTAGTTTAAATATTTGACATTTGGATATGGTTTTTTGATACGTTCTTCAAATCCTTGCATTTTATTCTGGAGTTGTTCTATTTTACCATTTGCCAATGCAAGCTCAATTTTTAGTTTATTAATTAAGTCAGAATTGTATTCAGATTTGACCGCATCAACAAATTGAAATTTTCTTTTATTCTGTGTTTCAAATTCGTGTTTAGGGCTACCATTATTTGATACAAGGCCATAGATAATTCCTGAAAAATAAATATATTAAATATATAATTTCGAAAATTAAAAAATTAACAAATATATTATTTAGATCTTTTAATGGTTTTATAAAAGTATAATGTTGTAAGCAAATAAGAAAATACAATGGATCAATTAAATGAAAAACAAAAATGGGAATACCTAGTTGATAGATTTGTATAGTGTTTTTTAGAATGATTTTCCATTTTGAACTGGATAGGTAAGTAAAAGAAACCGATCATTATTTTTGTCTATAATTTTTTGATTGGCAGATACCGAACTGAGAGAATGATTTTCATTTTAAACAGTTAATCCTGGTTCATATGGAACAAGTAAATAAAAGAATCAAGTTGCCAGGCTGCTCGCTAATAATCAAGCATATCAGTCGATTGCATTCTATTTTTCAGACTACTTGCCTTGTTATTATCCAGGAAATTAATTAAGTATTTGTCTCTATAACGTGTCATGTGTGAACAAAATATTATTAACAATAGAATGATGTACATTACTTCTTTGACAAAATAAGCAAATTAGTATCTACTTGGTTAAAAATAGTTTGGTTTACATGTACAATACTTTACGTGTTGCTGATTTGGCTGGACAGATTTCATTATAAAATTATATACTTGTAGGTATCTATTATTATTTGTGAAAACAGGATTTTTGGTTTTTTTTTTTTTTTATCAATTATCTATATATGTACCTATGAGTGTAAATGTGAGTAGGGAATTATCGTATACAACGTTACATAGGTAATTCTAACTATTTTATGTTATTTGGTAGACTAATTTAATGATAGCACTGTGAAAATGATTTAAAATGTGTTTAATAGTAGTATTTGATATTGAAAATCACAAACCTATAAAATAAATGGGTCGCATTGAAAACTGTGTTTTTTAGGAACAGCCCTTTTTTGGGGCTACCGAATTTATAAATTCGTAAGAAAAACAAAAAAAAAAAAAAATCCACGGCGTCCGTGGCAATCGGTCGGCAAGTAGAAAAATCGAAATTTAATTGGGGGGTTTCTTCTAGGACGGTATACAATCAAGAACAAAAAAAAGAAAAACGTCTACGAGACGTTTACCGACATTTTTTCTGCGGGCCCCCGTAGGCCGTACTGCTCCGACCCCGGGGGCTGGCTCTGTTCGGTTTTTTCGCCAGACCGGATGGCCGCGAATGCCGACGTTTTCCGGTGAACGCTGCGAGCGCGGTCCGCCGCCACACTTACCCAACGAAACGAGTCCGCTGCCTATGAGCAACGCCAGGTAAACATTTACGCGGATCAACATTGGACGTCCGTGCTTGGTCGGGCCCGACGGAAATATGACGGCACGGCGGCGTTCATCGCACCACTAATGTACACGAATGTATGTCGTTATTATAATTTTCTTCGCCCAATCGGTGCACATAATTACAACGTGTCGAGTTGTTGCGTATCGCGTATTAAAAATGTTAATTTAAATACCCGGTTACAGATACGGACGGCGGCGCGACGGTCGGTGTCGGGCGCTGAGAATAGCGGCGCGCCGAACGTCCTTATCGTCACTGCCGTCGGACCGTACAATGTCGGTATCGTTACTCCACGGTATTCCGTAACTTTGGCGGGGGCGGCGGACGACACTACACCGCAGCCGGCGTTGTCGAGGTGCACAGATGAGAAAAAAAAAAAAGCAAATAACAATTATTATCTATAAACGTCGAGGTGTTGTAACCGTCACGATTAATGATATCTTTAACCGTGGTCACCGTAGATAAACCGGACAGTAGATAACGTACGTAATTATTATTATGCGTCTATTTTTTTTTTTTTTTTTTACTTACATGTTGTCCGTGGTTGTCGCAGTTCGCGAATCGAGCAAATCTCAATTCGTGTCACACGTGTACATAATTATTATCTAAGGTGGGCGTTGTTTTCTCGACATCTCGGGCCGCGCACCGGGCAGACAATTACAGGGTGCGCGGAAATAGCCGAAAACAAATCGGCCGAAAAATATCCCGGCTGCTCCGTATTTAAGCCGAGAAACATTTGAGTCGATGGTATTTTATCTGAAAATATCACAGTCGACCGTAATTATTATAGGATAAAGATAAAAATATTGGAATGAGCTTTACGCGTACATTTTTTGCCACCAGATTCCAAATGTGAAATTTTATACCGTTTTCTTTTGCATACATAAAATGTGGTAGATTTTCAGTGCTATTTTAACATTTTTTGTTAATATGTATAACACGATACATTGCTTTGTATTTTTCATGAATAAAATCTACAATTTATGTGAATTCATAAGAAAAATACTTACATTTCCGTTTCATATTATAATCTATTTTTTAGTAGTCTGGCGTATATTGTACCTAGAGATGCGTAATCACTGAATAAGTTCGCTGAAATAAACAACTATTCCCAATACTTACGTTTCGACCAATCGAACAGTCTACATTTTACGACATTTACGATCGGTCGTGTATTAATTTATTTAAACATATTATGGTGATTGTATTAATTAAAAAAAAAAAAAAATAATCAGATAACAAAACACATATTCCATCAGTATGTATGGACATTTTAATTTTAGTAATTTTCCCATTTCCCATTATCGTTCTACAGAAACGGCTTGATAACAATTTAATAATTTATTTAGTACAACTATACTACTATACAGAGCGTTATAGTGACGTTATTTTGGGAAAGTTGTATTAATGTCTATATTTAAACCGGGAGATTATTTAACCCGCGCGACCGATTGAAAGTTTATAAATAAATAGTTGAATGATTTCTTTGCCTTTGGTTTAATTTTTCTTTGGTTTTCATTTCTCTTGGTTTTCTTTTTTGCGGGTTTTTTTTCAGTATGGGTACCATGATTCATTAATTGTAACCTTACTAAAATTGGTTTACAATCAATTCGTGACTCTCAATGAATTTGTGGTTACATGGCGATAAAACAATCAGTTTTATAACTATTTTGAATTATCACTTCATAATATATATATATTAATAACTAAATAACTATTCAGTATTTATTGTCCTAAAGTCCTAAAGGGCTAAACCAGTATATTAAATCACATAAATAGTCAAACAGAATTTAAATATAACCGTTAAAAACACAGACAGTCAAAAACAGACTTTAATTTTGCACCCTCAGTTAAAAAAACGACAAAAATTGAAAAATAGTGTGAAGTAACAAGTAACTGCTGAACAATTTAAATTCTATAATTGTTTTAACATAAGTTACTATAGTTACATAGTTTCTTTCATCTGTTTATACTTAATCATTATTTTTATCACCTAAATAATATAATATACCTAATGTATTTATCAGATATATTAACGTTTATATACTTAAATATTAGTGTGCTTATCTTTTTACTGTGCATTTAAGAATGGTTATAGTAACTATCAGGGTTCGAATTGTGGAGGGGGGGGTAGTGCGTAGGGGGACGGAGCTCCTCTACTGTTTTTTTAAATATTTTTGCGTACCTCAACTATTTTTTTACTGGAACGGGGGAACGGCACGAACTAATGTCCGAAATAATTTTTATTAAAATGTGGATTTCAATGCGGTTGTACAATTATACAACGAATTTTGCTATTTTTAATTTCAAAATTATTTTTGATATTATCATTTTTTCTATGGTCCTATTTTTGTTACCACGTGGTAGGTATATCGATATTCTATCACACAATACCGCGACAACCGAACGATACCGCATGGTTGAATTTATTGAACTAAACTTTTGACCATGTGGTTACCATAAAGTAATTACTCAATGATGGTTACATACAATTGTTCGCAGAAAAGCGATGATGAAAAAAAAAAAAAAAATGGTAAAATTGTATTATCATTCATCAGGATACAATATTCATATAATTTTTATTTTCTACTACGGCATATAGGATGTAGAGGTATTGCTGTCAAAATATATTTGGAATTTTAATATTTGAAGCTGAAAAGTGGTATTCAAAATGCTGGTAAAGTGGAACGGGGGGGGGGAGGTTGGCGAAGCCCTCACCGGTCTGTGTTCAGTGATCGTACGCTTGGAACGCAGTTTTTAAATTGTTGGATTGAGCTCCTCTACTTAGTTTTCCCCAATTCGAGCACTGGTAATTATGAAATTGAAATGTGGCATTCGGCGATGTGGGGGCGTAGCCTCTAGTTGCGCCCGTGATTTATAATCATAGAATTATAAAAATAAGTAATTAATGTAGGCAAGTTATTTATTTCACAATTTTTTTTTTTTTTTTTTAATTTTAAATAAATATTTATTAATACGATTCGTGGTACCGTCGTGCGCGCAAATTTAATTTTCATTATGCTATTGTAATACTAAGAGGATAATCTATGGTGCAAGTGCGCAGCCGTGGGTAGTGACGTTTCTAAATTTGTACCTTTGATTTCTTCTATAATTTAATCGGTCATAAGTTATGACTCATAACTATGGATTTTTCAAAACAGCAATTGTATTTACGTTCGAATAATAAATAATGCGAAAATAAACCAGACAATAAAAAAAAAACCATTTGTATCACTAATAAAATAAACGTTTCTTATCAGTACTTGCCCAACTGGAATAAACGACACCGTTACCTCATTATTGTTAGAGATGACTATTTAGAAAAATATACTTAGGTTTTAATGTTTTACTGTGGACACAATAATATTAAACATTATATTTCAACATTTTCTCGAATCGATAGTAGTCGCCAGTCACAGATAGAAGCTGCATCATTGATTAAGTATGCCTAATTAATGGTAGGAGTTGCTACAGTTGGCTGGCAGTAACAAGTGTTAAAAATCGATTATCAATCCATAAGGTAAAGTAACTGTGACGTTTATTTCAAGTATGCAGGTGGTACTGATAAAAACCGTTTATTTTATTACAGTAGTGATATAAACCCGTTGTTTTTATCGTCTGGTGAAAATAAAATATCTAATGGTCAGATATTTTACCAGCAAAGTTTTTTGTCAGACAATATTTTTTACGAAAATGAATTTGCCGAACAGAAATTTATTAAAATAATTCTTTAAATAATATGATCTAAAGTTATCAACCTGTTCAGTGATAAGCGGTTGTCCAAGAATGATAAAAACAGTTTGTGGAATCGCGGCCCGGTCGCGTATTAACGTTGTTACTGTATCGCACGCGAAATAAAAGTTGTTTTGTGTGACAAATCGGGAATTATTTTTGATTCCCAAAGTCCTAAATAAGCTCGCAAATGGAGGCGCTCAGACGAAGCATATTTCAAATCAAATAAATACAAAATATAAAAATATCGAAATATTACAAATCACAACAATGTAATACAAGTATAGAAATTACGCTTTCGGACCGTTGTTATTTATCCTTATCATTTTCCGTCCCCTACCCGACGATGGCGATGATAACAAAAAACAAGTCAAAACCGACGTTTTCTATGGACGATATTAAGTGCGGATACGATCGTAGGAGTACGGCAAGTACTCGGTGCTTTACGATTTACCGTAGGCGTGTACTGCCCGTGCTGCTGTCGACTATTGTAATAATAATATAATATTATGTTTGGAAGTTCGAGAAACGTACGTAATATTATTAATATTTCGCATTGCATTACCGTTAGTTAACGCGCCGTTCACGTCGCCGAAGAATCATTTTAATTTACAACACGCATGTTTCTGTTGAATTATTACCATCCCTTGATGTCATGTATGACTGACGTCCAAAACTCCAAGTGTCGAGCTTCCAATAAACGTAAGTCCAGCCGTATTGGCCGTGTGTGTGTGTGTGTGATCAGAAAATATTGCATATTGCGCATACACACATTGCCATTCAATACCTATAAAATTGTATTGCCTTCGAAATTAGCGTGTAATTATTTTTATTGGTGGACAATTCGCATCCATCGATTTCACACAACACGTATCTAAATTGGTGGAGGTCATGTTATTTTATTAGGCATGTTTTTTTTTGTTTTTGTTTTTTTTTTTTTTTTTGTTTTTTTTTGTTTTTTTTTTTATTAAATTAGGTTTGTTTTTATTGAAATGGGCGTAAACAATTTAATCTCATTCACCTTCACCAGATTTGCCTGCCAACACTCAATAGTTTTAATAAGAATTAACAATAATAATTCGCAAACAAAATTAAATAATATATAAAGATATTATTTTTCTATTTGTAGGTAGATACACTACAACTACACTAGCTATTGTCGTTTGTTTCTATGATAGGTACTAATGTACATGTACATATGTTTTTTAAACTTTGAAGTAAACAATGTAATTAGTGTCTAATAGGTGCAGTGTTATTATTAATATTATTGTGTTTTTTGTAAATCTGACAAAATATAAAAATTACTTTTTAAAAAAGATAATAATAATCTCGATAATTAGTCAAGTACAACAGAACTAAGCCGTCTGTAATAAAAATCTAGTTTATATGGTACTTGATTTTCTGAATTAAATATATTAACAATAAACACATGTTTAATATATAGACTAATATCACTAATAACCAATCATTATTTTGTTATAGTTTATGACTATATTATATTTTTATCCACCTATCATATTTTCCCTACCTAATTAAATTAAAGATTAATAAAATACTGAAAATACTCATTATACAATAAAGTGAATAAGTCATCACTCGTTATAATTAAAGCTCCTTATCATATAGAATGTTTAGCTGTCCTAGCCTTTTTAAACACTGGGCCCACCAAAAGTTAAAATACATAGGTAATAGATTATTAAACGTTGACAATTATTAAGATAAATAAAAGATTATTACTGAATTTTTAATAGGTATTATGAAAATAATTGTAATTTAATTTAAAAATAATAAAACATACAGAAAAATGCATATATCTTACAGTATTAATAATTTTTATAAAATATTTTTGTTTTTCTAAGTTTTAATTTCAGTACTAAATTGATTTTATTTTAGATAATGGCCCGGATAATGGTGTTATCAAGTCATCCCATCATTATACAAAAATATCAAAGTATCAAAATGGAGTTATACGAAATGGTCACCTAAAACCTTGGAAAAAAAATCTTTATTCCAATGAAGGTTATCCAGACAACTATACCGATAAATCTTTCCTAGAAGAATTAAGAAAAAATCTTCATGTACGAAAACTTACGCTTCTGGAAGCTATCCTTGGAGCTGGTTTGATTACACAGAGATTATGTATAGTGGTAATATTTGCTTTATCTTTTTACGCTCTGAATTGCAATCAGATTTCTCCACTATTCTTGTTGATTTCTACCTCGAGTTTTAGTTTCATGTCCTATCTCTTGCTGTATGAAAATTCAAAGATAATTCCATTGTGGTTGTTGAAGTCAGCGTGTGCATTTGTCATATCTGGTTATATCCTATCGCCCGTATTAAAAACACTAACAGAAACTATTAGTACAGATACTATATACGCCACAGCTACGGTTATGATGTGTGTGCATCTAATATTTTTTGACTATGGCGTATCAGCGGTTATAGTATCAACATCGTTGTCATTGAATGCTGCCTTGTTTGGTTCGATTTGTCTGTGCTCAAGACTACAAACAGCATTTCATGTATTTGTGTTTATCACGATAGCTGTACAGTGTTTTGCTGTATCACCGATACTATTATCTCCGATCAAATCTTCCATTTCTATTTTATTGTCATTTGTAACCGTTACCCTTGTACTGTGTACGAGGGTATCATCTTTGTTGAGCGGATTGTTTTTATGTACCGCTGTGTTCATCAATCTGATATGTCCATATTATTTTGTTAAATGGCATTCATACAAAGATAATATTTATGGACCGTGGGATGAAGCTATTGTGCAAGACATTAAAATAAAAGATTTCCATATAGACTGAGAAATAATAAGGGTATACTAAAGGATGTGTATATGTTAACCAGTACAATATTTTTATCTCGGTTTTCCATAAAGTTACCATTCTTTTATTTTATATTATGCTTAACTATATTTTTTAATACATCAATAATAATCATTAGAAAATACCTATGTTTTCATTCCTTAAAGACATTAGTAATTATTTTTCAATATAAATGACAGCAAAACCAAAAAATTATTAGGAATTACTATGTAGACCATTTGTTTTTCTGTTATTATAGTCACTGGGTTTTACTTTTTTATCATAATTTTATATATTTTTGAGATATTAATTGTGTTTTACACATAACTCAATATTTTTAATTTTTTACTAAGTATTGTATTAATATTCATCATCCCACCAACTTATATTTTGTTATTAATATTATATAATGTAATTTTTTTTTTAATATTTTAAAATACATTTTTTTTTTCATAGGAATGCCAACTCTAAAGTTTATTATTCTAAAACTATGATTAAAAGCTCAATTGCCATGTTTTGTTAAAAATACAAATTTATTTAATAAATGTAGTCACAATTATCATATTATATTACTATAGCAAATTATGTTGGCATTTTCAAAACTATTAATTGTAATTGTTTTTAGTTAATTCTACAGTATATAATAGTAGTACAATATAATCTAATATCCTATTATAATTTAGGTAAATTTTAATTTGCTGTCAACTATACAATACATTAAATTTGGTGTATTTTAAATGGCATAGGCATGTTGCACTGGTGTTATGTGATATTATTATATATTTTTAATACATACATTATATAATGTTAAGCAATAAATTAAGAAATAATTTCGTAATGGCAGAATCTCAAAGCCCAGAAATTATGCCGATGATATTGACAAATATCAAAACATTATGTCATCATTAGTTTTAAAGTATTGGAATAAACTTACTCAAATAAAAAGATTTTATACCATTTTAAATTCTTTTTGAAAATAAATCCAAAAACCTTATTTTGAAATGTTTTTATTTACCATATAATACACTTTTTTTTGAACTCGAAAAATAGTTTCAATTTGTGACAAAAACAATTTTAAAATTTAAAACTAGATTTTATACAGTCACATAAGAAATAATGTATATAATATTATTATTATTTTAAAACATATAAATGATACTATTTGTTTTATTAGTAGTATTAAAAATATCATTATTTTGAATATTTATTCTTAAAACAAAATATAAGTATTCTATATAAGACGGGACCTATACAAATTTTTTTTTAATTCTAAATCATATTGTTGAGATTCTTTCATAATTGTTAATTAATTTGATCATAGGGAGAAATTGTAAATACACTGAAAATAAGACATTAGGCAATTATATCAAGGAAAAAATGTTCCAATTTTAGAAAACTTGAATGATAGACTTTGAGATACAAATTTGTCCAAATAATAAATATTGTTAACCTCACCTAAGTAATTCATTTGTATTAAATATATTATTATACATTATTTACTAGTTATTTAAAAAACAAAGACTAAATATTTTAATTTTTGTAGTGTTCCACGTATCTCTTTATGTACATACACATGTTCAACTTAAGAATTACCATATACTTTCTAAAATAATGATAAAGTATTACACAAAACTAATAAAAAAAAATATGCATTCATTTTTGATAAAATTAAAATTTATTACAAGTCCTGCCCATTGTATTATTGTGTATCATCAATTAAAAATCAATAGTTTTATTATTTTAGAAAGTAGTGGCAATTCATCCTTTTTGTCTTGTACTCAAGATTAAAAATTATATGCGATTATAATAATTATGTGTCTATAGTTATATGATAAGAGTCGAAATACATATTTGTTGGTTTCTATATATCATTGAGTTTTCTAAATAAAATTAGCAAAGTAGATAGGTAGTAATATCATTGGAATTTATTGAGTTATTGTTTGTTGCACTTTAATTTTTTTTTTTATGTACGTTATGTTTTTCATATTTTGATTGTTATTGTTATTTTAATGTTGTTATTACCATTAAGTACAAAAAACCAAATAAATTCAATCTAATATTTATTATTATGTGTAAGAAATTTGTACAAAATTACAATATGTACCTATATATTGAAAATGTCCATTCGTGTCATTCGTTAAACAACTTCTTCAGTTCGAAGTAACATATGACATTATTGATCTACTGTGTGATATACTGAAAAGTAAAATGAAAACTGTTTTTCACATAATTTAATTTAATTATATAAATTATTATTTAAAGTATCACCTGTTACAATTATTTAAAAATTGAATATAAAAAAAAAAAATGTCATTTATATAACTAATATATTTATACAATACTACTAATTACCTACTTTCTATTTGCTTTTTTTTAACGTGTTGCTAACTTAACAACAGTAGGACTCTAGGGTTTAACAGGAGCTTTATATCAGTCTTCCAGATTGATGTGTTAAAATCCATTTGTGTTCACAACCCGGAGTCCCTGATATTAGGAATATTATTTTTGTATTTTATTTGTTCATTAACCAGTAACAATTTCAGTGTTTTGTGGTATGCATACACGTATCAATTCTTATAATAAGTACTTATTTTTTTAAACAGTAGCCAATTTATTATGAAGATGAAATTTATCTGTATATTATATAATATTACACTCACCTAATGCTCATACATGTTGAATAAATCACACGGAATTAAGGAACTATATTAATTGTATTATCTATAGTACCCTAACGGAATTATCCCAAAATGTTTGTCTATTTTTATTGTTTCCTTTTCATTTATACAATATAATATAAGAGAATACATGCAAAGTTTTAAATTATTATATTTATAAATTGGTTAAACAAATTTTTTTAAAAAATAAATGAATATTGTATATTATTATTGAATTTTGTTATTTCATTAAATATTGATGATTGCAATTGAAGATTTGGTGCTTGTTTAAATTTATTCAAATCTCGTTAAAAATATTTCACAATAATTCTTCCATACAAAAAAAAACACAAAACAATGTATTCCTCAATTTCCTCAAGAAAATCATACATACATTTAATCATTTTTTATAAATTAACAAAATAGGTATGCCACTGATATTGTGTATATGTCAGGAGAAATTTCAGACATTTACAAATTATTTTTCTCATGCAATTTACCATTTTATTGTGATATTGGTTTCAGTGACAAACCATCACTTCTTGCAATTTAGTCAATATTATGTGACCTGGATGGTTATTTTCACATTATCTCTTTAGAATCTGTCTTAAATGTTGCAAACAAATAACTAGTGTACTGGTGCTTGCGACTATTAACTTGATTATCAGATTAAAAACTTTCTATAATTCTATATTGGCGTATCTTTTCTTATCCTTCGCCTTCATTTATTTGAAGTCGGCCACTCTTGTTCTAAACTTCCACGTGATCCAATTTACCGAATATACTAGTAGTCCTCATATTATTCTCAATTACATCCAATCATCTCTTATTCCACAAATATATTTATACTCGTATTTGTACATTTATACATATCTTCTGTCAAACTAAAACAATTCTGAAACTCCTTTTCTCACCAATGCCCGTATCACAACTTTATCATATGCCTTCACTAAATCTATAATAACCATTCATAGGTTTTTTTTTCTTCTCTTTATACTCTATATTGTTTATGAAACAAAGTAGGTATTTTAAAAATAAATAAAACATAATAGATAAAATGCAATTTTATTTTACAAAATATACAAATATTTAATTTATATACTTAACGATAAATAATAAACAAAATGTTTTTTATTAATTATAATAGTAGTTATAATACATCCGTAAATTGGAAGTTTAAGAATTAGGAATATTATAATTTTAAAATATTAAAAAATTTGATGTCAACAAATAGAAATTGTTATTCATCCTTTTATTAAACACAATATTTAAATTGTAAAATGTAAAATAATTTGTAAAAAAAAAAAAATACATAAATAATTTAAATTGAAAAATTGTAAAAAGCTGCAAATATTACTGTACTTATAGATATTTTATTATGAGCGGTTTTAGAAAAAAAGTAATCATAATTTACTACATTGTTATTTATTTTTCTACTAATGACTTCTTATTAAAAACCTATACCGTAATAAAATCTTGATTCCACTAATAATCATGGATTTGCAATTTGAATATTATTATTTATAGTTTGGATTTTAAATAGGGTTTTAAGTATTTATGAAATGATTCGTTAACAGGTTCTTTGTTCAGGGGGCTTTTATTGGCGTCTTCCAACAAACGTTCATAGACGTTACCATCATACATGCCCAAAGAAGAGTTTAATATTTCATCATGAATATCAAAACTGTCAACTAGACTAACTGCAACTGGTCTAATACGTTTAAAACAATCTTCTAATAAATACTCTATAGAAGAAACATCACGGCGTTTAAGATTTGAATACTGAGAAATAAAAGAATTAACAAGATCACATTATAATAAAAATAATATAATTAAGTAAACAGTATTTACTTGAAGGAAATCGCCTAATTGATTTAGAATCCAATGTGCACAAATCAGCTCACAGAGGTCTGTTAGTACTATCATTAGTTCTGCTGACAATTTAGCAGTCTTAACTGTTGTAGCAAAACTTTTTATAACAAATAATCTACAATGCGCCTAAAATAAAATAGTACAAATAGAATTTTATTAAATTACTATAAAATAAAATAATATATTTTAAAGTTACTTCTGCTGCTTTGGTTAGTTTAATAGTAGTTGTATTCCAAGCATTTTCTTTTGACATACCAGATTTTATATTTTGTTTTATTGAATAATAACAATTTTCAATTTTACTAAAATACATATTTTTTTATTTTTTTGCATTCAAATTTATTAAAATAAACAATTTACCTCCCAGCAACTTGAGAAAATGCTTCTGTCATACATTCCAAATTAGTAATCCAATTATTCCGCTTTAAAAGTTTGAAGTTATTTAAATACATTACAGTATCAGTTAATTTTTTGCCAGATATATTATTTGCAAACGCTTTCACCAAGAACCTTGAAAATTAAAATGAATCAATTAATACTACGTAGCAACAATAAGTAAGAATTAAAATTCTAATTCACTTTAAGCATGAAGTTAAGAAAAAAAAAACTTCATATCACTAGTATATCAGCGTTGATTCAAACGGATTAATATTGGAAACTAATAATATTTATGATAAATACTAGTAATCTTTAATATTAGTTGTGTAATACCTAATTAAACAATAAAACATTTAAATAAAAAGTTGTCACTACCCGACTATAACTTTGGTAATAAATAAGGATAGATAATAGAAGAAGTTTTGTAGTACTTGTTCAGACTTAAAAATAGATTAAATTAGAAGGTTTTTGTAGACAATGTAAAATATTTTAATTTAATATAAATTGTAAAAGAAAAAGATATTAATATATTGATAACAACTTAACAAGTGGCGTATAAATTTATATTACTAAAATACGAATGTATGGGGTATCCATCCACTCAAAACACTCCTCTGGTTGGGCCACTGAACTCAACCTAACTAATTACCTCGCTGTTTGTAAAAGTAGCACAGTGTTTTCTCCTTCATATGTTTCAGCGGCCGTTGTTAACGAATAAATATTTGGAAAATTACTGCTGTTCATATACCCATGACCTCCACAAGCTAAACGACACGATGTTACAGCCAAAGCAGCGTCTGCTGTACTAACAGCTTTTAAACAGCATGCCAGTCCGTGCAACTGAAAATTAATTATGTCAGAAATTATTTTTTAGACTAAATTGGGCTATACAAACTATACTTCTGGTAACAATTCAAGATCTCCTTTGATTAACATTGAAGTCACGCCAGTATAAATATTCCAAAGCCTAGATGCTGCACATTTATACGCAAAGCTCATAGCTATGGCTGGAAAAATTTTGAACTGCTGCGTTTGGAAATCCAAAATTTGACATTCACCTGCACTAATGTAAAATATAAATAATTTATTAATTTTTAAGAAATGTTGAGGTTTAATTTGTATTTTAACTGTTTACCCAGTTATAAGTTCCGATTGTCTCCTAACACAACTGTATCTAGTTGCTATTGTAGATGCTATGGATAAAAATCCCGAAATCATATCTTTAACGATTATTGCTCGTACAAAAATCATAGTACTGTAAGTTAGTTTATCATTTACTGACTTTTTATATGTACCGCACTTGAAAAATAGTGTATTACTAATAAATAAATATAACATGAATTTCTTATTTGAAAATGGTTTTTTCACAAAAAGTAAAAATAATTTATAGGTGTAAGATTTAAATAAATATGAAAGACTATGCTGTTCTCCTAATCCAAAGGGCCGTAGACACCTAAAAGTAATTTTTTTTTTTTTTACAAGACAATAAGTTGTTAAATAGTAAAACAACAGAATTAGTTAGAACCACTTATTGATTAATATATTTAAGTAACAAGATAAAATAATTTTAAAGAATATTTTTTTTTCTCCAAAACTATCACAAGGGATCATACAGCACTGTGTCTTATGAGGGCAGCATGAAATCAGTAATAAAATATTTACTATCTCTGTCATAAAATTACTAATTTAAATAATTTTAAAATGTTTAGCTTTTAATAATTCATTATGTATTAAATAATTATTTATTATTTACTTTAAGAACTTGGGCATTTTTCATCAGCATTTGCATTCTACTTATTCTTACATTATCAAATGCTATATAGCCATTATTAATAGAGTTCAGTCCTAACTTGCTGCCAATTTCACCAACTTTAATACCTAAAAGCACATTATACCATTTTAATTTTTAAACCAATTATTCATATTGTGAAATGTGTGTGAATTTATTATTAAATTACCAGGCATCGGCTTCCATGTTTCTTCGTCTCTAATTTTAACTATAAACGAGTGTATACCGTGACACTTTCCTTGAGTGTAAAGCTGTGCCATCACGATTGCATAATTACAAGTATGTCCAACTAAAATATTTAAAAACATTGGCAACTACATTTGACAAACCAAATATATTTAAAAAATAACTCACGTCCAGCAGGCCACCATTTATATGACGTTAGAGTGGGACTATTTAAAATAAACTCTTCCGTAGCTGGATCATAAGTACAAGTGGTTTCTAAACCACGGATAAATGTTCCATGACCGAGTTCAGTCTAAATAAAAATTTTAAAGGTAGTTCTAGAAGGTGATTACAAATATTTGTCCAACACACAGAATAATAATTTTACTCTAACATTATGAAACTTTCACTGGCCTGATTTAGACCCTGTAAAATTCGCATAATTTTTTGAAATCATTTATGCTACATTATTCTAATTAAAAAATGGCAATACTATAAACATTTTTGATTTATCATACCAAAGTTACAGTTATTCTTAAAAGAAAAAACCTTGTTTAATCTGCAGAATAAACGTCAAAAAATCATAAGCATTTTACAGAATTAAAATGGGATTAGCCAAAGTCAAAATGTTAGAGCAAAAGTGAAATTTAATGTTTTATGGCTATGGACTATACAATAATGATAACAAATTCAAAAGATTAGGTTAGATATTTAATCACCTTGTTATGCAAGGTGAATTAGGCAAAATCTAATGATTTATATTATATTTATATTGGATCATTATTAACTGGTAAATCACACCTTTGATTATGATCACTATATAAAATTATGATTGATCTATAAATAAAATCGAGTAAACATTTTTTAAATAAAAACAAAAAATCAAAATATACCTGAGCATAAGTCCCTAGAATTTGATTACTGAATGCCTGACCGACCCATTCTGCCTGTTGTTCCGAGGTACCTTGACTCATGAGAGTAGGTATGAACATAAGATAATGTACCGTAAAAGGTGAACTGCCTTTAATTATTGCACTATTCACTAATCCTAAGAAAGTTCTGAAATTTTGATATTTTATTAGGTACAGGAGAATGTTTCACAAGTAATATTATTAATGTTTTTAGTTAAGTGTATGTACATGTATGTTTCTGTCAAACTTCTACCATCATCATTTTTTTCTTGCCAAGCGTTAAATTTTTTGAATAAAATACAACTTTTACGTATAGCATGTTCGTAGCGTTCCTTGTGGCTCAAGTACTCCGACGGAATGTCATCTTTCAAAATCGGATCAGACAGGAAAAAAGTTTCTAAAAATGCATTTGACATTAAGATGATTTACTCGGTCTCACTCGATATTCAAACATACCCATTTTTCTTCTGTTCAAAGTTTTGTCAGCACCTCCGTCCCAAAAACGAGTGAGTTCCTCAGCATCGAACGGACAGTCTTTCCGTTCCTTTTTTAAGTCCTTGTTGACCGTGTACTGTTTCATCTTGATAGTCGCCAAAAAACGATCGTGTTATCTCGGTCTTTGAACAATGGAAATGTTCTCGTTTTATTGCAGTCTTATGAGGCCGTCGAGTTTAAAATCTACTTCAAAATGAATGTGGTAGGTATTGTTTATATTAGATGTGAATTAGGGTAAAAACGGAAAACAACGAAAGCCATCTAAGGTTAACAAGGAACACAAACAACTTACGGTTGACACGGAGGGGGACCGCGTTTGAAATTTAAATCGCCTACAGACCACTGCTCGAACTCCAGAGAAACGAATCGGATACTGTTAATATTGAATATTGTCGATTTGGAGATTTGGAACAGCCGACAGAGGATATCCGCTTGGTAACACTGTTGGTTTACTAGACTTCAGCATCAGCGAAGGTCAACAGCAGAATATTATATTGCCGCTGCTATTGGCACTTGAGTCTTAACACAACTATAGTAACTGCAATAAATAATTATTGTCAACCGCGGTTTTTTAATTTATTTCTATGCGAAATGCAAATAATTTTATCTCGATTTTGGATTACAAATGTCGAGGTATTAATTGACGGTATTAGTACGATACGGAATGGCCGAATCAAGATACCACGGTAGGGTTGACGTATCGTCGAATGGACCGCGGTCCGCGAGTCGTCCCGCGGCAGTCGTGAAAGTAAGTCATAAAATGGCGCGTAAATGATAACAGTTGTCGCCCGGTATATTATTCTGTGGTCTCTGTATCGAACGGAGTAAACACGGTAAACGATTATCGTATCACGGCGCGGTACCCCGCACAATTTAAATAGCGCCTACCTCTAATTGCACACTTTTCTAACTTACACCGGTTCACAACGGCCGAATATTTCAAAATCACTTCTGAAATACTTTATTGAACTGATCATAATTCGCTGCTACTTACAATCAACGTTTATTGATAATATTATGTCAAGCGTATTATGTTTTGTTAGTGCCGCGTTGCGAGTATATAACTGGAGGTACCTTAGGTGCATGTATTTTAAAATCGCGATCACCTATAATATGCATTTTGTTAATGGCATTTACGATTTACATATTATCGTGATAAGGTAAATTTGTATTATCTTATTTTCACACTAAAATCACTTTAAAACATGACATACATAATGATGATATGTTAAAATCACAGAATGCAATAAATTGATAATACCCAACTAGGTAAATGATAACATACCTATGACAAATTAGATCCAATTTGTCATGCTTATACCTAATTATTAAATTAAAAATTATGCATTGTATACATTGTTTAAAATAGGTACTGATATCAGTGTTCATTTATTTATTTATTGGGTTTTAAAATGCTTAGTTTTCGTATTTTATAAATTTTGTATACTGTATATACAGGGTGATTTTTTTTTTATCATGAACCAGCAATTATCTCAGAGGATTTTAAGTGAATTTGATTTCTGTTTTTTCTAATCATTATGGAATCGTTTAAGCTTTTTAAATTTTTCACCCTTACTCCATACACCTTAAATAAGTGCCGTTGTGAACCGGTATAAATTAGAAAAGTGTGTAGTTAGAGGAGTATATGGAGTAGGGGTAAACAATTTAAAATGGTTTTAAAATAAAGCTTAAACGATTCCATAATGATTAGAAAAAACAGAAATCAAATTCACTTAAAATCCTCTGAGATAATTGTTGATTCATGATAAAGAAAATTATTCTGTATAGGTAACTAAATTATAAAAGTGCCAAGTACCTACCGAATCTTTACTTTTTTTACAAATAGTATACTTAATAAGAACAAAATTAAAATACTGTTCCTTGGATAAAATTAATAAACAATTTGTAAAATATTTCTTTAGGCATAGGTATCTTTATATTAAATTTGTATGTACAGTTAATTAATAATGAATCAATTAAGAATTAAACAACTAATTATATTCATATTAATAAATTATTAATATTAAATAATATTGTAGTTTTAATTTTATATAGTGAATGTTTGAATAAAAATTAAATCTAAATATAATTTTTTAATGTAATTTATAAATGTACTAGTGTGTAGGTACACTATTATCATTATTGAATATTAATTAAATAAATAATTGAGTAATTTTTTTTTTTTCTAGGGCCAATATAGGCCAATTTTGCTTCTTGCTTGAACTGCCACTTCTTCCCATCGTTCTCTGTCTGCCTTTTACCATATCTTTTGTATTTCCTATCAAACTCAGTTTCTGATGTACACGGTCATGCCATCGTTGTCTCAGTTGTCTCAAGGGTCTCTTCCTATTCGGTGGGTACCCACTGGGTTATTTTATTTATAATTTTCCCTTCTGAGTACCAGATAATATGTCCTGTCCATCCAATTCTTTTGTTTTTCATTATTGCTATTATACCTGGTTGATTGTATCTATTGATCGTAATCTATTCAAATCTGAAATCATCATTGGTTATGCGTTCATATTCGTTGGTTTCCTTAATCTTCTTAGGGCCAAATGATTGTTTTGATATTTTCGTTTCAACTATTGCTGGGGTTTTTTTTTTGTCATCAGTTTTCGTTAAAGGCTATAGGCAAATAATGCGATTGCCTAATAATCACTTCATAATATTATACATGTTGGTTTTCACTTTTTTGACAGGATTTTACAAACGAACAGTGGTTTTAGGCATTAGCATTTCAAAACATCTATTTGATGCACTTATTCTTCTTTGTATACTTCATCATGTTCACCATTGGTTGTATTTATTCCTACTTAAATATTTCTATACCGTTTTAAATTTAATTTGTTCTATTGTTAAATCTATCTGATTGTGGACACTGCATAATAACCATGTACTTTGTTTTGTTTTCGTTGGTTACTAATCCCATATCCTTACTTCTATCTATCAGACATGTGTTATCACTTTTAGGTTGAGCTTTTAATTGAGAAATTACTATAAATTATTTACTTTGATTTAGGTGCAACCGTTAATGACGATGGACATAGTGGAAAATCCACTGATACTCCTGATATTAGGGTACCCTTAGGTTTAGTAAATTTATACTAATGTTAAATATACAGATGTGAGTAGATAACTATAATGCCTGTTATCATTTATAAATAATATATATATCTATTTCAACTTTATTATATTTTATAACAGTTATATTCTGCGCATAAAAATCAAACAGACACGCCTCGAAATTTAAGTCTGTATACCCCTATGGTTCTTATAACCTTATCCCCACATTAAGAAATAATTTTAACGCCAATTTCCATTATTCTATATTACTATTCATTATATATTCAATATTCCATTCTATTATTGCGAAAAGTGTCAGGTATTTCGAAATATGTCTACGACGTAGACACCTCCGATAACCAAAATATGTTTCGACCAGCAGTTTAATTATAAGGGTCAATTGGGGGATATGGGAGATAGTTCCCCCCACAGAGCTTTTTTTTTTATTTTTAAATAATATTGTTTCTACTTTCCCTCCTGGTGTCGGGGATCTGTAGTAGCGCACGTAGGATTTTTTTCGGTAGGTGAGGCGGGAGGGGATTATGTGAATCCCGATTATGTAAATTCGGTCATCGAATGTTCAACAATCAATCGATTTTTGGTGAATTTAATTTGTATTATTTTATTCTGTGGTGTATATAAAATGCGTAATGCTGCTGAATGTGAAAATTGATTTGAACAAATTTAGCGAAGTTAGACGCTTCGGGGAGGAGGGGGTTCTGAACCACTAACCTCCCTATGTGTGCGCCACTGTTGGAGGCGTAGTAACGCGATTTTAAAAACCCTATACCAGAACAAGTCCCTATAATTACACGTCATCACTGTTTTCGTCACTGTCGCGGTCGTGTGCATCCGCATAGTTTAATATGTATTATAATGTTTTAAACGCCAGAACAACGAATATAATAATACAATATAAACGTCGTATAATAATTGTAAAACGAGTAAAAAATTGTCCCAAACAACGAGCGTTGGGTGTAATTTCGTGATTATACGGTGTGTGGGAGCAGATATTATGTATATTATCGTAAACAACGTACTACGAACACATGTTGTAAGTTTTGACTATTTCACGCACTGTGACCGGCTGTATATTATTATATATAATATATATTGTGAACACGCGGTGTGTGTAAATGAAAAATAAATAAAAAATAAAATACATAGACGCGGATATAATAATGCGATATTTCGTTCACGCGCAACATTCTGAAATGATGAATTCTTTTAAAAAAAATATGCGATACAGTGTATTATACAGTATACTATACAGTATTGTGTAGCCGAGTGCGCGACTGTTATACGTATGAAAAAAAAAACACTTATATAATATTACTATAATATATTTATATGTAAATTGACACGGTTTATCGAGGATTCAAAACTTACAGAAACGTGTCCGCGAGGAAAAATTCGATTCCGGCGGCCGAAATTTCGCGATAGTTTTGTCGGGCCGAGCGATCGAATCCCGGGGGGGGAACAAAAAATGAATTTCCTAAAATTAGACGCCGAATGTTTGATTAGTTATAGTGTTATTTTTATTTCCAAGAGTACCGAGAAACGCTTTTTTTTTCGTGTCGTGATGAAGTATTCATTCGGTTTGGCAACCGAACTATGCCCTAAAATGAAGTGGCTACATGCTTAATTTTTAAAAAAAGAGTTCTTAACATAGAGTTCGGCGTCATTGATGACCAATTACTGTACAGAATATTACAATAATATTGTCCGAACTCTGAAACATTTTTAATTTGCGATTTAAAATGCGATTATTACTATTATTTTTTTAATGTACCGTTTTAGATATTTTTATTACTATACACGGGTGCAGTGTTCGACTTTCTTAATTCGCATCTTATTTTCGAAATTTTTATTTTACTAAAAACGTTTTCCTTATTTATCCCCCCTCGCGAAATATATTCGAGTTATTTTTCCTCACAATTCGTTAAAAACAATTTATAGTATAATACATATATCGGCCATGTTATATTGTATTTACGTTTTATGTAATATTATATACTTACTTTTTTACAAGCAATTTGGATTCAACACCGTCCGTTTTGAAAATATGTACGCAGGTGAAATTTCAAATCGAGACTATGAACGGTGCTTTTCTTTTTTAACTTAAAAAAATCAATTTCGTTTAGACGCTGGAACGTCTAATGACAAATCGTGCACAAAAGATAAATAACAAATAAAACGCTGAGGTAGATTCTTAAAAATAATATATCGACTGTTTTTCTCCTTCTCTATATCGTCCACTACGTAATATCATATTATTACGGTAAGTGGTGGCGTATTCGGCACGTGTTCGAATTTGCAGGAACGGAGTAGAAGTTCGAATGATGAATTGAATATTGCGGTCCGATTAATTAACGCTGCTGACTCGATGGGTGGTGAGGGGGGGTAGACAAATTGAAATTTTTTTTTTTTATTGACACATCATACTTACGCAGCAGCTGTTTTGTACGAAATAAATTACAAACGAAATCCGAGGACAACGAACTCTGCTCGCAACTGCACCGTATATACCGATATGGCGTTGAAGAGTAATAATAATAATAATTAAATTGTGAGTTTGGTTTTGATTGGGATGATAAAATTAGAAAGAAAAAAAATCCCGTTTACAAATTGTTATTTTACTTGATTTTATACAGATCAAGTCAAATGACTTTGCAGGCATTGTTTCTTATTTTATAATATCTTATTTTCAGACTCAATTGAAACATATTATAGACAATTGATAAAATACGAGTGCATCTAAAACCAGTCTAGGTCTCGATTTAAAATAATATTCAATATTATATAGCTTTTTAACATTATGTAAATGCTCGTTTTATAACTTCTGTGAACATATCGGTTAGTTTTGTGTCGTAAATTCTCTTTAAATTACCTTCTGAGAACTGAAATCACCAATTGTGCAATCGTATACTTTCAAAAGGTTTTCACCGCAGTTACCAGAACTTCCAGAATTAACAGAATCAGTAGTCGAATCAATTCAATTTCTGATTTTATGTTTACACGCCTTCACTTCCTAACCTATACATTCTAAAAATTCTATCGTACAATCCTGGAACTGTATAGGCTATTCTGTGCGCATTTTTTCGGCTTCTATTTCCGTAAATACCGTTTCAAGCCCCAGAATCCTCTCGGTAATTTTATTTAAAACCACTATTTTTCAGATATTCCCATAGTAATCCTCAAAATGCACCCCTGTCAGTACTGCAGAGTATACGCTATGTCTATAGAGAAAGACTATACAACAATTTAAAATTAAAAAAAATACACAAGGCGTTTGTATGTTAAACTTCAAATAAGGAATGACAATTTATTTTTATAAATGTTTAATAAACAATATCGAGTATACGTCTACAATAATGTCATCACCTATATTTGTCTACATAATATTGTGGTTATTGTAAAACGCTGAAAATGCCAAAATTCGCAACAAATATATAGGAACCGCGAGTATTTCGGTAAATAATATCGAAATACTGGATTATAACACTACGTGTGTTTAGAGTAAGTTGCAATATTTACGGATGTCGCACACTATGTATTATAATATAATGTATTATACATTGTTATTGTCTTGTGGTAAAACTACTGATTTCATACGCGTATCGCTAGGTAAACGTAAATAATAATAAATCATCGTTCTCGTACTATCAATTGTATTTTATAATAATATATATTATCATATATAGTGTGCGCTATACGACAGGCTATAGACGATATATTTTGTATAGATAAATATTATAATATTTGGTGTATCGATTAAAATATCGAAAAATTATAATCATTCATACATAGGTATAATATATACGTCGGATGAGAAGCGTTTAAAATGACAAGAGTTTTCGATTAAATTGTATTAACTGTCGCTAAATGTGGGTACTGCCTGCGCAACAGTATGTTGTCCACGGCCGGCAATAGCAGGTACCTCTTGGATTTCAGCCCGTCTGTTTGCGCCCTTTCTGCTGTTGACGACGGCGGCCCGAGTTCCCCATGCTCTTCAGATGACCGCCCAAAATCCTCGACGTTCCCGCTGAAAAACCGCGAGGAAAAAACCAATATTATCAATGTGCATAAAGTAATATTACATAAAAAACGGGTAGGTAATATAATAATATGTACGATGATGACGCGAGGTCTTTGCCGAGAAGTTATTACGATGACCGAGAGTTCGTCGTCGTTTATTAGTTTACTTTTTGGCTCGACTTAAGTTCCTCGCAAACGTGACTTAAAGCGGACGACAGGAAGTCAATATACCTATACCTATATATTTTGTCAGTTCACAACAAAGTAAAAATACTGAAAAACTCGTATTTCGTATGCGACATAATAACTCGACTGAAACTATAACAAAACTTAAAATATGCCAACAAAACTATATGTTCTATACTCTAAAAAAGACGTAATACGTTTTCAAGGATATAGAGTTTGAATTTTTTGTACACGCTTGAGGAAAAACTATAAAAAAAATAATAATAATCTAAAAATTATCTCTTTAAAGATAAACGAAGATATTGTACACAATTTCTGCAACGAAACATTTTGATATTTTTACTATACTCTAAAAAGGGTTTTTTTTTCGCGAGAGAAATAAAAGCACTACGCCATTGTGTAAAAGTACTATAAAGATTCCTCGCTCTGCTTATAGGATCTAAAATAATATTATACAATAGGTAGACATTTTATGGAAAGGTGCTTAAACGTGCGGACGTTAGGTACTATTAAAGAGAGTGATTTTCGGAAATTGTAACTGCAGTTCATAGTTTGATGTCCAAAAAAACGCATAAAACTGGACAATTTTACGGACGTTATTGAACGAAACCAGTCGAAAAATATAAGCGTTAATACGTTGATACAAGTTATTTATTATATGGAGATGGAGTATTGTCGGAATCAAATCTAAATAAACAAAAAAACTTGAAAAATCGTCTGGGAAAATTAGTGTTCAGTTGCTGTATAAATACCAACTTGTGGTGGGTAAATAATAAATATAGCCAACCAAACGCAAAATAATAAATTAAATGAGCATCTCATACTATTAACGAGTTTTCGTTACAAACAATAAATTAGAAGTTTTAGAAAAAAGATTCGATAATGTTTAAAATAAAGTATAACACTTAGCAAAAATTCATATTTTTTAATTTATTACTAACCAAACAAAAATTGTCTAAGAACAAAAACCATACCTCGATAGAACAAATAGTATGTTTTCTCCTTTTATCATAAAATACATGTACTACATGTATGTAAAATATTTAATCCATGGCTCTATATACTTTACGGATCTAAAATCTGACTTCGAGTATTAAATTTTTTCGCATTTAACAAGAAATCGTTGTAAACCATCAAGGACCGCTTCTAAATGCCATATTTGGATTCTAAGCGGAGCAAGGAATGTATCACAGGTTTTACAACGATGTTTATTTATTTTATCTGTGAACAAAATTTCTACTAGAAATCTCGCACATGTGTATTAAGTGTAACATCTTCTCTGAAAAGAAATTGTATTCAGCTGGTATTTTAGACAGACCTTTTTTTGATTTTCTCAAGGGTTTTCATTATAAATGGGAAAAACCGGAAAAAAACGTTGGAAAAAATGGACAATTTAGGAAATATATTACTTTATAATCATAAATTATACGGCCTTTTAAAACATGTACAAACAAACTCCACTCAGAATCGTTTTTCGTTAGCAATGATTAATCTTTGCGTACAGCTATATACTTTAACCGACTCTATTTTCCCGACTTCTACAATAGTGGTTCACCTATCGTGCGAAGTATGTCCGTTGGTTTTTTTTATTTTTTTATTACAGATTCTCTAAAATCAAGACTAAAGTATTAAATTTAATATGTAAAAAGACAAAAAATATTTAATTAAACTTTATACTTTGCCGCTTTGTCACGAAGTCTCGTTAAATACTTACTATATACGTAGGTATTACGGATTAAACTTAACTTATGCAATGTACACTGTTTTAAACTTAATTTTGCTACGCTGCATTTCTATTGAAGAATCTTAACGAGTTGGTATATTATTGTGTAAGTATACCAAGTTATACCACTGCAAATATGGCGATGTTTTAAATTTAATTTTTGTCATCTGTTACAAACACCCGGTGACTATAAACAACAAATAATAATATATTCTCCAATCTCCAGTTTTCTTATTCTTAAATCTCAAAAATATAATATATTATAAATGCCGGGTAATTCTTTTTATCATAATCCAATGACTTTCTCAAAGGATTTACAGTAAATTTGATTTCTGTTTTTTTTTTCGATCATTATATAATCGTTTATTAAGCTTTATTTTAACATTATTATTAAATGACCGTCCCTACATCCCTGCAAGTGACAACCCTCACTCATTTTGAACACAAAAAATAATATTTTTCTACAAATTTTAATATGCATAACACTAATGTAGGATATACCGTTTATGAGTTAGGTTTAACAGTTTAAAATGTATACCAGAGGTATATGGAAGGTTTATACATGTATTCTCTTTTTCTTTTGTACCTATTCCTCCAGTTTACATTTTAAACTAATAAAATATGGTAAGTCCAAAAAAAGTATTATGCATATCAACACTTTTAGCAAAATTATTTTTTTTTTAAATCTGTTTTTGAAAAGGATATCCATTTATTTTTTTAAAAGCTATTTAAAAGTCAAAAGTCGGTATGGGTTTGCGGTGGAAGGAATAATGGTAATTTTTTGAGAATATTGTAAATGAGATCATTATACACAATCCTGTATAATAATAACTGAAAAGTCAAAATCTATTTTACTCAAAATCTTCGTAGTCAATAGCTGGGTTATGATGAAAAAAACACCTTGTATACTTTGAAATGTTCTACTGCCGAGCTTGGTACAAGCTTGATACTAGCGCTCGTTAAAATCGGTTTAGCGCGTAAATATTTTGTTTTTTTTTCTCGACACAACAGTAGATTTTATTGTATTAATTTTGTTTTTTCCTCGTTTTTTACAATGTCAAGTCGTTATCGACTTATAAAAAAAGAAGCAAAACATTTTGTTTTGCTATGAGTTTTTATCTTGTAAATATCACAGAAAACATGACAGCCATATATTATACCACGAACAAATTGTATTGATTAACTCAAGAAATATTTGTTTATGCCACGAATTCTGCGATGACGTGTTATTATATTATAGAAAAAAAAAAAAATTAAATTAGAAATTAATCACAAATTCACTTTATTCACTATTGTGTTATCATTTATCGGCACATAGGTAATTCATGGCACGAACAAAATATTTCTTGGATCAATAAATACAATAGATTACCGTTTTAATAGATATTTTATAACAATGATTTCACGATTATATAGCACCTAGCTAACGCTCACCCTCCTTTCTTGTTTTAAACCGGCTATACTTAGTTCCGAATTACTATACTACTGACTTGTACTACACGTAAATTTATTTAAAATTTCTATACTTAGGATAGAGCTCGTATTTAATGAATAAATAACTTGAATAATACGATTGTTGACTTCACACCTCTTATGGAACTCTTATCGTATACACTCACCCCGTTTATAACTATCGGGTCGGCTATCGAGTTGGCTTAACTTTTATTAATATCCACGATAAATAATAGCAAACAGGTACATATATTATATAAGTACATAATAATAATAATAATAATAATTCTTTTCGGTGAAATTTAATGTGGAATTGCACTAAACTCACACCCTTCCATGATGTGGGAAACTGTATACTTTCGCGAATTTCGTTTAAATAATTACACTACGCTTACACGTTATTATTATTGTTATTACCGTAAACGGGTATTCGACCTTAAACAAATGGCGCGCGGGAAAAACAATTATCCGCATAGTTTTATTTGTAATATTTTTAATTACTATGCCGCGGTATTCACTGCAGTGCTCGGGTGGATGACAAAAAAAAATAAAAATAAAATAAAAACAAAAAGGTGCATTCCAAATAATGTAAAGAACGGTTTCATTTCGTTTGTGATAAAGTAAAAACAACTTGTATTATAATAAAGTCGTATAAATGGCAGTGATGTAGCAAAGTACATTCATCAGTGTTGCGTTTTATCTAGATAAATTATCTAGATATAGGTATATTTTTATCTTTTTTTTCTTATCCAGATAAATGGAAAATCTCAGCGGTCATCTTAGATAAAATAATAAATTATTAATCATCTAGATAAACATTTTTAAATGCATTATGTTCATTAAAAATTATAGGTAAAATATGTTATGGTTTTATCGGTTTAGAAATACATTTTTTAAGGGGATTGATCACACGTTTTTAAATTTTCTACAATTTTGCGAAATAAAAAATAAAATATAAACAAATTTTTTTACGATTTCTAGTAAATAGAATTATTTATATATATATAATCCGTTTTTAGTGCTAAATATTCGTCAAACACAATTGTTATAGTATTGTCTGTCATTAGGTCTAAAGTTCTAAATCTACTAAAATATACACTGTCATCAATCCTCGTAAGTTATATGAACCAAACAACTTTTTTTTATTAAAAATTTCTGTTCTGGAGTTTTGATATCTATTACACTTTTAGCACTTCATTTCATGATAATAGCTTATGTGAAAATTATATTTTGTTTATTTAGTTCGAAAGTTGATTATTTCTCTAAATATCTAAATAGTTCATTTGTATAATGTACTTTTTATCTTCATTATTATAATTATTCTCGTATTTAGCTCGAAAATGTGTATAATAAGTTGGGAGTCCAGGGAAAAAATATATATACAAATAATCGAATGTAATATTATAAATGCCTAGTTCAGAAAATGGTAACATTTGTAGACCGATAAAATAACAGAGTATTACAATAATTTTGAAATCTTGAAAATTCATAACGCTAAGATGTTAGGACCCCAATAATTCAGAACAATATATTATCAGAATTATGTGATGTTCCTATATACCTATATAACTTTTTAATTTCTCGTTTTTTAACCATCGCCTGTATCTTTCGTGATTACTCACTCGGTTGCGTGTCATATTTTATTATATTAATAACAAAGTAAATTGTTATTGCAATAATATTATACCTTCACTGCAATTGGAGACGTACGTGGCCACGTCAATACGCGACGACTTAATTAATATAGATATGCCGTTACCATAATTATATCAGGTACATAACATTTATGTTTGTTACGTGTACGTGTTAAATATCATTATCTAATATTGACGGGCATTATCGTCCGCATACCTATACACACAATAATTCGAATCGTTCAGCCGGCTCGTTCACAAATGTTGACGATATACCTAAATGGTGTTTAAAATTTCGAAACGACATAAAATACCTGTCTACTTACTACACGTGCTTTATAGTCACACCACAAACATTTTATGGCTGTTCGATAGTAATGTGCGCCTATTGCCTGTAGAATATAGACACGTCGCGTACGAACACGAGTTAAAGTGCACCTGTAATAAGTGCATACAAGTGTATTATGTGCAACCCCAAACCTTTGGCACAAGACTGCTATAAATCAATAATTTTGATTTGAGACGCATAAAATATTTGACTTGAAATGTAAAACTGACTCAAAGCCGAATGTGTCAGCTTTATTTTTCAAATACCTACCTATTGCTAAACTGCTAAAATATCATTTTTCGAAGTCTGGTGGAGTATAATCAAAAGTATAAATCCTTATTACAAAAATAACAGCTCTAAATAATACAAATGTTAGTCAAGTATTAAAATTACAATTTTAAAACTAACCATTAATAGGTGCACACAATGAAATTGAACTTTTTAAAAACTATTTTTTTTTTGGGGTGTTGTTCAGTTGTCACTGTTTATGCACTAGACGCGTAGCCAAGATTTCCAAAAAAGGAGGAGGAGGCGATAAAACACCTTATTCAAATATGGTAAATGTTTGCGAAAATTTTAATACTGATTATAACACGACGAAATGTAAAGAATCTGTTAAATAAGTACCGAATTTTATACTCGATAGATAAAACAACTATTTGTTATAATTTAAAGTACATATTCTGAATGTGACAAGACGGTTGACTCGGGTTAAGATTATTAAAACTTTATTATGGAAAGTGTGCAGTAAGGTATTAGAGAATGCGGTTTTTCATTTACCGAACCTACACAACCGCGCAGTGGCGTATATAGGGGATGGTTTTGGGGGTTTAACCCCCCCGAAATTACGATACATGTGCGTATTTATGAGTTTATTTAATCTAAGTATGTATTAACTAAAACTTAAACGCTTTTTTTATAACCCTCCACTTCAAATTAATTTCTCTATACGCCACTACAATTGCGTCAGTGAAAATAAGCCCAATAAGACAAATAGATCGTGCGAATATTAAACAAAAACATCGAGGAAAATACATACATATTATACCTATTAACCGTAAAACGAGAGTAAAGTCGGATGGCACAGTTTACCTAATATATTGGGTGTTTAGTTATTATTTTCACGAGATTGGCACGCTGTCAATTGTTTTCGAACGTGTCGACACGCGTGTAATATCCTAACAGACATTTGACGAGAGCTTTGCAAAAGAAAAATTTGCGCAGATAACAAAAAAAAAAAACAGTTGGTAATAGTTTATCCGGAAGGAACAATATATAGAAACCCCATCACCCCGAACGAGGTTTGGTATAGAATCGGCTTACTACGCAGTTGCATCCGTGCGGAGCTGTACGTACCACAGATATCATAAATCGAATAAAAATGTGCAATGACGCACGATGTGGCCAATTTAATACTTTTTCGACCAGAATTCAAACTTGCTCAAATCAAAAAACATTATTAAGTTTTCGGTATCATGTTATGTTTTTTTTTTATCTAGTAAATATATTCCGAGAGGTGATTTTTTAAAGCTTCTATTTATTCTAGTTTTTTTTAACGAGGACAAAAGAAAACGAATCATTTTTGATTCGCAATGATTTTCCATTGTTAACAATGTACAATAAACTAAATAAAATTATAGGTACCTTATATCATACATTCTCAATTTCTCATCTACAATACCGTCATATGTATACTCAACGTGTCTTTTTATTTATTTTTTTAAAATTTTAAAATATGTTTTTAAATAAATGTTTTATACGGGTTTTTCCAAAAACTATAAGAAGAGGTTTACGTGAGAAATATATGAAAGCAAAAGCAATTATATTTGCTTCTTCTCTGGTTTCTAATCTATAGAGACCATCCCTTCACTACACTTCTTTACATCTAGAGTTTTTCATCCAATTCGAGCATCCAACAAGTAATTCAATATCTTTTTTAATTAGATCTTCCCATCTCGATCTTCTTCAACACCACTTTTATTAACACATTCTGACTCCCATTGTGCTACCCATTGTAATTTCTTTCTCCTTATTAAATCTACTATATTTTGCTTTAGAACAAGGCATTTACTTCTGCATTATTCATATTTCATCACTAGGGTGCGGATTTAAATGCTCTAAAAAACAAGAAAAATGCCTTAAAAAAATATAATTTAATACACTTAAATAAAAAAAAAAGTTAAAAATGCTCTATAAATTATTTTAAACGTTGAAAAACATGCCTTAAAAACCTAAAAATGCACTAAAAATAAAAAAAAGTCCTTACAATGCAAAATAAAGTTTCGTATTTTAATTCTTTGATATATGAAACGAATTTCGTGCTCGGAAAGCATTGCTTTAGGACATTCAGAAAAAAAATACAATCTGCATTATAATCCGCACCCTATTAGGTATATTCATCATTATCTACTGTCCTTCATTCTATATTTTATTTATAGTAATAATTACAAGTACTATTATTTTAGCGAAATTGCAGTACGTATAGGTGTATAGGTAATATAAATAATATTGTATAATAATGTGTGCAAGTATCTGATACTTATAAGAACACAATATATAACAAAAATTAATACGATATTGATCGCGGAGTTTTCTGTATAGTTACTATTTCTAGTCAATTACGTCGAAAAGCAATAATCGCAGAGAATACACTAAAACGCCATAATATTATATATTGAACCGCAAACCATATTGCGGAAAATAATATTTAACTGAAACTAAAATACATTTTTTTTTTCTCACCATCATCTGCCGTCTGGTAGTCACACTTCATCACGATTCTCTATAATTAATTTCAAACCGTTGGTAGTGCAGTTTGAAATACGAAAAACGACAAACAGAATCGTAAACAATCGTAAATATTATTATATGATACTGAACAACTGAGCTTATGGATATACTATTTCGTTACATCTGTTTCCCGAAATTTTGTTGGATTAAAATAAAAGAGTTCTAAAAACAATCGATTTGTTAGTGTTCTTTTTTTTTTTTAAAAAAAGTAAATTTACTTTTACGCTTTTTTCAGTATATCAATAAAGACGTTTCTAAATATTCGTATTAAGAAAATTGAGGGATGAAGTATTGAACGATTAATTATGAGTTTAAGGCTTTTGAACAGATTTTATGATTAAAACTTTTCATCTTGATGAAATTTAAATAGTAAATAGTTCAACTAACTAAACAGATTTCAGCTAAGATACATCATCACCATCGTAAAATGTATTAATTTTACGTAATATAATAATATTATAAAAATATATACACAGTAATACGTACCAGATTTTCTTTTTTTAAATGTTGGTACTCCAGCACCTAATAATACACATTTACTTGTTAGAATAAATAATATAGTTCTATATAAATTTAGTATTTTTAAAAATTAGAAAATAAAATAGTTCTATTTGTAAGATTTATTTTGTTTGGTCAAGAGCAAGTATATATATATATATATATAAAAAAAACATTTGTTTATTTTTTTCATTTAATGAATATGTATTAAACTTGGACTGAAGCCTACGGTTTTTTTGTATAGATTATATGTATTGGTAGCCTATAACTTATAATATTTTCTGAGTTATTAAAAAAGCTTTAAGAAAAACAAAATATGTCCTCCTCAATTCAACAACTAGACAACATTTTTTACCGGAAATCACACCTAAAGTTAATGATTGAAGCACGATTTTTGGTAGAAAAATTGTCAACAAACTGGGAAAAAACACGTACAACATATAGTAAAACCAATAGATCTCTCGCTACGTTTAGAATTTAAAAATGTGCGTCACTGACTATCGGGAATGTTGTTTTCAGCATAGTTTTCGAAATATTATGTTTGTCGTTTGAGCGTTATAATTAAAAGGTTATTATTACAATGTCTGCGTAATTTAACAATCGAAAACATTAAAAAATCGCTTTTCCGCAAATTGAAAAATCGATATAGTAGTAGGTATATACCTTACACACTTTTTTACTGTTGAACTCACGATTTTACTGCATTGACGTATCGGTCGACTAATTCATTTTACTTTTATGGCGATAACGGATTCCGTCGCAATCCGTCTTACTTTTTTTTCTTGAGACAGGGCGAGAGGAGAATGTCATGGGTATAAGCGAAGTTTCTCGTTACAATACGTCGTAGCTAGTTTTTCTATAAAAGAATTGTGGACACGCACGCGAATATACCGTATAGAAGAGTTCGCGTATTATTATAATATTATGCCCAGCCGTATCGCGGTCCTAAACTGACGGCAGCGGCGGCGACGGTCATAATGCACGGATAAAAACATCTCCAGTCTAAAGATACGTCACAATGCTGACGACGAAGTGTTTTTACTCGCCGTTGACCCTTTCACGTTGTCCAAATTCGTATTTTATGCGTCACACGCGCGCCTAAATTTGGGTTGCGCGGCGAATCGACTTTCAATTAGGATAGGTTAAGTATTTCAAACGTAACATTATAGGTTTTGTGAGATCCGACGATGTCAAGACCGTCATGCAACATGTCGGATATGAGGCTAGATACAAGAAAAAAAAGCTGTGCTAGGATAATGGGGACGATTGCAGCCAATATTGTCGATAGAAATTTGGGAAGATTACAGACGGGAATTTAATGTATAGCTGTAAGCAACGATTAACTATTGTTAATGAAAAAAAACGATTCTGAGCGAAATACCAGATAATTCATTTATTATTACACTTATTATCTCAGAAAGTATTAAATTTTTCCGGAATTTGTTTTCTAGAACATTTAAGAAACAAGCTGCTCCACAATTTTATATTTGTGTTATTTTTTGTCATCCTTATTTCTGGGGGTAAAACCATTAACTACTTTTTATTTTCAAAAACTTCAACACTAAAATTTATTTTAACTAATAATCAATCTATTTATGGACTTTTTAATATAGGTTGCTATTTGAAAATCAAAATTAGGTAGTGGTTTTACTCCCAAAAATAAGGGTGACAAAAAATAACACAAATATAAAATTGTGGAGCAGCTTGTTTTTTAAATTTTCTAGAAAACAAATTTCGAAAAAAGTTAATAATTTCTACTAATCTTTAAACTTTTAGCTTTCCCAAATGTCCAAAATATTTGACTATACAAATCCTAATATAAGTTTTCTATGTAAAAATTAGGTCTCTAAAATTATTTGTATAGTTGAATTACAACAATTAAACAAAATCGAAAATAATGAAATTGCCATTACATTTTCTTAACATTTTCTTTTTGAAAAGATTATACTCTTGAAATTCGGAGCAAGAGAAGTGGTTTAGTAGAAAAGTTCGCGGACCCAAAAACATAAACACATCATACTAAAACCAATACATTCCTCGACGTGCTTAGAATCTTAAAACCACCCGTGGATTTTCGGGGAAAATTCGACGATAGACGCCAATTCGAGCCCATCGGTAAAATGGTAAATTTTGTCGGGCTCTTTTTGGAAGACGAGTAATACATACATAGATAATTCACCGTGAAAATTATACGAGTTGGTATTTGCGTTCAAATTTTTTTTTCATTAACAAAAGTTCATTGAACGTTTATATGGAACTGGCTAATGTATTTTATAGTAAGTCAATTATAAATTAAAGTTACTCAATAATGTTTTACAGATAAAAATAATGAAAAAAAAAACACACTAGTAGTAAGATTTTAATTAAACTTTAAACATGATTATTCACTGCCATGAAAATTAAAACTTAAAGTTTTAATCTTCAGAGTTACTTCCAAATAAGTTTACGGACTACCAACAGTTTCCTTCCTGCACTTTACACGGACTTAAGACCTGATAGAATATACCTGTGTATAGTCGGTTTTATTTTATAATATAGGTACTTATTAACATTATTTGTCAATAATAATAAAATACTTTTAGTCTGGTCACACGTCAAAAGTGCAAAACGTGTTAGACAGTGTTAGGCAACTAAAAAAAAATTATTTTTGTAAAGAACACACTACCTAGAAAACACCATTAAACAAAAATCATTTGTCAACATGTCATCTAATGAAGATATAATTTGTATGTGGTACACATTAAACAATTTAGTAGAAAATGATAAAAAAAAATTACGGATTCACCCGTTAAATAAAAAACGCATCACTCATAATGTAATTTTATCTTTATTATGCGAACTGCGTTCAGACGAAAGACAATTTAAACATTATATACGTGTAAGTACGGTTTCTACTAACTAAAATTTCTCAATTATAAGATATTATGTGATGAGCTTTTAAATATTATTAAAAATAAATACGAAATATGAAAAATAGACACAAGTTTTCTTTCTTGTCTAGTTGTTACTGACGAAAAATGTGGAGACTTTTGATAGTATATTAGTCATGACTAATTGAAAGCAAAAACGTTTTGTTTTGTCTTTGTCTTATCAGTATGCGTATGCAATGTAATTTCCTATATTGTATTTTTACTGAGACAGTGTTAGGTTGGCTAACAAAAATGTCTAAACACAGTTTTCTTTTCTGGCACGAGTTCAGCCGCGCGGCATTAGGATATTTTTTAGCGGTTTTCGAACAAATTTCAAGATTACTCCATCAAAATGTGATTGTATACGCCGACACGGGCTACTATTTATTTAAATATTTACTCAAAAGTGAATTTTAATATTTTTTATTAAGAGTTGATCCATTTGCATATTATAAATTTCCTTTTGTATACATGAAATCGTCACGGTGCCGGTGGCTGTCGTTATTTTAAAAACACGACAGTAGTACAATATGATGAAAAATAATAAAATGAACGACGATGATTCTGCTACGGGTTTTTTATAAACTTTTTTTTTTCAATATTACGAACGATAATCCCATCGTATTGGATCCGAATAAACTCGCGTATCCACGTTCATAGGACGCGTAAAACTGTCACCCGCAGATCGCATCGAGTATTACCTGACTTATCATAATATAATACGGTAGAAAAAAAACCGTTTTCATAGTCATGTTATATCATAAAAGTTATGATGTAGTATTGTCGATTTGTGCGTTTACGTTAAGATTTTAACAGCAATATCATAACGATATTTATTTCGATTCAATATTCAATCTATATAGGTGTAATGTCGACGGTGTTTTGTTAAAAGGGCGTCTATCAAATTGCACTTCTTTTGCGGAAGAAAAAAAAACCGTTTTGCAAAAACACAGCGAAACGGTTTTTAATGTTGTTTATCACGGAAAACAATATAATTATACGTACACATAATAAGGCATACGTTTAAATTAAATGTATTATACGCATTAACAAATCAGTGATGATTTAATTATATTTTAAAAGGGCGCCTGGATAATATGTTTTAGTCGACATTATCAACCTAATTTTCTGTATTTGAATACGCCCTTTTACCAGTTAATGTTTCTAATTTTTCTGATTTTTTTTTTTCGATACCGAAAACGTATTTTTTGATTTTTAGTGGTATACACCCTTTTAACAAAACACCATCGACATATTATAAAATGAAACTTCGAAAACTGTGCACTGCCCTATAATAATATACGAGTAATAATATTGTATAAATGCGTTATATATTCGTATTTTTTATCTCAAAACCCAGCTATGGGATTCACCCGAATGTCGATTATTAAGGCTTTCGTTGGGCCGGATCCCTCCGAATTCGGGAAAGAACTGAAACAGAGTGTTTAAATTAAGTGTCTTCGTATACCGTCGGGAACTTCGTGTTTTCGCCATGCATTAACATTAATATGTACGAATTGATATTAAAGGCAATGACACCGTTGTTAACGGGTTGTTTTTTTTTTAATGGTATCCACGTTAATGATTTAGTTATACAATTTATTATTTTTTGTTTATATATATAATAAAGACGGAGTAAATAATATTATTACAATATATTGTTATTTTTGTTTGCTTATTATTGTTTGAAAACGAAGAATGCTATACATATTTACCGTGTAAGTTATAGCGCAACTTTTTATAATATTTAGGTTTTTAAACATGAATTTAGAACACTTTATATTTATAAATTAATAATATAAAAAAAAAGTCTAATGATGTTCCATTGTCATTTATTATTATTATTTTTATTTATTTATTTAGTTTTTGAAAATGGATTTAATAAATCGCTATTAATCAACATATTTACGCGTAAACTCAACCAACTCAGAAAAATGTACCTGAGCTAGGCTCGGTCTCCAGGTACAATAATATACGACGAGATGTTTAGTTGACCGTGAAGGGAAAATAAACTTTTACATTTAAAAATTCACACCTTTACCGATTCTTTTGAATGCGATATTATATTTACTTTTTAAACGTACGGAACACAGATATAATTTACTTTCGGATGTTTTATTATTTTTTTTTTTTTTACCTCCTATACGTTTTGTATAACGTTAGACGAAATACAATTTTTTTTCTACGGCTTTATATCGATACTCGATGGGTATATACCAGAGAAATAACTATAATAAATTATTTTCATTTTTCTCTCTTATTTATAACCTACACAAGTACTAAAAATATTCCGATACGTATTTCGATAATGGTTTCATAAAATGAGTATATTGTGTATTGACGTCAGAGGGAAAATTAAATTTATTACAAATATTGACTTTAAAACGCGTGTTTCATTTAAAGTAAAAAATAAAAAAATAACTCCGTTGCGGACGATTTCAAAGTTACTTATTCTTTTATTTATCATCACTTTTGCATTAATAAAGTTAAACCGATTCCAATCATCACCGAAACGTAATTGGAGTGTCATTCGTAAATCGCTTTGTTCGTACAGACGAATATTGTACAATCATACTCTATATTTTATAATATGTCCAACTATACAATACAAATTTGATTTTCGTGTCGATATGGTAGCCCATACCACGTCGTCGTCGAAGTTTGTGCATTACAATGGCACGCTATTATTAATATATAAGAATCGCTATACGATATTTAGAATATTAATGGGCGTAATGTGAGCAAGGGCCAAAAGAAAAGAGCGAAAAAGTTTATTGCAATAGTGCCATCATTATAATAATATGGACTGGATCAGGTTATACGGCAATAATAAAACCGAACGCGTACACGTTATAATAATAACCGTATAGTTATGACCAAGTGTTTTGTAGATTTTAGTGTACTATTGTATCGACGATTTTTAGAAACGACCTTTTTTGCTTAGATTGTTATTATATTGAAATCCGATGCCCTGTAAATACGTGTATGGCACATGAACCATCGTGTATCGTTAAAAAACGGAGAATAAATGTTTTTGTTTTTTTGGTTTTTTAGTTTAACACAAAACACTCGAGAAGTGACAGTAGAATGGGTCAACCCGACATTTTCCAGAATATTCGTATTTTAGAATATATATCATCTTATATAACTAATATTTTCAATTTCTCGCCTACGACAGTGGCATGAATCATGCTACGAAGGGCGGGTTTTTAAATTGAGTTTCCAAAGTGTTAGCGATTGTAGCCTTTGTAAATTCATTATACAATAACCAACCGTAATATACATTTACGAAATATATTCAACAAGTTTTTATTATGACGTGTTTCATCGTAGACAATTTTTTTTTACCACAATTCGAAAGGTCCTATTCTAAACATTTTACGTATTTAAAACAATAATATCTGCGTTGTATATTTTGTTTAATTGTGTCAAGAATTCGGGTTTTTAAAACTGACATTTTATAATGTGACTATATCGTAGGCGCAATTTCAATATTTACTCGAGAAGTTTCTGCCAAACCTACGAGTAGATGCTTCTCCATCTACCTCCCTTCAGTTTGCTTTTCACAATTTATTTTTTAACTTTGTATATTAATATTGTATTGACACATTATGATTATTAACCAGACCTGTCAAGATAAAAGATATGAAGGAGTTGAAAACAAACCAAAAAATAAAGATGCCTATAGTATTATAATATTCATTATTAATGTCAAATATAAATAGTTGATAACTGCAGTGCGATTAGATTTAAGCAGCTTTGGTTACAGTTGGTCAAGTTTCAATTGTAAGTTAACAAACCAAATCCTTATCAATTTTCAAATAATTCTTAAATTATATTTTCATCAGTATATATATTATATAAAAAGTATTGATATTTATATTTTCCATATATTATATGTAAATAGCGTAATTATTATGATTTACGGGGGTTGGCGAGCGAAGAGGTGAAATCTGATAGTTTTAAATATAATTATTAATTATTATTTATTATGTAACATAAAAAGATGGAAATACTTGGCACTTAGGTGGGCCACTGATAAATGTGAAAAGTTGGGAAGGGGAAATTTAATGTATATCTGTGTACGCAACGATTAATCATTGCTAACGAAAACACGATTCTGAGCGGAGTTCGGTTAATAGTGTTGCTTTGTCAACAATATATGTATATGACGTAATATTATGGTAAAATAATAACATTTGCAATATATACTTTCTTTAATAACATTTGTTTAATATTGTACCTATTACCCCGTTTTTCCTACGTTTTTTTTTACATTTATTATGAAAACTTTTGGAAAAATCAAAAAATGACCTCCCCAATCAGGTTGTCTTTTAAGAAAGAGTGCTATAATTGAAAATCGGAGTATAATTTCTGGTAGAAAAGTCGTTCACAGGAAAAAAAAAGTTGTAAAACTAATATATTCTTCATTCCGTTCAGAATATAAAAAAAGATGTATATGAATAAAAATAAAAAAAGCATCCAGCTCAATATAATTTGTACGTACGAATACCTACGTGATGTTAATCCGTTACAGACTCTTCATTTCTTATAAAGATATCGGAATTTCGATAGGTTTATGGAACATATTAATATGGATACCAATAAATGTACTCATTTATTTTTCAATTCTTATTATTTACGTATTCATATTGATTGTATAAAACGGTTATTACGGACGGGATTTTTTTAAAACTACATACATTTATATATATTTTTTTTTTTTGCTTTAAACGAACGCAATAATAATAACTTCGTTATCGGATGAAACTATATTACGTATAATGGTGAAACGGCAAAATACATCGACTATACGGTACACAAAATCTGCGGCAGCTATTGCGGAAAACAAAATGTTATTAAAATCGATATGACGTCGTCGCGCACAATATTATTACATCTGTGTACCAAATGCTGCCGAAATTCTCAAATATTATTGTATGGGTCTCTTTTATAATAGTCATATACTATTATATGAAATGAAATGTCTCAAAATTGAAAATGGTTGCCTCGCGTAATGGCAATGCAACCAAGCGTATAAAAACAATGTATATGGATTTCTCGTATTATACCTATATTTATCGGTCTCTATCTTTACGATAAAACTTGATACCTGTTACACTACGATACCTTTTGATTTATAGCATTTGTTTTTTTAAAATAAATAACAATAAAAGCAAACAAAAAAACTACTCCGTCTGTCAACCTGTCCTTCTGTCTGCCTGTAACGCTTCGTCTCTAATGCTTCGAACATAAATTGAGACGGTTAGGCTGACATTGGGGTTAATAATATTTTTATGAACTTTTTTTTTTTTGGGCTGTGTGTAACTGTTTTCTAAGTTATAGCCATGTCAGTTTTCACATTTTTTTATGTTGTAATCAAACTAAAATTTCAATCTAGACGCTACGATTTATGTTCCATAAGTAATGTAAATTCGTATTGTCCAGCCATTTTATAATTCGGTTTCATTAATATATATATATATATATAATAGGTCTATTTACGAAAAATCCTACCAAATAATATACACCGAATTTATCGCGTAGTTTGTATTCTGTTTTTCGTGAACAAATTGACTTAGTCGGGAACCACAACGATTCAATTATAGATATCAAAAGTTTGAAGTTGTTACGATAGTGGACACTGTGCACCCTCGCGACTGTAATACAGTAGCTGAGATAAGTAGGTATTATTATTTTAGCGAATGTGGCTGAAATTCGATTATCATAAAATTAAATCAAAACGCGGTAAGTATAAGTATATTATGTATGACCCGCCGACAAATACAATTTTAAAATATTCATATTTGAGTTCAGTCGCGACCTTTACGTGCGGGAAGGGGATAAAATAGGAATTTCCCATTTGGTCTGGATCGTATTATGGCCCGGCGGCCTGATATTTGTATATAATATTTTACTTACTCGAATCATTTAAACACTTAGTAAAAAGTTAAACCAAGACACACGTTGTATTCTTGTTTCAGTACCTATATTAAGTCTTTTTGTACACATTTTTGTTTAACGCACCTATTGCATTAAAATGCACATTGATAAAAACACTTTTCTAAATTTGTTGGAGGGGGGAAACCGAAACTCCCCACACCCTTATTATTTTCATCTATGTCACAAGTACAAACGTATTTAGCTCCCTTAAATTTAAAATACTGGCTTTGGCGTTTCGCAACTGGTTGAAATTAAAACGCGAGAATAATTTGTTCGGTAAGTATACGTATTTTATTGGGTGGATTGGATAAATTTTAATCTCCCGGCCTGATTTTGGTTCTCACCCCCGGGCCCTGGTCACCGGTATAATAATACGGGCGCGGTACACTCGACGCCCGTCTCCCACGAGAAATTTTCGCTGTTATAGAAAATAAAAATCGCACGTGTTTGCCATAAAGTCGCGCTCTCGAGGTCGGAAAATAACAATAATAATAAAATCAGGGCCATAGCCGACAATAAAAGAACATTTTAAATGTGGCGGTTTATACCTATTTACACCACGTTTACATTACGTCGCGTCATCGACCGTGGGACATATTAATTGTGTTTCACTTTAGTGATTTGCGGAGAACGGTTTTTTTTCTGCGTTTTTCAAAAATGCGTAGGTATCATCGTTATTTTTTACTTTTGTGACGCGTGCGCACGTATAAGTGCGATTCCGGTATAACGAATAATGGGTTTCCACTCGAACACGGGTGTAACAAAAAAATAAACCGTTTTGCCGGTCAACGCCGCCAGTTCGTGTATTCAAATCTACCCACGCTCCGACGTTTCGTCGCAACATATTGTACAACGCGATTCATAATGATTCATACGATTTCAGTATTTATCAGCATAAATCTCGAACCCGTAGTAACCGTCAGAAAGAGGAGGTTTTTGAGTACTTTCGACTGTCAGTTACCACTACATCGTTGACCCTTAGAAGTCTGCAGATTCCTCAACGATGATCTACCAACATGCAATCGGAGGTACTTAAAAGGTTCATGGAGGTATATCTCCTTTCGAGAGTATTTGACGAAGGAAAATGTCTTTTTACAAACGCCATTAATTTGAGCAGCGGTCGATCACCTTCAATAACAGGTTCATATAGGAAATTATCAGAGAAATTATTGGCTAGGGTCGTTTAGATGTATGCCGTACAAGTTGGGGGAGGGAGAACAGATTTAATAATTGTGAACTAAAAATTAATGAAACTTGCTTTAAACTTTAAAACATGTAATTACTAAAATTGTTCAATAAATATTTTTTTTGAAATCGGATGAATAATTTTGAAATACTTTGTATCTAATATATATTATATTACAACAATACTTTTCGTTTCATGGGGACGAGACCGTTTCTGTCTATCATTTCTTATTTTGACTAAAATCATGTATTTAAAAAAATTGGGTAGGCCACTGTTGTTCGTTGGCAGGTTTGAAAGTTATTGGATGTAAAGTTATAAAGTTCATATACCTTAAATCAATACATTTAAAAAACGATTCCGAGCAGAACTCGGTCAACTAGTAAGATTGTAATATCGGTCGTGTTTATTGCCTTTGTAGCCAAAGTAACCCAGAGAAATCAACAAAAAAATATTCTCATCCAGAATTTATTATAGACTATATATTATGCAAAATCGAAAATATTACGGAATTCATGTGGCAGAGAAAATGTACAGCAGAGGACAATATAATGATATATGATTTTTGTACGAAAATCCCCATTAGCGGGGAAGTTTTCGTGTTTCTCGGGACAAATAAGACGTAGTATTTAGTGTTATAGTACTATAACATAACAGATAGTATATCGGCTCGTAAAGTTTCGAATTCGTAAACGTTATATTATATTTTGAGCACAGCCAGCCAAAACGATTCGGAGGTATATATATGTATAGTTTAAATCGGCGGCGACGGCTGGTTCGAATGACGTATACAATTTATATAAATCTACGCATTTTATAGGAACCGTTCATTATTGTCAGTGTCTCTATGATACGAGATAATATACGTACGTGTGTACGGGTATAATCGATATGTTTCGGAAAGAGATACGTTATCCGGACTGTATAGACCGTTTTACTGGCTTTTATTTATATTCCTTCGAATTTTGCGTGACGGGCACCTACCGCAATTTAATGAACGCGTTGACGTCGCCGTCGTTTATTGTGCCCGGATTTTAACCCGCGTGAAAATTAAAGCGCTTTTTCAATGATAGGTTCCCATAAATATCAAGTTCGACCTACCGCCCGGTATTGTCGGTCGGATTAAATAATTGGAATTTGATCCCTTCCTGCATTATCCGCCGACACCGCGAATTCGGGGTTGCAAAGTGTTTTAAACATTCGAAAATTAAATTAAAACAACTTATATGTTCTGAAGAGTGAAGATATTTATACAGCAGTGTTTTCCGATTTTTTTAATTCCACGTCCCCCTTTTACAAATCACATGCCTCCCCTTATAAATTAAATATATGAGATAAATTGTTTTTAATTTTAGATTTGATAAATCTGCACATTTTATGTTTTATTCTTACAATTTCATCACTACTATATTACTCCATAAGCAGTACTTAAATACTCTAAATATCCTAGGGAGAGATTTCCCCCCCCACCCGTTTGAAAACACTGATCTATAGAATATAGTTAGTAAAATAATATTTTGATCATGCGCTCATTAAATATAGTCGAGACCGGAGATAAGAATGTAAGTGTGTAACACCCTTACAAAACTCGGAAGTTTAGACTAATGAGTTCACAATTCAACGATAATTTAACTTTGAAAGTCGACAAAATCAATCATTTTTAAGGTTTTTTTTTTTAATTTGATGACGTAATTATCGTTACATTATCATCGTAAAATGTTTCATTATTTATTATCATTTATCAAAGAATACTGGGCAAAATCTTTTGTAATTCGGGAAGTTTCCACCCCTCGATCGATTTTCGCAAACGCTAACTCTGAATAAGAACTTCGCCGAGCTAAAATAATACAATTGTGATGTATACTAATAATATATTCAGTGTTGAATCCAGGTATCGCCCCCCCTCCTGTTAAATGTGGATAAATTAATTAAATAATAAAACAAATTTGGTTATAAGCAAAAAAAAAAAAAGGTCATTATTATAATTGTTAGTACCCCCCTCATCCCATCAAAAAAATCGTCCGGATTCAACACTGGTTACTAATTTTTATTCCACTAAAATTACGATAAAATATAAACACGTAGTAAACCCAACGAAAGATTTTACGTTTTAGTACGTACGTACTACTATCTACTTTGTAGATTCTGTAAACCAATTCATCAAAAACTGTCTCACGGGTCAGTTTCCGTCATTATTGAAATCTATAGTGGCGGTATTTTCGTTTATTCACAAAATAACGCCAATATCAGCAAGTTTAAGCCGAGACATTGGCTAAATTATTAGCCAGTGGACACCGTATGCTCATATTTTATTAGAATAATGATATGCACACAAAAACCGTCATGGGCCGACCACGCGTAATATTTATCACTTATTGGCGATTTTCTGACCCCTGTCAAACTGCCTAGACGTGTTTTTGATACGTGCAAATTTTAATGTTCACGAAAATAAAAAAAAAAGAATAAATGATCGGTTTTTATTATTAGTTTTTCAATGATTCGAGTAGCGTGCTTACTGCTCGAATATAAAATATGGATAATGCTATCGATGACAATAACTCCCCCTGCTCCTCCCCGTGTACTTTTCGTCTGTACATAGTGATTTTATTTTACCACGAACTGTCAGCGAAAATTTATTGGTATCCAAAAGAAGATTTTGAATGAATTTAATTTGGTTTATTTTTAGTTTTAATATGCGTACCAATAGAGCCGGAATGGTCCACTATCCCAGGTTGCCATGTATAAAGGCGTCCACCTCAATTTTTACTGCTGGTTTTTTATTCTACTTATCAAATGTCTTATCTTATCTTATTAAATTGTTTTATCTTATTATATATGTTTCCATTTATATTATAAACAAACAAAAATGCGAGTAGAAACAATATGTATCATTGTTTCTCATAGTCAATGACTGTTTTTAGGCACCTACCTATTATCCAACCAAAGACAGCGACATTCTACTAATGTCATTTAACGATATTTGTATAATTACAATATTTTAGAAATTGTATGCTTATTCAATCAGTTTCGGGTTCTTAAAAATATATCCCTGTTTTTTACAACTTAATTTTACTTAAACGCTAATAATACATTAATATCGAATTTATGAGTTAGAATTTAGGTCGGAGTACTACTAGGCAATTATATTCAATATTTCATATAACATCCGTGTTGAGATAACCAAAATCAAACAGGCTGCAGTGGATCGAATTGTCGGGTTTAGTTCTGTCGTGATGGTATAACGTTCGAATTTATTCAGCATTTTCAACTATGGTAGAATAACTGTAATGTATAATAACTTTATATTGAAATAATACCTACTCGTCGTCCCTTTAAAACAAAGTTCGCATTTGTAAGTTTTAATAGCCTTTATGACTTTATGTCTGTTGTTTTGCGTAACTCTGTATACTTGTTTACTTCACGGAATTCAAACCAACAAACCATTTTGTTTAGCAGAGTACGCTCGTACTATACTTCGAAAATATCTAACTCTGGTATCTCTGGTGTTACGATATTTACTATAATATAGCATACCTATTTGTTTATTCAAAATGAAAACGAGAAATACGGAAAGTTATGATACAATACGTATAATTGGTATTAACGGAAATTTAACACTAATATCTTTATATTTAACTGTTATAGGTATACTCGTATCGTTTATTATATTTTTTTTTAGAATATAATTTCTGTTCTGAACTTCACCGTGAAAAATTCATGTTCAGCGAAGTAGTCGGTCAATATTATGAATTGTGTAGTTGGATTAAAAAAAAAATAAAAATAGGTACGGGTATAAAAAAAACTGAAAAATGACAGGATTACGGGGGGAGGGGGGAGAAAAAATGCCCGAAAAACACACCCTGTGCGTTTATAGGAATTGCGGCGTAGGTATCGTATACGATCGAAAAATGTATTGAAATTAATGTCCTATATTTTTATATCATACATATTGTTATGAATATTGTAATTAATAACTGTTGATATCAGCCGCGACAACATTGCGTTTAACGTTTTATGCATTGGGACACGTACAATATTATTTTATCGTCGGGCGGAGAGCCGGGGGATTTTATAATTGAAAATATTATTAATATTATAATATTATGTATACTAGGTATACCGTGGAAAATCATTTCACTGTGTAAATAGTACACCCCCTAACCGGCCCCATCCAACACCCCGCAAGGTCCGTGCGGATAATAACTATCGCGTGGTTTTGACTTTACATCATTACGACGATGCATATATGATAATGGTAATTAGTTTGTATTTTAATTTACAAAAAAAAAAAAACAAATATTAGATTTATCAAAATCGTTTTTGGTAACGGGTAGGCGTGTAACCGGTATGATAAGCCAATAGCGATTTAGAAAGGTAACCGTTATTAATTGGTTATAATAAAGCAGAGATACAGGTACAACGTTGTTGGAAAAATGCAACATCTAGTTATGACTATACGGCCCGGAATTGTACGCGTTTGCATATTTTTATTTATCCTACTCAAAAGTAACTAGGTAAGACGCAAATTTGAATCTTAACCTAATATAATGTTGGTATCCGCAATTTGATTTTGCATATTTTTGCATATTCGGAACATTTTTGTTTATTATGTATATTTTAGTAATTTTCAAAAGTATAATGCAAAATATGCTGGGGATATATTAGTGTCTAAGTATATCTATGGATATATTCACAATTCGATTATTTTTTTAAAATTCGTATTTACCAATATATCGGCCAATTGATGATTATTGTTAACTGACAAAACTGGTAAGATAAAGTTTTCCTGTAAAGATAACCCCCAATAATGAAACACTTATAAGTAATGGTTTGTACTACCGTAATTCGCTATGGTATGTTCGTGTTTCATATTAAAATTTTAACCGTAAAATCATCGTTTATGAATATTTTTCAGAATTTAGAGAAAATATTTGAGTACGACTTTTTAATATATTTTTTGTTTAATATCAATTATTTATTAAAAAAAAAAAAAAAATACAAATTTGGGGAGGTAGAAAACATAAAGTTATGATGTGCATGAAAATAACACAAATAATATTCAACTTTGGGAATTGCGTTACGTTATATCTTACGGTACCTATATTGTCAACAGCACATTTGTGTGATCGAAGATTTTTAAGCCTGCACAGTGCTTATAATGAAAAATAAATCGGTGAAATCGGATAAACATTATGCATTCCAGAATAATTTCAAAACCTATTAAGGAAAGTCACACCAAGTTAACTGATGTATATCAGGTAATTGAAAACCATGGAGACTGTATAGGGGTACGTCTAGTCTATATACTATGGATAATAATTATCATTTTTATTTAAAAATCTTTGTACGTATAGCGTTTTTTTTTTTTTTTGATTTTTAACTAAAATATAAATATCGACAGACGTGCTGAAAATGTCATAGTTACGTGTAAAATAATGTATTGTTTTGTGTTTTTATCGACACACGCCTTCTGAGATTTTTGCGTTCAAATATATATTATTGAAATCTTGTCGAAAACTATTTGGAACTATTTATGAACTAAACTGTTAAACTGAGGAGAAACCCGACTGCAAACACGATCTGTGTGAAATATTCGATCGACATAATAGACATCACGGCTTAACGAACTATTAGGATTTTGGAGTTTCGAAATGTTTTTGGAAAGCAAAAAATACACGAACCGCTGTAAAACCAATATTGCATTCCATTCGGCATACAATGAAATAATACAATTAGCGAGTTTAGTTTCCAGACACCCACGAGCAAATTTTCAGCTACGCGTAATTACCATAATGTTGTTATTTCGACGTTCTGTTAGAGTCTCTAAATTATTTTTTTCGTTATTCCTTAAGTGGATCTTAAATGGTATATAAGATCCACACAATATAATAAGATAATATTATAAGATGATGGATCATACGATCGATATAAGTCCTCACAAATAAAGATAGTTAATGTAAAATACCATTTCGTTAAAAATCATATTGGTTACTAGTGTTACCATCCATGTTTCACAAAAAGATAATTATGTATCTCAATAAATAGAAAACCATAAAAAAAAAAAAAAAAATGACCACTTATAATAAATTATAAATTATAAATGTAAAAAAAAAAACTTAATGTTATCCTTATCACTAATACGACGAACCATAAACCTAACGCAGCTATAAGTAATATTACGGTTAGTGGATGCCTGAATCTTTTGGTTTTGGGTTATTCAATGACAATTGTTTTATTTTCATGCCTCCTTAGCATTTAATTGAATAAAACCCGGATTGAGTATATTTCGTTTTCGGTACACGGGCCACGGGGTGTTCCGCGGCACACGTAGCAAACCCAGTGCGCACGCCTTTGCTCGTTAGACGGGAATAATATTATTTTTTAAACAGTGTTGATATTTACTCAATCGAAGCGAAGAGTATTTAACACTAATATCCGTTAACCGTTTAATACGACTACGATATTCTTATGACTCGTTTTTGAAAGCGGTCTCGCGGACGCATAGTGATTTGAAACGCGATTTTACATGGCAAAAACCTTTAATGGAAATTTTAATTTTTAATTGGTTTTGAATTAAAATGGCTATGTGTACATCCTAAGGAACCCTATTACAAAATTTCATATTCGTACATACATATTTACCTGAATTACAGCGGTTTATACAAGTTTCTTTTATGTTAAAATCGATATTTTCTCGAAAGTTTTACCATTTATCATGAGTATTTTACTCGTATGAATATATTTTTTTTTAACATTCAGTATGATTAATTTGAAGTACCATAAAATAAATAACAAACATGATCACACATTTGTTTTTTTTATAAACTTGACAGAATTTTAAAATTTGTTTTCCATTTTTTTTTTTTTTAAATATTAACGAATTGTTTCCAAAGGTTACGCGTCTTTGCCATATATTATATAAAGAAAGTTCCCAGCTATTCAAAAATATAATTTTTATTTGCATCTGTGTACGGATCAAGTGTACAGAAATTATCTTATAAATATTAGTAAATATCTAATCGAGAGATAAATGACATTAGCAGTAAATTGTTATATTCAAATATGGTGTACTAGTAGGTTTCTATTAAAACACGAGATATACAGTTTGTCTGTATCTAATCTATACAGTCATATTATGTATTATATGTTTATGAAATGGTACGTACGTGGTTTTATTTTTCTAATTACCTATATATTGTTGTTCATAAAATCGATTAGGCTGCGTAGTTTGCACAATATTATATAATTGCATTGACGCATCGCCATTGCAACGTCAGTGACAGAATAACAGTTTTTGAGTTTTTAGAACTATTTTTATTACATCTATCAAATACGGACAACTCCATTTGAAGATAAGTTTTATTTAAACTTTTATTTCACTATCAATATTAAACAGTATGTTTTTAATTTATACATAATAGCTACATTAAAATTGTATATTTATATACATGGTAATTTTTTAGTTAGCAATTTAAAGTATAAAAAGAATATTAGTATTTTGAACCGAGAATTGTTTGAATTTTTACGGCAGAATAAGTTTTTAGCAAACTTTGCTAAATCATTCTAATCATAATCAACTTCTATATATGCTACTATATTTTGCTACCTAAAAGAAAAATGTATTGGTTTAAAGTGGAATGATACTTCTATTAAGTTATTAGATAGTAAAATATGGAATTTTACTTTGGCATTATCAAGAAAATAATCTAAATAATTTCGTTGAATAAAACGATTTCTACCATTACATTCTGAATGGCTTGATACTAAATTTAAATTTTCCGCGCAAGATACTTTATCGACATCAACTGATGGTCGATCACCTAAACAATATACTGTTTGTACAGAAAGAGCTAAGAGATTGAAAATAAAAACTCTGATGGATAATAATTGTATTAATTCTCTAGAATTTATACACGCAGAAAAAAGTAAGCTACATAAAGTTGGACAAAGAAGTGTAGTTAAACTTTTTAATGAAGCATCATCTTCGTCAAATAGGACTAAAGAAATGATGCAGACTATAAATATGCCAGAGACTTCTAGACTGATCCCATTTACTGTCGATGAGGCATTAGCTTTTTTCGTACAAAATGGTTTAACTGAACAGCAATACTTAAATATACGACTCTCTACAGAAGAACGGAATTCTGATATTTACCCAATATATGATAAAATAAGAGAAGCCAAAAAACAATGCTATCTCGATAACTGTAATATATCAGAAAAATGCTGCGTAATAAAATTGTAAGATCTTCTTAATCATACATCAAAAAGAATATTTAAAATACATAATATTAATACCATTGAGTTTCATTTTGAGCGGTTTGAAATTATATATAAGTGAGGATGCGATGGGAGCAATGGAGAATCAACAAACAAATGTACAGTAGCCCAACATTGACTTTGGATAGTGACCTATTTCTTTTTTTAATAATCCCTTTAAAGTTGTTTTGTTACAATGATAAAAATGAAAAATTGATAAGACAATAGGATATATTCTACACGTTTCTGTCAACCAATAAAGTTTGAATTTAAAAAAGAACCATTAGAGACTACGTTATATGAAGTTGCGATTGAAGATCAAATAAAAAAATTGACCTCTTCAATTATTATAGTTGAAAATAGAGAGTTAACAGTAGCGCACACTTTACTATTCACCATCGTCGATGGGAAGGTAGAAATGTTTAAATTTATTGTATAGGTAGGTATAAATTACGTTAATTGTGGAGCTACACCTAAACAGATGAATAATATTCATCAAGTAAAATGTCGTTTAACTTAATTATTTAAAGTTTGGTTTCTCATCACTTCATGCATGAATACGAAGTTTTGAATGTTTACTGCATGTTTCGTGCCAATTATAAATCAAAATATGGACAGTAAATATTTACGTTTACTAAAAATGTATTAATTAAGTATGCCAAATTTAATGTTTTTTATTTTTTTTATATTTTTATTTTAAGGTTAAATCACTTGCACACAAATTGAAATTTGCCGAAAGAAAAAAAAATGATCCAAAATAAATTCCGCACAGAAATGAGTTTATTGGTTGATGTAGTCTTACAATTTCAGTTTTTATTTGTATTAAAGTATGCTTATGTTATTAGTTATTACTATAATTTTGTGTTTAGGTAAAGGAATTACAAATTATGGCAATACAGTACGGAGATTTTTCAGTAACCCAGAAAAGAGCTCTAATATTACGGAAATCAAGATAGAATTATTACAACGTTTTTCAAATATTTTGTCTACCGTTGCTGGTGGATATGAAGTTAATCCAGAAGCGTTTGATGCGTATTCTTTGGATACTGCTATGTTATTTCTGAACCTGTATCCGTAGTATTATATGCATTCCAACGTACACAAAATATTGATACACCGGGCCGAAGTAATACGATTTGGAATTCTTCCTATTGGTAAATTAATATTTATAAGAATAACTTCGTTTTTTTTTTAAATTTTTATAATTTTATTAATCATTTTAGGGCAGTTTTCCGAAGAGGTATACGAATCAAGAAATGAAGATTACAAACATATAAAGGAGCTCCACAAAAGAAAAAACTCTAGATTAAACACAAATGAAGATTTGCTTCATATGCGTTTTATCTCACCCGAAAACTCAAAAAATAAAAAATTTAAATCAATCATTTACTGATATGGAATTTAGTAATTTAATAATAAAATATCTAGTCAAAAATTATTTGTGTTTTATTAAAAAATTTAAAACTATAATTGTAATTGGATGTAAAATGAATTATTTAATATTATAACTTGTTGAATTGAATAATTTCTGTACACTGCACCTGTGTACAGATGCAAAGAAAAATTATATTTGTGAATAGCTGAAAACTTTCTTTGTATAATATATGCATTGTAAAGCATTGAATGCGTGGTAAAATTGCGGAACTTTTGGAAACAGTCCGTTAAAGTTTTTAAAAAAAAAAATGGAAAAAAATTGTAAAACTCTGTCAAGTTTATAAAAAAAACAAATGTGTGATCATGTTTGTTATTTATATTATGGTACTTCAAGTTAATCGTACTGAATGTTTAAAAAAAATATTCATGCGAGTAAAATACTCATGAAAAATGGTAAAACTTTCGACGAAATACGATTATAACATAACAGAAACGCGTATAAACCGCTGTAATACCGCGGGTAATTGTGTACACGTGAATACGAAATTTTACAGTAGGGTTTCTTTAGAATGCATAACTAGAGAGATTTCAATTGAAAACCTATTAAAAATTAAAATTCCCGTCGGACGGTTTTTTCGCCGTGTAAAACCACGTTTCAGAACACCGTGGGACGGCGGCTCGTTACCGCCAATAAACGGCGGGCGCCGTTCCGACGGCATATTACAAAGGCGCCTGCGTACTAGTGCCGTTTCACAGGTATCCAACTAAATCGTAATATCTCGCGTTGTATTAGGTGCGTAGCCGCGCACGTCCCCGCGGGTTTCGCCGCGTTGTCAATACGATTATATTACCTATACATGCGGTTTCAGTATAGTGAAATAATGATAATTATAGCGTGGCGTGTGAATCTTACTCGTCGGCGACGCCGGGCGCGGCCCTCTTGTTTACGTCGCACTGGACCGACGACCCTCTGCCGTTGCGCATGTAAAACGAATGGGGGTTCCTAAACGACCAGCCGAGACGGGCCAGCGCGGCCAGGTGCCGCTTGCCGTGCAGGCCGTGCATGCCGTGCATGCCGTGCAGGCCGTTGTTGAAGTTTCCGGCGCCGGGCGAGTGGAACGACGACGGCGGCTGCGGGTACATGGACGGCGATCGCAGAGTCATGGGCGGCAGCGACGAAGACGAAGCGGACGACGAGGACGACGAACGCACACGCGAACGTCCGGACGATGTCGAAGCGAATCCTCTGGGCATCCAACCGCTGCGGGACAACGCACCTGCGGAGGTCGCACGCGCACACCCGCGTGTATTAAAGTCGCGCGGTCGTATGATATTAGCTTAGGGTGACCATACGTCCGGTTTTATGCGGGATTGTGATTATTTTCGACTTTGCGTTCTGTTGTTCTGTCGAACTTCTCTCAGAACGCTTTTTGATCTGTTTTTTTTTTTTTAGCTTTTAGGTCGATACCGATTATTCCTTATTAATTCTTGTTTTATTCAATTGGTTATAAATATTTTATAGTTTTAATATTAAAATCGTATTTTAGTTTTGAATGAAATAAATTTGTCGACGAAAATATACGCCATCATAGATTAAGACAGTGATTGCGATTGTGTTCACCGCGGAAAGTAATAACCACAAGAACCGGTACCTAAGATATCTAAGATATACCGGTGTGTTTAAAATAGTTAATAATGTGCAGGCGTATGTAGGCATAATTATGAAAAATTATTAGAAAAAAAAAATATATATATATATAATAATTAACTCTCTAAATAAATCACTCTAAACGTGATGCTGATATTATTTTGTCCTATTTTTATTTATTTATATTTTTTAAAGTATGGTCACCCTATATTAGTTCAAATCACGTCTGCGGCCGGATTAAAATATATTAGGTATTGTTAAACTACTAAGTAAAACCGTATGGGCTCTCGATACGCAGGCGTTGTCAACGTTCGAATGGCCCGTCGACACGACACTCGAAAATAACCGAACCGGACGTTTCGGCGCGAAATATAATTTTCGAATTTTTACCGTTTACTGCGTTATTTCACACTTGGCAAATTGTACATTATATATTATGCAAACGATACCATAGGAGAAAACTGAGAAGATCAAAAACGATTTCGAACATTTTTGAAAAGCTCATAGAGCTCGAGTGTATACAGTAAAACTTCCGAAGGGACCGAAAATAATGACCGCAATTCAGAGATGACCGTGTTTTAGGGGTGTCGTCCAATAATGGAATAACGCACTTGGCGGGTCCAAAAAAATTACCGTTACGCGGAGGTGACCGTTAATGAAAGTTTTACTGTATAATGAAATCGTTATTTGATTTAATGCAACTTTAATTCGTTCCAATCGCAATAATATTAGGTACGTCATCGTCATAATACAGTAAAACTCCCGTTAACGGTCACCTCTGTGTAACAGTAATTTTTTTCGGTCCCGTCAGGTGCTATGCCTCAGGAAACCTCTAAAGGACGGTCACCTCTAAATAGCGGTCATTATTTCTGGTTCTTTCGGTTACCGTTGTACGGAAGTTTTACGGTAACAGTAATTTTGTTTTTCAAATATGACAACGGTAACGTAGATTTGTTCAAATGACGGTAACGTATCGTTGTACAATTTGTAGCCCGTTCGTATCGTATTGTCTGTGGTAGGTGGCGTTGAAACAACTGCAAATGCGGTACTGACGGGTAAAATAGTAAAAATTAAAAAAAAAAAAAAATCAATTGCACGCCGAAACGTCCTAAACCGAACATGTTGCGTACAAAATGCCCGATTACAAAATACGGTGGAAAATATCGCGATAGGTTTTTTCGAAATTTTAACTCGAGACGCGTGCATATTTCAAAACGGATTCGCGTACGAAATCGGATTGTACGATGTGAACGAAAAAAAACTAATAAAAATGTCACCCATTTTCTCGCGGAAAACACCCGGGAGTCGTCGAAACGTTTTATGTTTAATCGCGTTGACGCGTCGCTACGACGGGAACGGACGTCACATTTACGGCATTACTATAAAAGCGACCGGCTCCAAAGAAAAAAAAAAAAATCCCTGTCGGTTAACGCGATACGAATTCGTCGATCGAACTCCATAAGTTCGGATTCCATAATATGGAGTTCCCCGTCGGCGTTAATACACCCCGGAATCGATGAAATTAGGTACGTGACGGTATAATATTATGTTATTAATTGCGGTGTGATTGTTTTCGGGGCGACGTTTTTGGCCGTTTATTAATTGCATTCGAGAGTCCATACCTGTGTACTGCAGCGCGCGCGTTACGACCCACTAAATTACGGCGTGCATCGGAGAGAAAAACGAGAGGAATAGAAAAAAAAAAAAGAAGTCGAACGCGCGGATATAAATCTCTGCGGTACACACATCACGCGCATACGTACACACACACGCGCACACATCGCCAACTGCAGCCGTATACCGCCGTCGCGGTAACACCGGTAACAACAATATAGTAGATAATATAATTTGTTCGGTGACCGCACAAACGGGAAATACGTCACTACGCGTATATAGTCTCTACGAAACAGTACTTACACACAGCTGTATATATGTACAAACAACACACATACATACGCACGCACGCACTTAAATACTTTACGCGCATACGGCACGCGTCCCACGCGGATTTACTATATATTTTTTTTGAGTGCTGGGGGCCCGTATTCAGACCACCGTCTGTAAATACGTCTTGTGCCAGACGGTTTCACCGCCGCCGCAAAACACCCACCCCCACCCGCCCCTTCCCTCTTAACCCCCTATCCGCCGTACGGGAAAAAATAATTCGACGACGCGAAAACAGAGAGATTTCGCGATCCTTATAGAGCAGCAGCAGCTAACAGTGTGATAGACGGTAACGTGGGATCCAGAAGTATATACAACTAAAAACAAAAAAAAAAATCGATTGTTCTTATACTCGCGTATATATACTCGTGTATATACTCACATACAACACAGCACGTTTCCTAATAGCAAATCATTATTTTTTTCAAATTAAAAACCAAAATGGCCGAATATATATATTATATGGGTACTCAGTGACGGACCGGGCTATATTTTCTGTTACCGGGAACTGAATTCGAGAGCCTCTAAACGAAAGAGCGCCTTAGAAAAAATTCGACGACGAACAAAAAAAAAAAGTTTAACTCATTTCAAAAATCGTGTGAATCCTACAGAAAATGTTAGTATTCGAAAAATCTTTAGTTTTTTTGCACTCCCACTCTCCGGTATTTGCGCCTATAGAGCACCTAAAACGAATTCATACTTAAAACAAGGTTTTAGGACCAAGAAACATAATTAAGTACGGACTGGGACTTACCGAGAAAATCACGATTTCCTGATAGGCCACTATGCGGTCTAGACACAGAATAAATATATCATTGCAAACGAGAACAAACGGTTCTGAGTGATGAAGTTCGTTTAACTTGTTATCTTAACTTATTTCAATTAATATGAAATTCGGCTGCCACCGTTTTACAAAAAAAAAATCCAGAAATAAAAAAAAAATCAAATGTTTTTATTCAATGTCTGAAATTCACATGTGAAAAGTTTGAAATCTGTATAGAAAAATGTTAAAACTAAATTATTTGCACCGGTCCGAATTCGGAAAGTCATCACCTTTAGACGCATATATAATATAGCAGTGTATAGTTACACAGAACACTTTTCCAAAAGAAAAATTGAAACGACAACTGTGTTTTATACGAGGTAGTTCTGCAGGAAATATAAAAAACATTAAAAACATCTTGAAAACGTTTTTGTTTTAGGTACTATCAAAACGATTTCTAATAAAAAAATAATATACCATCCGAATGGCTTAAAGTACCTAAATCTATATATTGTGTATACGCACATAAAAATATGATGGTTCAGGTGTTTGTGTATACTCGTTTTCGTAGACGAGAATATGAGTAAAAAGACGAGTCTCAAAGTCTCTATATTAACTGTACTACACTATGAAATAATTCATACGTGCGTATCGTCTTACATGTATGTGCGAGGTCGTCGAAATATGGAGAACGACTCCGGGTTTGTTCATCCAACTAGAGAATATTTAATAAATATTGTATAAAAGCATAAAACAAGCTTAAAAAAATAATAATACTAAAAGGGTTATCTATCAGGGTTATCCAATGTATCGTTCGGCGTCCTCTCCCCTCTCTCCCAATCCTCCATTTAACCTCGTAAACGGCAATTGTTACTATGTGTACCCGTGTTACGAATTTATATTTACTGGCGGGTAAGCGTATACAAAACGAAACGCGGAAAAAGCCATTATAATAAGATAAATATTTCGGGCAGTTATTTCAAAAAGAAACGAAATTAAACTTATATATTTTATGTTTAAATACACTTTTGCGCGTCGTAATCGATACTTCGTGAGTGAATATACCGATTTCAAAACAGAACATTATGTACCGCTGGTGCCAGTGGTTAAAGTGAGAACGATTTCGAAGCGGGTCTATAATAGGTATTTATCGAACGTTGAGGGGCATTCTCGCGAACAAACTAAACCTAACCAAACATTCAGCTAACTATCCATCGTGGTGACAACACTTCCAAATTGTTTTTCTCTCACACACATTTGTTCATAAAAATGTTATACCTATATAGAGTGTCTTACAGTAGGTATTATTTGAATGCTAATAATAACTTTTTCGATGCATAATTTTTTTAGATTCTGAGCGGAACGCGGAAAAAATTGGTTTTACAATGATGTTTATTTTTTTTTATCTGTGAACAACTTTTCTACCAGAAATCTAGCTGCGATTTGCAAGTGTATAGCACTTGTCCGAAAGAAAATCTGACTGGAGAGGTACTTTAAGGAGGTAATTTTTTGATTTTTATAGGAGTTTTCCCAATACATACGAAAAACAGGAAAATAGATTCAATATTAAACAAATATAATTAAAGAAAATATATAATGCACATGCAATTATTTTACCATAATATTACATGTATATATTGTTGATAAAGAAACACTATCAACCGAACTCCGCTCAGATCGATTTTTCGTTAGCAATGATTAATCGTTGCTTACAGATATTAAATTATTTACAACAGTGGCTGCACCCGTTTCCCTTATCACGGGACAGCTTTTTTTTCAATCATGTTTTGTGAAAAGTGAAAAAATAAAAAATTATTTTTCAGTGGTTAAATGATGAAAACAAAACTTTATTTTTTCTTATATTTGTTCACTCTTGACACAAAACACGATTAAAAAAAGAAAAATGAATATTGACAGAGTTATTAGCATTCGGATAACACTGTAGGACTTCCTGTATAAGTTTGAACGATAAATTGGAACCTCCTTCCTCAAATAATATGTTATACATACGCTTATGTCAGTTCAGTAAAAATATAATAAAACAGAGTCTAGTTACCGACGTAAAATTGAATAGGTAGGTATTAAAAAACGTGTGTTTAATAAAACTAATTCGAAATTTTTAAATTTTATTAAAAATGTCTCGGTAACAATAACTAAAACGTCCCTTTAGACTTCGAAGATTTGCACAAAATGGGACCGATAATTTCATCTTAAATAAGAAGAGGGGACTCCGTCACCCTCCCACTTTAACCACTGGTTATCGCGCGTTACGGGGCAAACGAATAAAACGTCAAGAAAATAATATAATATTAAAAGTCCGATAAAACGTTTTTAACAGGCAGCTAGTGGAAAAACAAATTTAATTTAATTTAATGAATTCAAGCTTAAGCAGTTTTTTTTGGTTAAATTTGTTATCATTGTCAACGATTTTCCAATAAAAAGTAATATTAAACGAAAACGTATTACGCGCGATGGAGATTTATTTAAATTAACCAATGCGATTCAGTTATGAAATGTCGTAACACACCTACCTATTTATGATAATTAATATTATTAGGTGATTGGTATTTTTATTTAAATGGAATTTACATATAGTGTAGCTTTTGTCGCTAAATCGGAGATATTTTATAAAAATTACTCAGACTGTTTGTATTTGTTAACACATTTTATAATATTATAATATGTGGGCTGTTTTTATTCCATTATCAATATCATATTGAAAGCATTTCGGGGATTCTGCCTAACATTTTCCGGGTTGGTCAAATAACGCCCATTTTATAAACTGAACCATTTCATACACAATATTATTATGATGGAGATTAACGCAAACAATAACAGCACTTTAAAATAGTTATAGTAAATCCTCGAAGGGCACTCGGTATATTTTAGTGTTTTAGTATAGGCACGTATAAACAACAACTACTTAATACAGTTTATTATAGGTTGGTATAATTTTCAACTACGTATACATTTTCCAAATATTCAACATACAGGTAGGTATCAAAAAAAAAAAAAAACAATAACAATATAATCACAAACACGCACAAGTTCTCTACAATGAATGATATTAACAAGACAGTAATGATAATATTATACAACAGTTGTATCTAAAATCTAAACTATACAATAATATACGAGTATGCAAGTATATAAATGATAATGCTATGTATAATGATTATAGTCTTGGTAGTTATACAATTCAATGACTATCGTAATATTATTGTTATTGTTATCCGTAGATGGTGATTCTTTCTTCATTTAACTAAACTCAATACTGAGATCAAAATAAAACAATTATTATACATATTTGCTTCAAATCATAATCGTATAGCAGTCGTGAAATTTCCTGGTTTAGGTTTTTCTAGTTTTAATCTAATTTCAGTCGCACCAATGACGACCAATCGGGTTATAAGAATCGGGATTTTTTTTTAGCACGGGAAAACTGTACATTTACCGGTTTATGGGCATACGAAGAAAAAAAAATAAAAAAAATACCCGAGGCATCATGATGTACTACATTTATTTCGTGTATATGTAAAGGATTATATTGTATTAATAAAATATGTATACATTAAAATATTTGAATACATTTCCAAACCGAATAAAAATCTAAATGAAATTATCGATTTCAAATAGATATGCGTTTTATTATCCTATATAAATACAGTCAAGCATTAAATCAAACTTTAAAATTCAAATTTCTGTTATTATTCATAAAATATAGAACTGCAATTTGCAATGCAATAATCATGCCTCTTAAATTTTGTGTATTGAAGTAATTTTTTTAAATTTGATAATTGATTACCTAATAATATACGATAATTTCACTGGTCCCAATAATTTAAAACACGTTCACATTTTCATATCACATTAAATTTTAATAAAGATTGTTTCCAATGAAATAAATAAAAAAAATGCTATGAATGTATGCAGTTATTAACTTCAACCGTAAATCGGTTAACTAATAAACATTATATTAAACCTACGTGCCGAGTATTGAATTCAAAATAAATATTATCAGAGGCGAATCCAGGACAATACAATGACGGGGAGACTAATTTTAAAAATGCATATCAGATGACGAATCTATGACATCTATGACGAATCAAGTATAAGAGTATAATTAGGCCTTAGATCCAATATACATTGGAGAGTGAACGAGGGTGGGGCGATCGCCCCAATAACCTACCCTCGATCCGCTACTGGCTGTTAGATTATGACCCTGTATTTAACTGTTTAAGTTTAATTGATTTTTGAAATGTTCGATTTTACCGACAAATAACTAACAAACTTATACATACTCGTAGTACCTGTAGGTACCGTCTTTTAAATGTGTAAGAACAACAAAGATAACGATATTGCAGTCAACATTTTTTAATAAATATTCCTAACGTTTTTGCGGACAAAAGCAATTAGATTTATTTTATGTAAGTGTATATACTATATAATATCTATTAACGGAAATGTCAATTCATTTTAAATGAGTGAATGAATTAGATAAAAAAATGCACAAGTGTATACATTTTAAATAAAACAGAAATATCATACAGGTAATGTTTTTGGATATGGATACACGACGATAGGTAATATTTGATGTAGACTAATGTAGAGTAATGTAAAGTAATATTTTAACAGATTATATTATAATTACTATGGATGACAATTATGGATTTTTAATAATATAGGTGTGTGAAAAAGTGTAATATCTTTCTAATGGAAAATTGAAATTTCTAAGTTATTTACGTAGGTATAAAATCACGTTTTTGGGGCCCATGATAGTGTCGTACTCTTTGGACACGATTGTCATTATGAAAATACACATGCACATGATAACAATAAGTTAATAAAAAGTCTCAGTAAAACGAGATGAACTCTGATGATGCTCGATCGACGGGAGATTTTTTTTTTCTAGCAAATCTAAATAAAAAAAACACCGATATCGTTTCTAATAGTCTGATGTCGACGAATCGATTGGCATTATGACGCATGTTAAACGTTTTATGTGGAGTATTTCACGACGCAAATTTTGTTTATGTTATGACAACAATGATAACAGTAAGTTTCCATTCGGATTGAAAAATCGAGCATTGTTAGAATTCATCTTACATCCGACAGACTAATAACATGATTTCTCATTGGAACGGGTTCAATCAACAGGTAAAAGCGTCTATTTGATGATAAAAGTTCTATTTGCACACATATAGGCAATAACTTATAGTTCTCGAGCACACACTAGCATAATTCTTCGTTGTTTAATTTAAATGTAGAACATCAACGATTGAGAAGATCGCATACAATGTGACGAAGAGAGGATAATTTTGTTTTAAAGTTCATATATTTCACCCTCTCCACGAACAATAAATCACGTTTGTATGAATCCGTTTATCAATCATATAAGTATCATGTTTACTCGTGATCAAACCGTTATCTACTATAATACAATATGCTACATTCAAAACATTACCAGTTGTTGTACCTACGCTACAGTTCTAATATTACAATAATTTACTTTTTTATAATAGCAGAAGTACTCACCTAAATATCTCTTTTCGATCGGTCCTTGTGCCAAGTCGTCGATTATGCTCTGTAAGCTCCTGCCTCCTTGCATTACCGGTATGAATTCCTCGACATTTTGATATGTTTCGTCGCTTCTCTTGGGCTTTTGTCCACCCTGACGGTGCAAATTCCAGTCCGGGTTTTTGGTAGATGACTCGGTGGTTGGTTGAAACCCGTACGGCAATTTTCCCTGTCTCAACAACGATGAAATGTACCGCTTGGCAATCGCCTTAGGGCTGTCGGACCAGTATGGCATGTTACTCGTTCGGGCCAGTGAAGCCATGAAACGTTTTTCGATATAATCGTCCGGCGACGAATCGCCGGACTCCATTTTGTCGGAGTTTCCATCTTGGAATTCCGGTTGAAAGTAACCGGTCTCGATCAAGTACCGGATGTGATCCAACGATACAACGCCATGATTATCGAATACTTCGTCTGCAACGTTGGACAAAAAAAGTTCCACCTTTTCTTGGTCGAAGCTCGTTCCGAACTTTTTAAAGTATTGGTTCAATAAATTCCGCAAGTCCGATTTGAATTCGTTTCGGAAATCGTGTTCCGAAATAGGTTCTGATATAAATTCTGAAATAGGTTCCGACACAGGTTCCAAAGTAGGTTGTTCCCTTTTAAAAAGTTTCTCGGACTGTAAAAATTGTTTCATCTCCTGTTTGAAATCAGACAAAATTTAATTTAATAAATTGTACGATTAAACATATGTATTATTTTAATTATTATTATCACAATAGTAATACATTTGGTTAAAACCAAGCATAGAATTTAAAAATATCTACTAACATACAATTCTATAGAATGGTATTTTTATACTTCACACTTTTTGACAAATTAAACTCAATTTATATTTTAAAAGCATTTTCATAAAATTTTAGTTTTCTTCTACTAAAAAAATAAATACAATTACCAATGTTTTTACTGAAATCAAAATCTATTAGATAACAAACATACGTAAATTATTGTACGCAATTTTTTTTTTTTTTTTTTGGTTAACTGACAATAGTGGTAGATCGGTGTTAAATTTGCTACACCATTGCTACCATAACATACGCAATTTATTTTGTAATAAAAACCATCACGTTGATACTATAACAGGTAAGTATACCTATAGTGACCAGATAGTATAAAATCTCTCAGGTCTCACAAGGGGGGAATTTAGGAGTTCAACCCCCCACCCCCCGAAATTCCATGAAAATTAAGATGAGAGTAGATTTTTAATAGTCTCAAAAATGGTTTCTGTCAATGAGGAAGATAGATACAATTTTAGTTTATTTTAATTTTATTATTAGATAGTAGGTACACATTGTTATTATTGTTATTCAATAATATGAATTACGTTAACCATTTAGGCTGTATTTACAAAAACAATATTAAATTAAAATTTAGTAATAAGTACCTAAAACGCTAAAAAGCTGTCCTATAGGATGATGGAGACGGGTGCAACATTGTTATAGGTAATTTAATGATTATCTGTAAGCAATGATTAACCATTGCTAACGATAAAACGATTCTGAGTGGAGTTCGATTGATAATATTGCTTTGTCAACAAACTATAAGACATATTAGGGTAAAATAATTACATAATATGCATTATATATTTTCGTTAATAATATTTATTTAATATTGTACCTATTTTCTCGTTTTCCCGGTTTTCCCTTTTTTTCCGGGTTTTCTTATTTATTGAGAAAACTTTTGGGAAAATAAAAAAAATGACTTTCCTAAAGTACAACTCCAGTTAGATTTCCTTTCAGAAAAAGTTTTATAATTGTAAATCGGAGCAAAATTGCTGGTAGAATAGTTGTCAACAGAAAAAATATAAATAAATAAACATCATTGTAAAACCAATACATTCCTCGTTCCACTCAGAATCTAAAATGAATATTAAAAAATATTGACATTTTTAATGAAAAATAAAAAATCCTACAATTGAAAGCTTGTATAATTTTTTGTTATACTTAAACTCCCCTGACATATTTGTTTGTGAACCCACCTGCTGAAACACTATACATTGTTTCAAAATTAGATTTCTCTAATTCTGGAATTCGAATTTACCACCGTGCGTGTGGTTTCTGATTGATCGATTTAAATTTACCCCCAAATGAATAATAATCAATCACGATTTGTTTGGAAGTGCGGGGGACGGCCCGTTACGTCTGCAGGCTTCGCTCACAAACTCCAGAGCCACTGCATGGCCCTTTTCGAAACCCTTTACAGGGTGACGGGAGAAGGAATAACCACTTACCTACACACTTACATTGGCAACCTGATAATGCTGCAAGGAGAATAGAGTCCTAAATGTAAACTCAAACTTTACTACTCAAAACTAGATCTTCAGCGACCACCATGTGAACATTTAGTTCCAAAAATGTCGGGTTAGCCCCATTAGCCCATTCGGACACTATAACATTACGTGTTGAGGTGTATGATGACACCTGCATAAACACCTATACGGTTGTTCGTGTTCTTTGAAACTATAGAACGTACAGTAGTAAATTTGAATGGACCAATCAGAGAAATTTATTTGTGAAACAATGTATATGATGTTTATATGCGAGAATTTATGCATATTATGTGATATTTTTAATTTTTAAGCTGTATGTAATACATTTTTATACGAACTTTGTATAGATTTTTAAGTCATTTTTGCAAACTATTTATCTTTAAATCATTTTTCATGATTTTTTTAGCGTATTTACATCTTTTATTCATCCCCGTTCATTTGTCAAATCGATAATATATGATATAATATTTTTAATAGTGAATACAAAATATACATTATATTATTATATTATAATTATTATTATTATTATATTCATTATATTATTATTATATACCTCAGCTAGGCGATCCTTCTGCTCTTGAATGGCTTTCGAATTGGCGTCACTTACTACTTCCAACTGGTCCAACATCCGTTTCTCATTAACCAACTGATTGGGTAGTTGTCCATTCTTGGCCAACGAGGCTAAGGTTCGTTTTAATCCTGGTAATTGTCCGGTTCTCGCGAGAGAATCTAAATTCCTCTTGTTCACATCGAACGGGAATTCATGAGAGACCTGTCATCATAAAAAAACTTCCATTTAGTATTATAATATTACAATATTATAATATAGACAATGCGTATTTTTTTTTTCTTTGGCCACCAATGCCTGCAAATCTTAAATGCATATATTATTCGCTCACGAAAACGTACCATTTATCACGAAAACCGTAACCGTGTCAAGCCTGGGCCAATATTACGTTCTGGGTCCATTTTTTTTTATCACTTAACGTTATTACACCGAATTTATCATACGGGGGTTGCATTCCTTGACCATATAATAAATACCACGTCATCTAGACGTTACCCCGGTTACTCCGGTTGCCTAAGTATCTGTTATACATACATGTATTACTATAAGAATGGACGAGTATAAATTTAATAATATTTTGAATGTGGTATATTCTTTCCCTGTATCTATATTTTATTCATTTTTTCAACCCATGAAAATAATAATATTATATAAGATCGTCATGACCTTGTGTCGAATGATTTTCTTCAATAACTATTTCCGCAAACACTAACAATATAATTCAACATGTTAACTTGCACAGATAAAAAAAATATAGAATATAGGTATGCGCTTTTTTAAAACGGTAAACATACAAAATCTTAATCAAAAAACCCGTAATTTCATTGAATTCTATTATTTGTGCTAAACGGATTTCAAATCCTTATTATACATTTATATGACACGTAAAGATGCAAATAACAATGATTTTTATCCTTCCAATAATACCTATAAGTTATAAAGTTACCCGAGTACAATAGTTGCTATTTCAATATATCATGCTTTTTGACTGATACTCGGTAAACAAGCATTCGATTTTCATATTATTCGTTTGAAAGGTGATAATTCTCCATTTGAATGGAACTAAAGAGGCACGACGTGGGTTATTTTTATCTTAAATTTATACGCTATTTTTTTTTTTAAAAGAACTCCCACACACACGTGCCCAGGTCTACAATTCTTTTTCACTCTTTTGCGTTAACAGTTCAATTGGTGCATATTATATATTTAAATATTTCAATATAAAAATTCTTCAAATATAATCCTCGAATAATTCTTTACCATATGATATTTGTTTAAATTTGTTCAAAATTTTGTAAACGATGATCTTTTAAAATATGTATTTTCTTATTGTTTCGTAAATAGTTATGCGTAAAACAGACGCTGGCAAATATGGGTACCAAGGTAAAATTTAATAACAATCAATTACTTCTTCCCTTAAAATCTCCTCCTCGGCCTTCTTTTTTCAATGACAAAATTATTTTTATTTGTACATGACAATATATCAACAAAACCTGAACGTATACATGTTTTTGTTTAAAACAATTCATCAGTAACAGTATAATATTATACATGTCCAAGGAGGTAAGATTAGTACCTATTTATTCAGGTAGTATTATATTACATAGTAGTGGTATTAGTTAAAACTATTATTATTATTATTATTACTATAATAATAATAGAGTAATTTATTTGATTTTAATTTTAATTTGAGGGCAGATTAGCATATTCAATTTTAAATTACTTATAAAAATATATATGGATACCTAAATAAAACAATTGATTATCAAATCAAATATTGATTCTGATTACATATAATGATAATTATAATTAATTAAATACATCGAAGTTCATATCTTGCGTTTATCAAAGCAATGTCATACATTCAATATCTGATGTTAAACGTCATCATAATGTTAGTAGTTGAATACTGCTTTGATATTACAGTCTACAGAAAAAAATATTCCATACATATATATACATTGTATACATGTAAACTATATATATAAAGTATGTAAATCAGTAGTTGTAGATTTTTGGTGAAGTCATAATATTTTTTATGCCATTCAAAACATTGGAAAATTGTGGAGAGAATAGTAATGCAGAATTGTATGAACTTAACAAGGCGAACAATTTAAAAGGAGTGTGTAGTCGATAAATCAGAAACCATATTTTTTCCTACAATAAATCAAGAGGCTCCAATGATGACGCGTAGGTAATAAATTTCTCGATCTAGAAGAAGAAGACATCGATAAAGTTAATTCATGGAAAAATAATCAATGACCGTAGTTTGGTATCAATGTCATAAAATATAGTGTTTAAATATTATAATGTAAAGTTTGAATACAAACATAAACGAGCGAAGCGAACAGAACAATTTTTTCAGTTCCACGAAATTAACAGGATTCATATAAATGGCCTGGTGGAAGGGAAAATTGGCCCCGTTAAAATGTTTGCATCCCTATTGAAAAACTGAAATTAGCGTTTGCTTTGGTGTCGTGTGCGGGGTAGTAATTTACTAAAAATGAAACGATTGTGATTTACGGAACATCAGTTCGTGAGTAATTGTCGAATAAAGCGATTATGTTAGTAAATCGGAAAAAAAATGTATCCTACGTGCGTATAATTTTGTTCAAATTGTTTCTTCTTTTTTTCTAGAAAAACATAAATATGGATGTACTAGAATGCCGTTGTGTTGAAGGTCTAATAAATGACATGAGTGACGATGAGGTATGGGGTGGGTTTTTATTTTCCGACGAGTGTGAACACCTGATGAAAATGATATAGAATGACGATTTATAACGTGTATGATCATCTGGTATACGTACAATAATCAAAATAATATAATCATATTAATATTCATAAACGTGAAAATTTGTTTGTCTGTTACTCAATAATGCCTAAATAACCCAATGGCTAATAATAATAATAATAATAAAAATTAATGTATAAAATATAATATGTATACAAATAAAGTATAATACTAAATTTTGTAACGTGTTATAAAATAATAAATACATAAATCAAATTTATTGATGTGTAAAACAAAATTGTTTTAATTTGAACAGAGTATAATACTGCACACCAATAAAGTTAATCAAATTTCCAATTCGAATTTATCTAAACGCGTTTGACCGAATTTCGCTCAGAATTGTTTTTCGTCTGCAATGATTTATCTTAGCGTACAGATATAAATCATATTGCCGCTCTACATCCTATACCTTCACAACTTTTCCGTCTACAATGAACTGTTACGGACTTTGGGCTTTTTTTTTTTTTTTTAATTTACACGTAGTACAATATTTCAAAATATTCATATTCAATATTTCTCTCCTTGTCAAAATTCTAAATACGCCACTGACCAGAATCCAGAATAGCAATTTTATTGGACATCTCGAGACGTATTTAAAATGTATGATATGTAAAAGTGTACCAATAATGGCATTTACATGTATTGTTACATTTGTAAAAAAAACTCGTATGTACACGGAATTATATATATGATTAATGATGTTTTCATAGATTTTTTTTCCTTATGACGAGTGCCATGCTTATGAATATAAAATTAACCGCGAATTCGTTATCATAATATTTTATAATATTATCATAGGTGTACTACAAGTTTATCGAATCACAACACTAGCGAAAAACTTGAATAGTTTCATCATTTCTCAAAATTATAAATCTTGATAATAATATAATGGACATTATGCTGTTTTTAATTTTTTATAAAGCAAAAATGTTTTTATCGTGTTTTTTTAATTTGTTTAAATAATATCTAATACAATTTCCATTGATATTTATATCAGAATATTCAGAACAACAATATCAGAATAATATTGTAAGTTTATAGTTTTACAGTATCATGCGTGTGTTTTTTCCTCGGATAACGAATATATTTTTTATAAACGAGTCACTGTTGCAAAATTACACAATGCCTATTATGTATTGTATTTATTATATGTATTTTTTTAAAATTATTATTTATTAATCATGACAGTCAATATAGTTTTTGAAAAATTATCCACGATAAATACAAAAAAAAACGGTAAGCGAATCGAAAGAGTAAAGATACGTAGCCGAACAAAACCCCGTATTACCCCGGACAAAAAAAAGTGAAATTTTTTTTTATATTCGTATAGTATAGATTATATAGGGAGGTAAGACGCAACAAATCATTTCGAAATGATTGTACGAAAAATTTATCGACAATAGGTCTAAGAAATACCGGGAAAGCGAGCCTGCAAGCTATAATAATAATTGAAGTTGAAATTAAAAAAAAACACAAAAGTGTAAAAAGAAAAAAAAAAGAAATATACAAATAAGATACTTAAGTGTTCAATAATATAAACGTGTATTATTTAATTTTTTTTTTTAGATCGTATAAATCGTATAAAATAGCTGTGTCAATTGTAAGTTCAAACAATCTCAATTAAATTTTTCCAGTAAGAACCGTTTCAATCAGCCATTTCTCTAGCAATGATTCTGTTGTAAATCGCGTTGCCGTAAATTCCAAAAGAGAAGACATTTTTTCTAAAGTACCAGATTTCCCCCGGACTCGTCGACAAGAATTATTCCGATTTATTTGTTTCACAACTCCTGTAAACCCCAAGAGCCGCCACTGTAACGTTCACAAGCCACATGGTCGAATTAGGCACTGGTCCACCGGGAAATTTCCCGGAATCCCAGGGACCCAGCCCGTCCCTGGCTGCATAGGGTATAATAAGGATGGAATTAATGTAGAAAAGAATATTTTTATGTATTGACGTCCTTTGAAGTACACACCGACTGTTTCGAATGTTACGGGTTACGTCGGAAAATCCTTTAAATCACGAACCCCTAAAATACTGGTGCGACGACGTTCCCGACGCGTTTTCACGCGATTTTGAAAATCGACAAAAAAAAAAGAAAAAAGAAAAAGAAAGAACGCGGAACATTTGAATCCGTCCGATTGAAAATATAAAAATCGAATTATTTCGATTGAATTATTGCACGTGTAAAGCGTATATTCTGACGTGTTGTATTATATATATATATATTTTTTATCGTTATCCCTGTGTATTATTGTTATTGATAATGTTTTATTATTTTGGTCCGAAACGTGTATTTTCATCGAATAAACGTATAAGCGCACCGGCGCGCGAGTTTATTTTTTTATTGTAAAAATGCGCTTCGCCCGGCCCGTCTGATTTTTCTACGCCCCTTTTTTCCTCGATCCGGATGTAAGTGTATTTTCGAACGAATGGCGCAAAAACAATATAATATTCGCATTTCATATATATATTAATAATAAACGTATTGCACTTGAAAATAAACGATTCGGAGTATAACACGCCGTACAACTGTAAATAATAGTGTTAGCTACAATAGCCGCCTTTAATATTAAAAATAAAAAAACTCATAAACTATTTAAGGTTATTAAAGTTTTCTAGTACCAATGCACGTTGATAAAATGTCGAAGGAAAAAATAATAATAACAAAAAACGTCAATAGACGAGATTTTAATACAGTCTACATACGAAAACGATTATGTATTATTATTTTCAAATATGGTAACGCAATAATATTACAATATCACTTGTACCTGTTGTTTTATTTCTCTATTGCGGTATTGAAAAATACCAATATTAAAAAAAAAAAAAAAATACAAAAGAAAAAATATGATTTTCAATCAATATAATATAAATCACAACTTATAGCTACGGTTATTTATTTATTATTGTAGTATATAATTAAAAAAACAAAAATGATATAACATTTTTAAAGTAAAAATGCTAAACAAATATACATATACTCGTATACATAATAAAAATAGCTGGGAGGTAAACTTTGAATTATATTTTGTATAATTATTACTATTTTTTTTTTTCAGTAATTATTCGGACGTGGATCGGACAATAACCGTAATACATATTTTCACTTTCTCGAAATTTAACGTTGAATCAGTACCTATTACTGATATATCAAATCGTAAAATAATATGAAATACATCATACAAATTTCATAATATATTGTAACCGCATAAAATTCCATAGAATACATTAAAAAAAACTGTAGGAAAAACGAGTTTAATATAAATGCATACTGGCTTATAAATTAATTACACATTTTAAATAAACAACAAAAGTGAGAAAATACAAAAATAATACTAATTTTTGTTTCAATTTTCACTATTCACTGTATATACCTTACCAGTCACTGTAGAGATATACAAGTACAGACTTTGTGTTAGTATAGAGAAAAAGGAATGTTGACATTGGAGAAATAATTTGACTGAAACAATTTCTTTTTTATCATGGGAACACTTTTTAAGACAGTACAAAATGATAAAAAAAAGTTTAGTTTTGCGACTTTTTGAATATATTGTGATATATTTAATTTAATGGTGGAAAGTTTTTTGTCGTTTTTCCTTGACACAACCCGAATGAATTCGTGAAAGATCAAAAAATAACCGGAATAAAAATTCGAGCAANTATCAAAATTAATTGCACAAATAATTAAATAATTATTTATAATAATTCTATTTCTTTTAAGGCAGTTGACATCGATTCGCTTTTTTATACATTCAGAGTCTAAATTTTAGATTAACAAACTATAGAGCAAAATAAATTTACTAACAGGAATATAAGTACAATTTATGTATTTAAAAACTAATTGATTTCGTATACTTCTTTTCTATATGTTTTAAAAACATTTTTTTTTTTTTTTTATGACAATTTAAATACGAGAAATATTTTAAGAAAAAAAGGGTATACCATGGTACATTAATCATGTTTCCTATGTTTCCAATGTTTCCTATAAAATTTCCTACAGACAAGAATGTAAAAAACTTAAATATGTTTTCAAAATGAATTTGGACGAGCGGTAGCTATAGCGGGTGAATTCTAAATTATTGGTCTAAAACGTCATATTCGTCCGTAAAACGGTTACTCACTTCCCCTTAAATGGGTGTCAGACAGTAGATTAGCGAAACATTTTTATCAATACGGTGGCCATTAAAAGGTAAAAATTTGTTTTAAAATTGTACACAGCTGGAGAAAATTTAGAAAACCGTTTTTCTTTAATCGATTATATTTTACCATATTCAAAATTAAATAATTTATCGTTGCTTTCATTGCATGTGTTTTATTTAAAATCAACCCCGTTTTAATTTTATAAAATATATAATTTATTATTGTACTACAATTTATATTGTGTTTAATTGTGGTTTTTTATTTGTTTCAAATTGATGATGGCAAAATTAATTGACGCGGAATTAATTTTAATTGATAACACTTATAGTGTAATAAATACGTTTATACCCTTATATCTATGTTTATTATTATTCAAGTTTTAAAACTTAAGCGATCCAATTAAAATTGATTACCTATACCTATATACCTATAGTCTATATTATACGTATACGTTTTATGGCGAAGTTCGCGAATACGACAGTTTATTGTTATAAACTTTGAAATACTTAACAGATAATACGAATTTGTTTTTTATAGTATATATATGTATTAACATTTTAATCGAATGTTTCGAATATTTTGGTGGTTTTGTTTCGTGTGTTGCGTTGTTATACTTATTCTCTATACATCGGTAACGTCAACGTAATATTATAAATTATTATGATAAATAATTTATTACGATCTGATTATTATTTGGTTTAAGAATGTATTATGTACGAACGTTTTCGTGTATATTATTTAACTCGACCCGCAGAGCTGTTTTATCGGCACGATAAAAAAAAAATATTCGCAAACCAATTTAACATTAATGAACAACGAAAAAAAAAACGAAACAATTTTACCCTTTTCTTATTATATAGGAAGAATAATATCTTTTTATAACGGTGGATATAATAGCTGAGAGTTAACAAGTCGGCAGTGAAATGATTGATGGGTCGACGAAAAAAAAAAAAACCTCGAATTTATTACTAATTGAGATTTACCCGCTGTGGAATATCGAACAACTTTTATTTTTTTTCCGATTTTTGACAATGATTTGTAATTGTAATCGCTTTTTAAAATCGATTCGGATAAAGTCGATATTAATCGAACGGTAATAAGTACTACATGATTAATACGACTTATAAAAGTTATTATGATTAAAAAATTAAACGAAACCCGCTTTATTCGGCCATTTGGAATTCCAAACAAATCGTATATTTTAATCTACTTTAAATTGTGATACACGGTGCAAGTATTTCACGTATACCGCTATAAAGTTGTGTACAGTTTTAGTATAGTATAATAAAAGGGTATTTTTTTATAAGATGCAATTAATTTAACACTGGACATATTTTCTTTATCGTAAGCCTTATACTCGTATAATACAATATAAAACCCTAAAAACATGTACATAAAAAAATAATTCCTTGTCCTATATATTCTAAAAAATGCACTAAAATTTTATTTTTTATTTTTAATAATTAATAATATCTGAACATAAATTTAAAAAGAATTGATATCGCATATGGATATATCACTGTTGTAGGTGGGAATTTCATAAAGTATAGGACACATAATGATATTCAATTTATATCTGTACGCGACGATAAATAATTGCTGACAAAATACGATTCTGACTGAAGTTAAAACATGTTTTGAAAGCCCGTAAAAGTCGCGATTTTCATCAAAATTTTAAATTAAAACGCTTATAAAAGAAACTTCCACATTAAGGAAAACTTGATTTTACTGTACACTAAATACAAATTATAATTGTATACTTATAATGACTAAATCAATTGAAAAATGAAAAACTCGAAGTCAAATGTCTAGAAAAAGCTAATAGAATATTTTTAACCGAATTAACAACCAACAAATAAAAACATATAAAAGGCACAAATCATACTAAAAGATGTAGAAACTAAATATTTTTAGAGGTAGAAAAGTCATTATATCGCAGGTAATGTTATATGTTAAAAATTAGAATAATATAATGTATCAGTTTTTAAAATTACTGTTTTTATACGTAAGTTTATGTAATATCTATTATAATAGTATTTATTTCTTGGTAGAAAAAAAATAACATTTTATTTGAAACGACGTCAAGTGTAATAAATGAATAAAATACCTAATAATATTGAGCATTTTTATTTTTTTTACAGTCAAATCAAGTCGAGCTATTTATCGATAAGCAAAAAAAAAAAAAATATCCGCACTACCTTTCAAACTGATTAAAATACATTTCTACGCAAAATATCGAAATCAACGTCACGTAATATTTTAGTTATTTTAAAAGTTGTTTTAACAATAAGTTATTGTTGTTGTATAGTTACATAAAACATTATTAGAAAGAGAGAGAGAGAGAGAGAAAGGGAATCGGCTAAACGAAATACCGAAGGAGACGAAGGTTGACTTTTTAGATTTAAACGATATAAAACCGGTAGGTATAAGTACGTATATATTAAAATGTCATCGGTATTATTGATTGATACTTGTTGAGTTTGCGGGTATCGACACTGTAATAATCATAATAATAAAAAAAAATACTCGAGTTAATATACGGAAGGGCGAGTTTTAAAATTATCGTTTTCGTTTACGCTATAATCGCAGCCGTTTTTATAACCTACGTATACTATTGACGCAATGGCACTGGACAATACTCGTACCTAAATTTATGATGCACGGGTTTTAAATTCCTAATTTAAAAATTACCCGAGAATGAAAAAAACGGCGAAACAATTCAAGTGTCACTTTCCAAGTATCATATTATATGTTTATCTGAATTCTGTACTCGAAATTCAAAGCTTTATAAAAAAAAAAAAATAATAAATAAATAAATAATAATAATAATCTAAACCTTAAATAATACCTGAAATCGGCTAAAAAACTGCAAATATTACAAAAAACTAAATTTCTCTACATATTTATTTCAATAATGTTTTGAATAATTACCATAGATGATTTTAGAAACAATTTATTTACTTATTTACTTAAATGGCCATAATATTATATATATATATAAGAACGATTGAAAAACAGCGAAAAATCCAATAACCAAAACAGTTTCTCGGTATCTGTTATTATTAAACACTAATCAAATTATATTTATGAAAAAAATAGTGAATTTCGCATTGAAATCCGGGCCATTTCTTTAAAGGTTTAATTCCATATAAAACCTATAAATCTGATGTTCAATTTAACGGAGATCCGATAAATTCAATAACTTAATATTTTCTGTTCAATATTTTTAAGTCCGTTACATTAGCATCCCTAATTTTTAATTTCATTGGAAAACATTTGTAGATAATAATAAATTCCGAATTTGCACACCACTCAAAACCCACAAAAATCGCGATGCGATTTAATTCTTGTTTTTTTTTTTTTTAAATTTATTTATTGGCGCAACAATTAATATTTCCTAACGACGAGTCGTTATAATTTCCTTAGAATTGTTTTTAATTTTACAATAATTTAAATTGTTTTCATTGCCCAGCCACTGAACATAATATCAACGGATGTTCGTCGATTTTTCTACGGGAAATAATTGCGTAAACGATTTTCGTAAAATCAAACCGATCGTGTGAAAAAATCAACGACTAGAGTTTAAAGTGAAAAAAAAAAAACAAAAAACAAAAAACTACGCAAAGTAAAAGAATCGTCTGGCAACGGCGGAGGGGTCGAGTGAAAACGAACGGTACCTATATTACACAATAATCACACGCAAATATACACAGCTGCAATTAAAAAAAAAAAAAAAAAAAAAAAGGTAATATTTCGGAATTGTCCGCGTTTGTTTTCGAAAATTATTTTACCTTGAGTACGCAGGCCATCGCGGCCACGAACGCAACGGCTTTCATCAACATCGCGGAGTCTCGACGGCGGACGACGGTGACACGGTGCGCGAGTGAAGTGTGTGTGCGCGTTGTTCGCGTTCCGCGGGTGCTTGCCGGCGGTGGTTCGTGGCGAATGCTCTGTGACGTCTCCGCGCCGGAATCCTGCTCATATATCCGCGGCGGGCACCGTCCGGCACGCAAGCGCTTCTCGGCCGGTCGCGTTGGTGCGGGGTAAAAAAAAAAAAAAACCGATAATGATAATAATGAGCGTATTATTAATAAAATATATCGTGTGTAGTAAATAAATAGCGAATAAAAAAAAAAAAAAAAAAAAAACCGCCCGATTGCGCGCGTTAAATTATTATTTATTATCGCGTTTACACGTATAGCGGTATACACGGTTCGCGTATAATGTCCGACATTATATGATATGGCCGCTCGGGTTTCCGACTCAACGGGGTCCCGTGCGGGTTAATTCGAGAAAAAATACACAAATATATAAAAACGAACGTGATTCATTGCGTATGAAAAATAGAAAAATAATAATAATAATAAAAAACAGTCGAATTACATATTATTACGCGAAAACCGGACGAAACCGTATAATGTATTTTTCGGATTTAATTATCGTCCCGCAGAGAGACGGGATCCGGTTACGCGACGTACGGAATTATATTAGCGTAATTTAAGTCCAATATAATTGAACGACGGCGCGAACAGAACGAGCGAGCATCCGAATTGAAATTTTAAAAAACTCCAGAAACGACCGAGAAATCCGTGCACGTATCATACGCCTGTTGCCCACGGTAAAACCTCCTTGTAACGGAATCGCCCGGTACCAACTGATTTTTCCGTTACAATGGGAGTTTCCGTTATAGGGATACTGACATACACGGTATATAGGTTACTGCGCAGAACTGTTGTTGTTTTCTGTTTTAAGGAGATTTCCGCTCCTCATAGGAGGTCCGTTATAAGAAGGCTTTATTGTACCCGCACTGGCGATGTCGTATTTACGGAACAACGAGGGGGTCGGCGGTCATACCCGTGATCCGGATGATCCATTACTGATATCTTACTCCGGACCGCGTTGAACGCAATTTCCGATAGAAAAAAAAAAAAAAAATTATGTGTTATTCGTAATATGAAGGATACCGGGAAAAACCAGATAAGTCACTTTTTTTTTTCCGAAACGGCGATATTGATGTACCGAACAATTCGTATTGATGTACTGGTATCTTTTGCGCGATTTCAGTATTAGCCGAAAGCAATGGACGCCAAAAGTTTAGGCTTACAGGGAAAAAGCAGGTAATAAATTGAAATAGTGAAATAAATATTTTGTAAAATAACGAAAAAATTCAACATTTTATTGACTCGCAAATATTGTAATAATTGTTGTTGTTTTTGTTAATGTTGCGACTGTGCCTATTTGCGACATTTTTCGTCTGTAAATTCGTCAAACTTTTTTTTTTTTTTACCATATAAAATACAATTTTTGTCGCAATCACAAAATACATTATCGTGCTCAAGTCCGCCTACATCTCGAATGAAGTAAACTACTTTTGAAGTATAATTTTGAAAACGTGCAGATTCCGGGAAAAGTTAATAAAACACTCGTGAGCACCAGAACTCCGTCACTATAGAGTAGAATTTTCCTCCGGCCGACTTGTCACCGTTACAATGTTTCGTATTTTTTTTACAACATAGATCTAAAATACTTATGGTTGCCACCATTTAATTAAATTTTAGTATATATAGGGATAATTAAAATTGCCTGTGAAAATATGAAATTCGAGCATTATACAAATCGTTTTGAATGGTTTTTGAAAATTAAAACGCCCAAAAGGCACACAATTGATAATTAAACACTATACATATTGCATACATACATTATTTAATTCCCAAAGCTTAATGACAGGGGGTTTGTATGAAGGGTGTACGAAACTCAAAAAATATCCTCCTTCGCTAAACACGTTAAATTCATATTGTAATTTAGCTTAATTCTTATCACATCGATCCACCAATAAAAAAAAATCCCGAGTTTGATCTTCTTTGATCCGGAGAAAGCCGCTAAAAGTGTCAAAAACCATATAATATTATAACAGGTATACATAATATAGTTAAATCTATTTTCAGAGAAATTTTTACAATAGTTTAAATACTGAATTTTGATATATTGATATATTTGATATTTTATCACCAGTTTATAAATATAAAAAATATTTTCCAAAATGCTGTCATAATTTTAATACTAGACTAAAAAAAAATAAATATAAATATAAATGAACCAACTTGCAACAAGCATTTTGATACTAAGAGGTGTTTAAATCGAGCAAAACCGCTCTGCAGGAATTTAGAAATAAACATTAATAATTTCCCTAACTTTAATTTATTTAAGTGTTATATATCAAGTTTAAACTAATCACTATCTGTCAATTTATCTATTTATCTACTCACTATTACATAGATGTTGCGTAGATGTCACACTACTAGCATTTAACAGTATAATGATGAACTGACCAAATTATGCAATGCTTTCTATAGTTTATATTACTATGTAGCTAATTCTGTGAAAGGTAAATTACCAAAATATTTTCTTGTTAATATTAGTATTTCGTATAATATATTCATGTATTGACTATTTTAAGAACCTCTCCATCGCAAGCTTTTACTTCTAGGAAATGAATAAACTTACGTTATTGGAAATTATCATGTCGTTTGTTTGCAAATAAAAATAATTATTATTATTAATTGAAGTTTTATTGAAGTTTTGTTGAAGTTTAGATTTTAGGTTGGAAAAAAATCCGTAGCCGGTAAATTATGTTTAAAAGAAGATAATGGACCTTACTGTCGACCGTATGCTCGTATATAGAAAGAGAATTTATACCTTTTTTGGGGGAGGGCAACAATAATCTTAATACATTATTATATTACACTAACAATTAATATTTTATAAAAGTACAAATTTTAGGTGATTATTACCACACGGACCACTAAATTAATCTCTGACCGTGTTGTTGACATTGTGTAAGTTTTGACAAACAGCAGGGAAGTCGGAGCCGTTGGTCAGTATGAGGGGTTAAGCCGTCCACGACTCTGCGCTGAGAAAATGATCGTGATACGGGGATTCACTTCCGTGTCAAATTTTCAAATACGCCACTGGCCTATAGTGTGGACGACGATGGTATACTTACACTTTTTAAATTTGGATTACTTTTTCGAGATTCGGGTATCGTTTTAAACTAATTATACTCGCAGTCCAGGGCGGTATTGTTATTAATCGACTTTCTTTTAAAATATACTGTCAAACAACTAATACGTTTCGCGCAAGTACACTTAAACCACGTGTTTAATATTTCACGAATAAAATAAGCAACCCCGTGTCGACTAAAATATATTACGCGCACATTTTTTATACTAATTATTAATTATGCATTTACATTTTTTAATTATTTTTTTTCCTTTCCATTAATTATTTTTACATTTAATATAAGCCGAGTTTTTAAAAGTACACTAATAGAATATTAAAAAAAATAATAATAAACGGATATAGTTCACACGATGGATGGTCCACTTTTGTAGGTGAGAAGTTGGGAAAGTATAGAGGGGAAACTTAATGTATATATGTACGCAACGATTAACCGTTGCTAACGAAAAACGATTCTGAGTTCGGTTATACATATTTTGAAAGGCCGTAATACTAACGATTCGTAAATTTTCCTAAGTTTTTTCCCGGATTTTGTCTTGTATTATAAAAACCCCTGGAAAAATAAAAAACGAAAAATTAAAAAAAAAAAATTAAACTAAAATTCAATAATATTGATTGAAACGGGGGAAAAATATAGTCGTTGAATTCCTGAATAAAACAATAATAATCTTTCTTATTTAGAGTTGTATTTGTTTTATTTATAATGTTTACAAAATAATAATATATCCTCCAGTAAAATAAAAACGTGTTTATACTCGAACCAGAAAAAAATGTATACGATTTCAATTATAAAATCCTCACAGTAAAAATATATACACTATACAGGATAATATTTCGAAGAAAATTTCATAATCGCACTCGTTTTTCCAAATGACAATCGGAAAAAATGTATTTTTACATTCATACAATGCCGTCCTAGGTATACATTATAATAGATACGATTATGCTGTATAGATATATGCATGAAGTTCTTTCGGAAACAGTGGCGTAATTGAAAACGTTTTAGGAGGGAGGGGATATCAAAACAAATCTTCATGGAAATCTTGTGAGAGGTTAGCCCCACACAAACCCTCCCCCCTTGCCAATATTTAATAATTCGTCACTAGGGCTCGGGAGATTTTTATCAAATGACACGTATGCGTTTTTAAAATTGCAACGTCCTAAACACGTTCAAACGCATAGTACGTAACGCTTAAAGTGAGATTTAACATTTATTTTGACATAAGCTATTAAGAATATTGCTTACCTAGTATAACAATAAACTATGGATATTTTGGTAAAATATGCTACCTTCTAATACAATTAAATATTTATAATTTTTTAATTTCACAATAGTTTTTAAAATTTGTGTTTGAACTTCCAATTTGTATAAAATAACACTATACTATATAAATACGGCTCATGAGGGATCTATACCCCATACCCCCCTCTCCCACGCCCTTCCTCGGAAATGTATTGCCTTTTACCTATCTATTTTAATTATAGTAAAACGGTGTTTTGTCACATTACATTTGTTTGAAACGTAGGTTTTTCTTTGTTTTTAGCGAGAGCATCAAATTTTCGCACAAATTTCTCACGATAAATACTGTGGGATTTTAATGGCACGAAACTATAGTACACAATAGATGGATTGGTGAACCTAGTAAAAATCTGTATACATACTTTGTCGTTCTATAGAATTTATGTTATATTTAGAAGAGTAGTAGATTTAGTTATTATAATTTATTACTATCATTTGCAATATATTTTTACCTATAGAGGAGACCTATAAATTGTGAATAAATCTGATTGATCAAATGGAAAATTACCATTTTTTTTTAAATATGAAACACGTTCCAAAAAAATACAGTTGAGGAAATGGATCATACGAGTCAAAAAAGGTCAAACGCCATTACTATGAGAAATGATATTCGAAAAACCTTCCAAAACATCTTTTTCAATTCTATAAAAAGTGGCAAGTATTATAAATTATTTATTACCTTTGGAAACTGCTAACAGTTAAAGTAAAAATAATTCACACCTACGTTGTCAGTACCCACAATCTAATATAGGTATTAAATGATTTATCGATACCCACACATACCATGTGATATATTTATTCGATGATATATTTAGGCAATTTATATTTTTAAAAAACCCGATACTACTAATGGATGTACCACTCTATTAAAAGTGAGAAGTTGGAAAGGTAGGTGGTTATTTAATTTTCATCTGTACGCGTCGATAAATAATTGTTAACAAAAACGACTTTGAGCGGAGCTCGGTTGATCAATATTCTTGTAAACGAATTATTACTATAAAACACATTAATTTATGAATTTGAACAGCAGCGCCGCCCGAACTATACCCTTCGTACCGCCGCCGCCGCCTGTGCTATACATTTCGGTCAAAATATTATCCTATTCTCTCTAAATCGGACGTGTAGCTAGAAATTTCCAAAGGGGGATGTTATGAAAAGTAACAAAACCTATTAATTGAAAAAAAACGGACATACTTCACACTGTATTGAATTTAGGAAGGTAGGATATAGAGGGGAATCTAATTTACATATGTGCGCAACGATTAATCATTGCCAATAAAAAACGATTCTGAGCAAAGTTCGGTTATAATACATGTTTTTAACGTCTTAATATTTATGATTTTCTTCGAAATTTGATATTAAAATTCTTATTAAAAAACGAACATTGTTAAGTAATTTACATAGTTATATAGTTACGTTTACATATGTGGGTACCAAATTGTAAAATAATTATCTTGTCCAATTGCATTATACACATGTAGTAAATAAATACGGTCAAGAGGAGGGGGTATTACTACACCACCAACACCCCCCCCCCCTCGCTACGCCAATGTACATCGGTGCTCTATAAGCGTGAGGTTTTGTGTGGAATGTCCTATCATCTTTGTATTATCTATGATGGCAGTACTGTCGCTCTATCAATTCTAACTAAAGTTGACAGTGCTAGTAAGCTACCACAGTGTGTAATCGTGTTATATTTATTTTTACTCAGTGTTAATTGAAATACCAATACCATGAATTAATTGTGACTGATGCATTTAAAAATGTTAAATTTTTATCAATTTATAATTTTCCTTTATTCGTAAAAAATTATTAAAACTTTAGGGGTCTTCAACACCGAGTTTATTCATAAGGGTACTGGAAATGTTTGTATCATTAAAATCGATTGATAAATGCATTTTTTCACATTGCTCCAACATCCTTTTTATCAAATGTATTGTTTGATATTTTGCTGCATCGTTTTTACTACCTTACCTCCATTCTTGTTGTCGGTATTTGAATCTGGATTAAACATAGAATCTGATTTGGAATTTCGTATAGCATAAGATTCGCGTTACTTAAGTTGAACTTTAGCGATATTATCAATGGCTTATTTTTTTTCTGTAATACCGAACATAAAATTAAAATAAATATATATGTATAGATGTGTCATACATATTATGTCAAAAAAGCAAAGAAAACATCAATTAATAAATATTAATACTGATACTGGGTATGCGAGTGCTACGAAACAAGATTCTAAGAAAAGTTCGGTTACAAATGTTTTGAAAAGCCGTATTTTTAACGATTTACGTTAATATGGAAGTTATAAAATGCTAAAAAAACAAATTCTTAAATTACGCTCAACTTTTTTTTTTTTAACATAAATTACGTTTATGATGAACGTAAAATGTTCAAACATTTCTGTTCAGCTAAAATAGTTTTATCCATATAAAACCATATAAAAGTTTAAAAAAAAACTTGAAAACAGTATAAAAAACGTAAAAATCTTCAGAAAATCTATAAAATTTTTCCATTTCTTGGAATGGATAGTTAATATTCTCTGAGCAGAATGTCTGGTAGAAAAGTCATTCATATATATATATATATATATATATATATGTAGGGTGTTTACCATTTTTAAGTTTTTGTTATTTTAATAATTACTAGAGCCTTACGCTATGATTTTTTTTTTTTATATTTTATATAAATCTAAAAGTAAAAAAGTTTTTATAAAACCAAAACAGCTATTAAAAATATATTTTGAAGTACAATATTTTGATGTAAAAAATATTTACTAATGATGGATCCTTAAGTATTTTACAATTCTTTTAAGTTTACTCAGTATTACTTAGTTTACTAAGTAATTCTGAGTAAAATCTTCGCAAGGACGGACGAGTATAGGTCGTCTTCACATCTGCCGCGTGATCCGTTACCTTTATCAGGTTCTTCGGCGGTATGTACCTTCTTCTGTACACAAGTAGTAGTATTTCGCAGATTACCAATCTTCGGTATTGGTAAGAACGGCGCCGAATCATTATTGATCGCGGATTTTTTCGTCAATCTCAAATCAGATTGTGGCACGTCGATTTTCGAAGGTGTGGCCGACACCGATTCGACATTGCTCATCGTCTTCTTTTGCGAAAGTCGGTTGTCTTGCGGTGATCTTCACGGATCTTCGCCGACGTCGGTTTGTTAAAGAACACCGCGTTCTTCTTGAAATGTTTGTAAGGAGACCCTAACACATGACGGTTTGCCGCTATCGTCTGATGTGAGCCAGTTTAAACAGCGGATCAATCGGTTGGACTCGTTCTGGGCAAGATCGGCTAGAGATTTCAAAAATAAAATCTCCGTGAAAATACGACCGTTGCAAAGAACACTGAAAAAAGAACAAATGGTATTATCGAAATATTAATAATTGTTCAGACGAATATGTTAATATTTGTAAGCGACTTAACAAATATAATAAACAATGAAATATATAGGTAGGATACTAGTAGGAACGAATTTTTTAAAAAAAATGTATCATTTAATAAAAAATTAGATTTGCAGTTAACACGGTTATTTATTGGATCAATGGCATTTGGATTTGATTCCAAAGATCACTGTAGAATGTGTTCACATTTGTTATATAATTTAGTACATTTTAGTTTCTGAATGGAGCGAAAAAGCTTATGATTTTACACAGATGTTTATTTATTTATTTTTTTTTTTTATCTGTGCGCAAATTTTCTATCAGAAGAAATGCTTAAATTTCTACGTGTAGTGCCTTTTCTGAAAGGAAATTGGCGTGGGGAGGTACTTTAAGGAAGTCATTTTTGAGTTTTCAAGCGTTCCAAATGGTTTTCATAATATCTGGGAAAACCCGGAATAAAACTAGACAATTTACGAAAATAATGTTTATATTTTATTTTTTGTTATACTATTTTGTCATAATATGACATACATTGTTGACTAAGCAACATTATCAACTGAACGCCACTCAAAATCTTTTTTGTTAGTAATGTTTAAGCGTACAAATTAAATTTCCCCTCTTCCTTCTCAAATTCTCACCTACAATAGTGACTCACTTATCATGCGAAGTAAGTCCGTCTTTTTACCTGCATACTTGGTTAAAAATAAATACATATAGTCTAAACCACTGCATATCTTACTATGGTATAATAATTGCATATGCATTAAAAATGTTCTTTGATAACATTCGTTAAATATTGTACCTATTTTCTTGTTTTTCCTACGTTTTTCCCGGTTTTTCAATATTTTTTCCCATTTATTGGAAAACTCCTTGAAAAAACAAAAAAATACCTTCTTAGTACTACTCCAGTCAGATTTTCTTTCAGAAAAAGTGCTATACTTGTAAATCGGGGCAATATTTCTAGTAAGAAAATTGTTCACAGTTAACACAAAAAAATAATGAACATCAATATAAAACCATAAGCTTCTTCGCTTCACTTAGAATCTAATATATAAATTCTTTATTTTCTATTCAATTTTTAACGTTGTAAAAATTATATATTTGACAATTATATTATTAAAAACTAATAATATCCCAAAAATTTTACTATAAACACACATAATATTATCTTAAATTAAATTTAAAAAAAACAGAGTATTATTGATAAGTAGCATATGAATTTCATTAGATTATATTATGTAGATGTATTTTCAATCAGCCATACATAAATAAAATGATCCGATATACAAACAAAATACAAAATTCGTGTTGAAGTTCGAGAGAAATTTAAAATTTAAACGTATATTTATACTGTATTTATTATAAAAATCAATTTATTGTTCATTATATGTTCATATACATTCGGTTCAGGGGTGGATTCCGATTCCCGACTTCCTCCCCGCCCCCGTAAGCCATCAACGTATTGGAAAATAATACCGAAATTTTGATATAGTTTTTGGTAACGAAAAACCTGCAGGCATTGGAAAACCGGCGGTTATATTTTACACTATAGAATATAATATATGTGTATTTTATACTTGGTCCGTGCTACATAATTTTATTTCGACTTTTTTTTTTTCGTTGAATTTATTATTCAGATAGGTTTGAATTATATAAAATATGTAATGTTGCAGCATGCAGGTATGGTAATTTGAATCGCTAAACTATACTTTTCGATTCTGAATGTAATTTTCATTTTTCTCAGAAAACATATTTTCGGACACAATTTGTTTTCCCTGCCATTCGAATAATTAGATAGACGTAAATTAATATAAGACTGCGATGATGAGACAATGAGATCCGGTACAAAATAATATACATGGGCAGAATTTTATGTCGAATGTATAAAATGTTTAAGCCATCGATCGTATGATAGGTTTTTTAAACATATAAATCTATCGTTTCGGAATGGAATACTTGTTGTTTTTGGTAATAATTTTTTTGTTATAAACTAAATTTAATACGTTTACAACAAATTATTTTTAAAAATGATGGTATACTATTAAAAAAGAAAATATATTTCGCGTCTCGAGTGTAATACCTAAGCCCCTGCTGTTTTAGGAGGCAAAAGCCAATATTTTATTATATTATTATTTTATAATTGAAAACCAAAAATGCCATTCTGAACGTGAAGTATGGAAATGAACGTCAACACTCAGACTTTTTTATTATTTTTTTTTCCGGATGTTGAGGAAATTCAAATAAATTCGGAAAATTGCCATCACCCACGTTCTGTATATAATATTTGTATTTTACACAATAGCCTGATGAAATATTTCAAGTTAACTGTTATTTATTTCCTTGAAAAATGTTTACAAGTCATCGATGCAAAACCAATACACTTACAGCACACTCATCCCGTGTATAAAATATCGAAAACAATTTCGCGGGTATATGGAATCAAAATTACACTTCTCGTTTACTGTGAATATATTATGTGTCTGTTAGTTAGGTATGTAACCGATATAAGATTTCGACGTGCCCTATATATATATACTGATGAATTAGATTTTTATTTTATACTTCGAGCCTAACTAATAAGCTAATAATGTTTGTTCAATAAATCAAGTTTTTTTCCTCGCAACTCGGCTGAAATATATAATTCCAATATAAAATTATTAAATTAATACTCTCAGTAGTTTTAAGTGAACGAGGATGATACAATCCTGAACGCCTCACCTACGCGCGACACTAGCAATATTACTCTATATACCTACTCTTAATAATATATTCTACACACGTTCCCAACATACCACCTACAACAGTGCGAAGTGTCAGCTGTTTTTGTCAATTTATCGCTATGCCACAATACGTTTAGGGTAGTAAGACACGTTATTATTAGCTGTTTGTCATAATATATACAGAGTGATTCAGAATGTGTGTTACAGCCATTTTATAATGTAAATATTCAAAATAGAGGAAAATGTATAATGCAAAAGTTGTTTGATTTAAAAACATCTAAAATATTTTGTACATTTTTTTTTACTGTCTTTTCTTTGAGGGAGTTTTGGGGTTAACGTTTTAAATTCAAATGGGAACACTATGCGTTTGTGTGGTGCACGATGCGTGGCGTTTAAACAGTGTTCAAATACTCTTCCCCTACCTTAACTTAAAAGTCAAATACCTCATTAATGAATAAACCAAATTTATTACAATTTCAACCCCAAAATGTATTTAAACACTCAATCTATTGATGGAATTTTGAACACAGGTTCTCATTCTAATTTCAAAAGTTGGCTACCGAAATTCCCCAAATAAGACAGAGAAAAAATTTTACAAGTATTATTATCGAAAAACTTTTGTATTGTACATTTTTCTCTATTTTGAATATTTACATGATAAAAAGGCCGTAACATCATACATTTTTAATCAACCTATATATTTTATATATGTACTCAAAATGTTTTCAGTTCAAAAACCCATCTTTTCAGTTATTAGGTATAATACTATATATATAAAAAACATACAATAATTGTATCGTTTATTTGAATAATAATAATAATAATAATATTATACAATATAAATAGCCTAGCGACAAGTGTCCTTTATTACCCACTCGTATTATTGCTCAGTATCGGTTTATAAATACACATATTCATTATTATATACTTTGTAAATTATTACGCGTTATATTATACCTTATGTACTTATGACATCACTCAAAATACTGAAATTTTACCATTACCATCGATAATAGTATATTTACCTACGCAATAGCATATAAATGTACGATTTTGTTATAAATAGGGCTATGAATTTTTATGAAATCGTATTGGAATTAGCTTGTCACATAAAACACTTAAAGTTTCTTTTCACTTGATCCAACTACATTAATCCTATGTTTCACATCTTCGTCAAAGCCACCGTTTTTTTGATAAAAAAATTCTCGGTATCAGGTATATAGCCAGGATTTTTTTTGGAGGGGTGTCCGAACATAAAATTTATCACCAACTAGGTATCTACCAATAATTGCCAGTAAAAAAAAAAAAGTAAACGTAATGGGCGGAAAATCAAAGTCCGATCTGATATTTGATAAGAAGCAAACATTTTGGAGAGGGCAGATTCCATGGACCCCCGTCCCTTGTTATGTGCCTGCTGAGTAGTATTTAAAACTCTTAAACTTGCCTATTACGTCACCTTTTATTGCGATTTCGTATATACTCTATTTTACTTCTCCTTATCCTTAGTCAATTTCCTTCAAATTCTACTATCCATTCCTTAACCCATATGTTAACTTCTTCCAGACTCTTTCCTATCAAAACTATGTCGTTCGCAAACATTGCAACCTTCCTAACTTCATCTGTTACAATAAAAAACATGTAAAGGCTCAAAGCTGAACTCTGATGCACACCTACTCCAAAATTATTTATTATTCTATGCATACTTTTTAATTTTAACCTAATTTACCTTGAAATATTTACTTAAATATTCAAATAGTTGATACTAGTCACGGGCAAACTATATTTATACATAAACAGTTGGGAAGGTAGGAAATGTAGGGTAAATTATTTTATAGGCTGCATGCAAGGACATAAAGGACAGATCTTTGAAAATGAAAAAACGATTTCGAACAGAATAATATAAGTAGTGTTTTTTTTTCTACCTCATTTCTAAGGTAATCTATAAATCAACAAACCAAAAAAAAAAAAAACCGATATACCTATCGATATCTGTT